GTTCTGAATTCTAAGATCAGGGTTTGGTGTCTGGTGAGGGACTTCTTGTGCCTCCATGCAGTGAAATACAGAAAGGTGAAAGGTTAATTATATTCAGCCCTTTTGTAAGGCACCAGCCTATCTATGAGGATAGAGCCCTTGGGACCTATTTTCTAAAGGGTCACTTGGTAGTACCATTCTATTGACCTTTGAGTTTCAGTACATGAATTTTGGGGGATCCATAAGTAACTGACCGACCTCCTGAATAGGGGTCTGGGGTATACATTTGTATCTGGGTTCAGGAATTACATTTTATCAGTTATCATATTCATTACACTTATGAGGCGTGTTATTTAAATGGTGTTAAGCCATTACCATCATTATTTATTTATTGTCACTAGCAGAAAACAGGAAATGGGAAGCCGAGATAAATAATTGAATGATTCCATGAGAACAAGTGTGTGTGGTCGTCTTTGGGTGAAGTTTTTTGTGCCTGTGAATGAGGAGGGCTGCACGTGGCTAGTCCTTAGTTCTTGGTGTGCTTGGTTTTCTAAAGCACTTCATTTTTCTGCTTTTTTCAGAACTAGCCATGCAGAACTGTTTGTAGCATGGCTGCACTAAGTAATACAATACTTTGTATTGTAGAGATCGGTTCTCTAAACAAAACCGTGCATTTTCATGAGAGCAGTAGTTCCTGTGAGTGTCCATCATCACAATACGGTTGGATGTCACCATCACTGCCTAGGAGGAGGGTCACTGGACCCTCAACTGAGATTCCAGCCACTCCTTCTAAACATTTGAACGTGTGGCTGCCCTGCTTGAATAGAGGAGTAGGGAGGGTTGGGGTTCCTGGAGGTTCTAGAGTCTGTAGGCTAGAGGAGGTTAAGAGTGGCTCCCTCTGTCTGTGTTGCTATGGTGAAGCCATCATCCATGCTGGGTCGAGACTTTCTAGTGCAGCTGCTTTGGGTCACCTGTACTCCCACCAGTAGCCTCTTGCCCATGCTGTGCATGTAAGCCCGATAAACTCACTGGTCCCAAAGGCTGAACTTGGCGGGTTTACAGATTGGTTGGGACCTTGTAAGACAGGGGTAGATGTTGTTTGCTCTCTCCCAAGGGAAGAGTTTTCCTGACACCCTGCAACTGTCTCTCTGGTGCTGGACTGTTATCCAGACTGCTGTCCCTTGAAAAGTAATATTCAGAAGTTGAGAATTGACAGGAAGAAATGATTTCATTCAAGAGTCACCATCAAGGCTTCAAGATACTTGTCTCCTTTGGGTATTACTTACGGTAGTTTTTGGTGCCAGTGAATGTGATGCCATAGTTACCTTCGATTTGGGGTTTTAGGAGAAAATTCCTCTTTTTCCATCCTCTAAAGTAGGCTCTCCCTCAGGGACTGCTGACTCACTCTGACTCATGTCTTTCATATTTTCTCTCCCGTTGCTTGTATGTGGAGAGAGTGGCATGGGAGGCTTGGGGCCCATTTGCAATAGGGCTGGACTGGGCAGAAGAGACCCACTTCTATTTGGACTTTTTTGTTTGTTTTTTTGTTTTGTTTTTCTTCAGATATCTTTCACATGCATGAGATTTTTCAGAAGACTCACCCTGTCTATAGTACTCTCTGTCCCCTTTTTTATGATCCTATGTTTAGAAGACTTCTAGTCTTAGGATGGACAACAGTTCAAGTGCCTCACCTTCCTTCAACTTCAGCTCCAGCTGTAGCCTCCAAGAGGCTAAGACACAGGGCCCTGAGCTGCTTCCCAGCTTGAGGCTCCTTAGTTCCTGTAAGGAGAAGGAAGCCAGGCCTTACCTGAGACTTTGCTTAGCAGCTTCTGGGATGCCATCTCTCAGATTCCATTCATTCCCTGTAAGAGTCCCATGCTTCCCCTTTCCACAGTCCACTGTCACCGCCCCTGCTCCTCCTGGAGACCAGGACATCGGTGGTGTAGCAGCCTCATCAGCTGTTGCTTCCCTTACCCCCTCCGTAAGCCCCTCCCCACATCCTTAGTCTTCCGATTTAAATGTAGTTTTTCCTTTTCCTAATGAACTCCAGCCCTCAAATAGAACTAGGAGCAAAAATGGGGACACTGGGAAATTAGGAATCCTTGGTGAATTATCTTAAATTAATGAGACCAAGAAGGGAAATCAAGTTTGGCTGTACAAATTGCCTTTGTGTTCTGGACCTTGATGATTTAAATTGCAGATTATAATTAAATGCCTCCAAATAGAATGAGAAGTAGCTGCTAAAAATCTTTTGATCTAAAAGTTCCTCTGACCTATGAACTAGTTTAAAATTAGTATGTAAATATTCCTTTCTGAGAATTTTGATCTTCAGAGAACTTACAATGAGTGTGACACAAACCACCCTACTTTAAAGACAAGTGGACAGGTAGAGTGAGCAGGAGGACACAGGTAAGAGAGGGTGGGTTGTCAGCCTCCCTGGGCGTAGGTAGGGCTGTTTGTTAGGTGGCAGAGCTCTGCTGTCCCAAGGGAAGGGCTCACCGGCACCTTTGGCACCTTCGCTGTTATGCAGAGAGAAACGCAGCAAGTCAGGGCATGTGATACTGTGGTTACACTGAAGCAACAATCAAGAGACAATAGCTCACCCCATGTATGAAGTCATAGCCAGTATTTAATGCCTTTTAAACACGTGAAGACAGCAGTATGGAGCATAGAAAAGTTTCCCGTATCCACTCCTACCTGGTGGCCATCTTGTTACAGCCTTCACAGGTTCTGTGTCCTATCTCTTTAAGCTGTTGTCACTAGAGAGCAGGTGGTGCAAAATTAATAGGAGCATTTGCTCTGCTGTCCCTGTTAACCATCATTAAAAGAATTAAGTATACTTCTTATTGAGGCACAAAACATACTCACGTGCTGTTCGATGGGTTGTCACTCATAGATCCACTCAGAACCTGCACCCTGGCCAAGAAGTAGAACATTCTCAGAGCCCAGGAGTCACTCACATCTTTGTAGTGGACATCCACCCCTGCACAGTATCCTCCTTTTGACTTTACAACATAGACTCTTTGGCCTCTGCCTGCATTTCACACCAGTGGACTGCCTGTGTTGGGCTCTGTATGCTTGGCTTTCCCTGTGATTCATCTGTTTTGCTCTGTACATTGAAGATGGTAAACATTTCTGTTGTGTCTAAGATCTTACTGTTAATGACTGTCACTGCTCTAAACATTCTCTCTCTCTCTCTCTGTGTGTGCACATGTACATACACAAACGTCCATATATGCATTTCTGTTAGTAGTTGCATCCTAAATTGCATCCCAGGTTGTGGACAGGTCACCAGTTAGTCGCATGTGCAGCTTGGGTAGGGGTTGCCGGCTGTCTGGAGTAGTTACACCATTCCTTCATCACAGCACTGGTTCCAGTTGTTCTACATCCTTGCCAACTCTTGGCTTTGCCTGTCCATCACTATTTAAGCGATCGTTGTATGCCTCATGGCTTCAGTTTATATTATGTGTGACTTCTGGATTTATTAGAATAATTTTAGTATCTCATGATGTTCCAGAACATATTGTAGCTGGGCACTTAGATTACGTCTAATTTTCATTATTTACAGTAAGCAGTTTTGTGAATTAATCTTTTCCATGTTTGAGATGCCGACAAGAATTTTTTGTCTACTAAGTTTAATAAATTCTGAAATTATGGTACCACTCTAAAATGTTATCCACGGTATAGAGGGGCCCAGGCTTGCCAGCAGTACATATTTTGAAAGAACAGAAAGGCATCCCTTGGAGAAGTAATTTAGGTAGGATAGGTGGATTTAGTGTTATTTTGCTGGAATTCGACAGTTTTTCAAAAATATTTACCATACATTAACTCCTCTTTCATGAATTCCTCCCCTTGATGCCTATATCACCAGTGAGTTTTGTTCATTCCTACCAGCATTATTGTAGTTTTTCTAGTTTCTTTTCTGTTGCTGTGACATACACATTGACAAAAAGCAACTTAGAGAAGAAAGGGTTTATTTGGTTTACAGTTCCAAGGTCAACACATTATAGGGTGGGGTGCAGATAGTAAAAGCAGGAGCTCAAACGCTCCGCCGACTAAATCACATCAAGAACAGAGAGTGGCAGATACACCCATGATTGCTTTCTCAGTGGGAGGTGAGAGAGATGGCATTGCCTACTGTAGACCGGGTCAGTTAGTCATTAGGACAGTCTCCCACAGGCCAACCTGATCTAGATAATTCCTCAACTGAGACTCTCTCCCCAGGTGATTCTACATTGTGACAAGTTAAAACTAGTTATTGAGGAAGTCTTGGTGCTTTCTATGTTTCAATATTTGCCTTGCAAATGTTTTGATTTGTATATCTTTTGATGACTGCAGAACAGTGAGTAACTTCTCCCTTTTAGCAATTTCTAGACTGGCTCTCCAGCCAGTTCATAGTCCTGTTGACTGAGGCTCATAGGCCAGAGATCTTTGAGTACTCTAGTGGGAAAGTTCAGAGCCCAGCCTGCAAAAGAACACGAGTCAGTCCAAGGTCCTAATGTGCTGCCCTACTGTCCTCTGGTTCTCACTCTTTGGAGACTGTGAGCTGGGCCCTGAAGCCTGCTATAACAGCTCTTGGCAGGACCTCACCTGAGTGTTCCATTCTGCAGGAAGGTACCTGTTCACCATGCAGTGGGGGCAGTGTGGGAGCCCAGTGGAGTGTACTGAGCCCTCTGCTAGTGATGTGCATTTGGTCCTCACTGTAGTTCTGTGAGACACCAGAGAGCAGAGCCTCAGAGCTGCATGCATTTCCTCCTGGAGTCTGAGCTTTGTGAGTAGGCAAGCCAGGACCCAGCTTTCTTCATTCTCTAAACCACACTTCCTTCCTGGATCTTCAGGGAAGGTCCACACTCCCCTGATGGATAATCCTTGGAGTGGAAGGAAATGTGCATTGTTCCTTCTCATTCTTCTGAGGGAAAAGTTAGATCCAAGTGTCTGTTGCCTTCCTACCTTTCTAGGTGTTGTGCTCTCAGGGACTTCATCTTTGATGTGTTCATCAAATTATACTTTTCTAATTCTAGATAATGGATTTGGATGGCCTCCTATGAAGCAGTGCCTCATGGTCCAGAAGCAACCATGTCTGGTAAGTCACTCGTTGAATTGACTGTAGCAGTAGCCTGGGTCACTGGGTGTGTCCATTCTGACAGAGTAGGCAGAAGACTGTGTGTTTGGGCATATGGACACCTTTGTGAGGCTGCTCTTCCAAGGCTAATGACTCTAATAGATATCCTGACTTGTGAAGGCTGGTTTCTTCTAGAACTATCAGGGGTTGGAGTACATGGGGTTAGACAAACCTAAAATTCCCTTTTTGCTGTGTAACCTACTTCTGAGAGCATAGTGGGAGCTCGGTGCTGAACCAGGGCAGTCTCATTCTGACGCAGCTGCAGTGGCATTCTGTCACAGCCTCTTCCCCCAGCCCCTTCCCCTTTAGTTAAAGGTAGGTTGTCACTTGATACTGTGGTAAAGTTTTGAGACCAAGACACACCAGAGCTTGGGTAGCTGAAGGAAGGGAAAGTCAGACTAGAGCTTCAAACTTTGTCTTCCCATTTTTCTGCATGGAAGTTCTGCATGGAAAGTAGGCAGTGCCTCTGGGGAGCAGAGATCTTCAAATAATCTTTGTCCTAGCAAAGGCTATACTGTGAGAGCTGATAGAAGATTGTAAAGATTCTGTGAGACTTGCCAATAGGAGAATTCTAGAGAGTAACAAGAAAACCGTAAAAGCCCTATTTTATGATTACAGTTAGGCCATCATGTAATGTGGCCTATTTTGATCAAAGAGGATGCCATGGGTACAGCATGTAGAAGAGTGGGGAGGAAGAAGAGAGTAGAAGGTAAGAGACAGGACAGTTTCACACCTGTCACAAAGTCACTGGTTTTAGCATCTTGCCAGGGTTAGGTCCTGTTCTCTTGCCATAGGAACAGCTTCTCCAGCATTGAGGTCCTGACTCTTATCTGTGTTTGCTCCATTGTCTCAGGGCTCCTGCTGTCTTAGGAATCCAGGGCCTGGAGATAGCTAGCTCTCTCGTGGGAAGTCAGGTGGGGTGTGACCCAGGAACAAGAAGCATATCCTCACCAATGACATCATGACAGCAAGAGAGCACAGCCCTCGCCATGGTGCCAGGGCCCGTGCGATGCAGCGGGCTTCCACCATCGATGTGGCAGCCGACATGGTGGGCCTCTCTCTGGCAGGTGAGCCTCACAGGCCTGCACTAGACATCTGGTTATAAAGTTGCAGGGCTCAGGCTCCATGCTGTAACAGTGCTGAAGGGCCAGGGGCCGGCGACTAAGCCATGGGGAGAGGGTGTCCTGGTGCGGGATCCTTCTGGTTGGAGTAGGACTCAGAAGGACAGCTATAGCCCCAGGAACTGGTCTTGTGAGGCTGATCATCATTCCTTTCCAGCCTGGGTGAACGCCCTGGGCTTGCCTTCCAGTTGCCAAAATGGAAAGGGGACTGAGGCTTCTTCAGAATCTCTAAAGTAAACTATTTTAAAGTATAGAAATCATCTACTGTAATATTTTGGGGTGGGCTAGAGAAATTACTGTTTCTTGTTCCTATTTTTGCACAAAACAAATGCAAGCTAAATTCTGGGGAAGGTTTCTTTTTGGTGACTTTTCTGTTGTTTCTCTTCTACCAGGAAATATCCAAGACCCAGACGAGCCCATTTTAGAATTCAGCTTAGGTAGGTACTTCTCTCGGTTATTGTTACTTTTAGTCTGTCTCTAAGAACCACTGAGTAGTTCTGAGTGCCGTCCCCACTGCTGAGATGTTTCTGGGGGAGATGCAGCATCTCAGAGGCTGCTTCTCATACCTGACTCTCCTGCTGTGGTTAAGCTTTCAGCTGATAGAGATTTGAGTTGTGGCCAATGGAGATTATTACGAATAAAGTTGCAGTCAATACTTGGGTGCCAATCTTTTGTGGGGGTAAATGTTCATGCTTTAAGAATGGACTATTTGGAAGGCTTTGTGGTGTTGAGTTTGTGTACAGAGCAGGCTAAGTGAGCTCCGGGGGCAATGACTGCATGGCTGGCACACTTTCACATGTGGTACCGGAGTCACTTGTCTCTTTGGAGGGTGTGGATGGTCACTTTCTATAGGGAAAGTGGAGGCATAGACCTAGCAGAGTGAAGATGAGGGCAAGGTCCAAGGATAGAAGAAGCTGCAAGAGTTTGGGCTCGGGTTCCTTTTATCTATAGGGATGGTGGGTAGAAGTGTTCTCTACAGTGGGAGTGGCCACATGGATATAGGAACTGATCAAACTCGTTGAGCTCTTAAAATAGGCGTGTGCCATAAGAAATTTATACCTCGAGCCAGGCGGTGGTGGCGCACGCCTTTAATCCCAGCACTCGGGAGGCAGAGGCAGGCGGATCTCTGTGAGTTCGAGGCTGGGCTGGACCGGACTGATAGGCTCGAAAACAATACAGAGAAATCCTGTCTCGTAAAAACCAAAAAAAAAAAAAAAAAAAAAAAAAAAGAAATTTATACCTCAAAAGTAATCTAGAGGAAAACAAAAGACAAAGACACCAGCACCATGTGGTAGGCCTACATACAACATGAACCAAAGCCACAACTTGGATAAAACAGGTATTGCAGAAGTGGAAGAAAGCAGTAAAGAAACTGTAACTTACACCTTTAAAAAACGGGGAAGTACCTCTCTGTGTTCAGGAGCAGGGTATTGTTTATAAAAGGCAGCTGAAGAATAAAGCACAGTCTTAAGTTTAAAACATAACAGATGAATTTACAAATCCAGTAAAACCTGGAAGATAGCCAAGAAACTGTCTCAGCCAGCAGCATAGGAAGCAGGAACAAGCTGGACAGTCCAGGGTACTCATCACTAAAAGAGGAGCAAGCTGAACAGTCCAGGATGTTCGTCATTTAAGAGAACGGAAAAATGAATGCAGAGTTTAGAAATAATATAAGAAATCCACTAACTGAAGAGTGTGAGTCTAGTTAAAATACTTCTCAAGGCAGCTTGTTTTCCATGGGGATTGGGAGGTGCCTGGCCATCACTTTGTCAGATGGTCTTTCTTCCGCCTCCCCCTTTCCTCTCCTTCTGGAACTCTGATTAAACCTATGTTGGTGAACTTGATGATCTTCCAGGACTCTCTGAAACTGTTTTCCTTCTTTTTATTTCTTTCTTTTCTTCAGACTAAATAATCGTTGTTGACATCTCCAAAATATGCTGACTCTTTGTCTGCTCACTGTAGTGTGATGTTTAAGTCTTTTTTGGACTTTTTTTGGGGGCCCCAACTCCCAGCTCCCAAATAATTCACAACAGAGGCTTATTTTTAGTTGTGAATGTCCAGTCTGGACTTGGCCAGCTTTTCTTAACATAAATTATCCTAACTGTCTTTGGCCCCGGGGATTTTATCTTTCTCTATTCCTGTATACCTTTTCTCTCATTCTTACTCTGTGTCTGGCTGGGTTGCTGGCCCCTGAAGTCCTCCTCCTTCCCTGATCCTCAGATCTTTTTCTCCAAGATTCCTCCTCATATTTCTCCTCTCTTCTACCAGCTCCACCTATCCCTTTTTCCTGCTTTGCTATTGGCCATTCAGCTCTTTATTAGACCATCAAGTGTTTTAGACAGGCACAGTAACAGCTACACAGAGTTAAACAAATGCAACATAAATAAAAGTAACATACTTTAAAATAGTATTCCCCCACAGCCCACAGTTGAGCTGCTTTTAATGCTTTTTCATTTCTGTTATTGTACTTTTAATATTCTCTACATGGCTAGTTTTATGATTTCAGTTCTTTCACTGGTAGTCTCTATTATGTAGTTTCTTAGTAAGTCAAACAAACATCTGTGTCCCCTCAGAGACAGGTACTGTTGACTTTTTTAGTTTCTAAATTCATCCAGATATGAGCAGTATTTCTCTTGTGGGTTTTATTTTTATGTTTCATAAATTTTGGTTAAAAATTAGACACTTATAAACAATGTGATGCAGCAACTTTGGAGATGAAATGCTCCTCTCCCCTTCTCCAGGGTTCTTTGTTGTTGCCACTCTTGTTACTGCTGTTGCTGACTGCTCAGTAATAGCCTCTTGTCATGTGTGGATCCTGGAGTGACTGGTAGGTCATTTAGTGGTCAAGTTAAATTTGGATGGATATAATATATAGACTAGAGGCAGAGTGTCACTGTGTAGCCCCAGATGGCCTGGAGCTCACAGAGATTCATGTCTGGCTGGATAGAAAATTCATAAAATCTCAGAGAACTAGAGACTTTGGTGTGAGTTTTGCTAAGCGTCTGTGTGCATACTTCAGGGTTCAGTTCCTGCTTATGCTGAACACAAGGGTAGGTAGTCTTAAGTGATCATTCATAGTCTCCTCAATTCTTTTCTGAGCCTGCAGATGTCCTCAGACATATGCATAACCCTCTACATATGCTGGCTTCCACAAACGTCAGAGCTTTGCAAAGATCCTGGTCCCGTCATTCACTGCTTAGGTTTTAAGTTTTCATTACCTATTTAAACTTTTCTGATCAACTTTGTGTTTGCCTCACATGTTAGTATTACCCTCTTCAGCTATTGATTTCGGTTGCTGCTGTCACAGTCATGGTCAGGACGGAATCAGGGCTTCATATGTGTAAGCAGGCGTTGTTCATATGTGTAAGCAGGCGTTGTTCATATGTGTCGGCAGGCGTTGTTCATATGTGTCGGCAGGCGTTGTTCATATGTGTCGGCAGGCGTTGTTCATATGTGTCGGCAGGCGTTGTTCATATGTGTCGGCAGGCGTTGTTCATATGTGTCGGCAGGCGTTGTTCATATGTGTCGGCAGGCGTTGTTCATATGTGTCGGCAGGCGTTGTTCATATGTGTCGGCAGGCGTTGTTCATATGTGTCGGCAGGCGTTGTTCATATGTGTCGGCAGGCGTTGTTCATATGTGTCGGCAGGCGTTGTTCATATGTGTCGGCAGGCGTTGTTCATATGTGTCGGCAGGCGTTGTTCATATGTGTCGGCAGGCGTTGTTCATATGTGTCGGCAGGCGTTGTTCATATGTGTCGGCAGGCGTTGTTCATATGTGTCGGCAGGCGTTGTTCATATGTGTCAGCAGCTGTTCTACCACTGAGCTATAAGCCCAGCCCAGCTCAGCTTCATCCTGAATGCTTCTGATGGACATTCTCAGAAAAACAAACAAAAAGACTTTTTCTACCATGTGAACTCTGGCTTAGAACAAATAAATCCAAGCCCTATAGATTTTTTTCTTCCAGAAATGGTCAAATAATGATAGTTATCTAAGAATGGGGCTATATACGTATGTAAGGTTTCCAGTCATATCCTGTCCATTCTTGTGGCTTCTAGGCTACTGGTTTTCACCATGATTTCAGGTGGACAAAGACTGGCTGACAGAAGAAAAGTTAAAATAATCATAATGGTCCTACAGCGTACTCTGTAGCATCTGAAATAATGAGGTAGGGCTCATATCTATTAAAATTAAAGGATGCCAGAGACATGAAAAAAAGCCTATCAGGAATATTGGGTTGACATATTTCTAAGAAAATCCACTTCTACACCAATTCATTAAATCTCTGTAGGTCGCACTCTGATGAGTAAATGAACGAACAGAAAACTGGAAGGACATTTATCAGAATCCAACAGATGTTTCTCTCTAACAGAGTTTTCTCTGAATGAAAAATTTTACAACAATCTATTTTTTTTTTAATTTTCAGCTTTGATTTTTTTCTTCTACAGTTCAGAATATTTGCCTATTATTCATCTTGCTTCTGCTCATCTGAGAAGCAATGAGGGTGGTGGTGGTGGGGGTGAGATCTACTTCCTGAAATCCCTCTGCACCTTCTCAGGCTGTCCTCTGTGGAAGTCTGGTTATATAACTTCATTACTGCTTCCGATTTGCTGGCTTTAGAAATGTCTTAAATGTCTCTTCACCCTCCTTTTATATGCAATCACTTTAGTTGCAGTTTTTTGATTAAAGTCATATTCTGCGTACTTACACTTAAGGAAGCACTGTGTATCAAGAGCCACATGGGAGCTCTTTACCTTCTACCCAGTGTGAACCATTTCTTGGGAACAACATCATTTCCCCCACCTCAAGTTACTGCATTTTGGGTGGAGCATACTCTTCATCCAGAAAATGGATATGGAGGAAGAGAAGCTGTTTGAGACTCTGCAGAGCTGAAACAGGCTGCCTTCAGCTGTTAAACTGAGTTTACATGGTCAGAAAGAATATAATTAAAAGTGATTTCTCATTCTTCTAGGAGGGATGGAGAGGGAGGGAGGGAGGGAGGGAGGGAGGGAGGGAGGGAGGGAGGGAGGGAGGGAGGGAGGGAGGGAGGGAGGGAGGGAGAGAGAGAGAGAGAGAGAGAGAGAGAGAGAGAGAGAGAGAGAGAGAGAGAGAGAAAATGACTATGGGTGCATGTGTATCCAAATCCCTTGGAGCTGGAGTTTGAGAGCATCCAGACATGGGTGCTGGGATCTGAATTCCAGCAGTCATGTTAGAGCCTCATTAGAGCAGCAAGCTCTCTTAACTGCTGAGCCATCTCTCCAGCTCCAGCTGGGAGATTTTAAGATCTTCGTTTTATTTCCCGTGTTCTGAAATTGCCTCATGATAAAACTTGCTACATGTCCCTTTCAAGCAGAACTGAGATAAACCCCAAAGAGATCTACACCTGGATTCACCCTAACTAAACTGTTGAAAACCAAGGACAGAATTTAAAAAGCAGCAACCAACTGTGAGCTACACAGTTAGTCCCTTGTTAAGAGTACTGGAGGAAGAGGTATGGTGGGGGAGGAGGGTGTGGGGGGAGGAGGAGGAAGACAGACAGATGAAGTTCAGAAGTGGTAGGAGAACACTGCAAATCTTAAAAAGGCAGCCAAACTAGAGTTATATATTCAGCAAAGACATTCGAAAAAGATGAAGACATATGTTCAGCGAAACTAGTTCATAAGTGTTGACATTATTTGTAGTAACCAAGAGGTGGAAGCAATCAAAATATCCACCAGTTGAATAGTATGCGGTGTGTTCATTCAGGGTCACTCATTAATAGGAAGGAGCAGAGTACTGAGAGGAGCTGCAGCATTAGCGGGGCTGGAGCAGCTGCCGGTTGGAAGAGGACAGTCACAAAGGGACACACACTGCATTCTCTCTCCCGCTACATAAAAATGTCCCGAGGAGACAGCTACCCAGAGAGATTAGTGCTTTCTGGAGGTTGGAGACGAGGGGTGCTGAGTGATGCGGCTGCGTATAGATTATTTTCTTTAGAAATGTGACTATAGTAAGGAAGTAGTAATGGTTATACAACTCTGTGAGGACTCTGGGGTGCTGAAGTATCCTCATAAAAGCACTGAAAAGCCAAAGGTGCTCTGGTGAGGACCGAGTTCATAAATAACGAAGGAACAACCCCAACTCAGAAAGTATCAAGAGGCATAGATTATAGATTTCTGAGTGAGAGATAAGCCATAGTCTGGCATTGTAACCTTTGGTGGCTAAGAGAGCAGAGATCAGAGTTGAGACACAAAGAGGAACAATAGGCCCAAAGTAGCAGAATAGGCTTTTCCTAGTAGGACTGACTGAAGACCAGTGTGTCAAATTCCCAGGAAAAGAGAAAATCTTACATGCTTCTAGATGAAAAATAGCATTGCAAATTCTTAAAAAGGCAGCCTACCTAGGATTATATATTCAGCAAAACCTGAGACATTACAGAGTCTTCATTCTTAAGATAACCATTTTCTGAAGGAAAAGAAAAGAAAAGACAAAAAAAACCACTTGTAGGGCTTGACTTTATTTGACTTAAGCCAGAGTTTACTCAGTAGGAAAAGCATTTTTTCCCCCTGAGAATGTTCATCAGAAAATAGACTGGGCATGGGGAACACACCTTTAATCCTAGCATTTGGGAAGCAGAGGCAGGCCAATCTCCATGAGTTTGAGCCCTTCTTAGTCTCCTTAGTCAGTTCTGGACATCCAGGGCAGCATAATAAAAGCCTGTCTCAAGAACAAACTAATGATTCCCACAAAAGCCATGAGAGTATTTAATCTATTTGTATTCAAGAAAACAAGGGTTTAATATTTATAGTTGAGCATTTCTCTGAAGTTAATAAAGTAAGAAAGAAGATTTCTAGGTGCCTTATAGTAGAATTATTGGAAGCTAAACTCAGGGAAATTGTTAAGAGCTGCCAAGACACCCATAGAACACACAGACAGACACATATACAGACACATACAGACATACACACACAGACACATAGACAGACACACACACATAGTTACACACACAAACACACAGGTACACACTGTGCTCATCATAACAATAATTAGACTGACCTGTGGTTTTATAGCAGGAAAAAATAGAAACTTTGAGACAATGTTTTTAAAAGTCTTAGGGAAAAATAATGACCTAGAGAAAATACCTTCAATCATTCAGGTGCAGTTATTTTCAAACCTTACAAACCAAAAGAATGTGTCAGTTCCTAGTCTTGCAGTCTCAACAAAGCTACGGGATGCTACTCAGGAGCAGGCAGGCAGGTGATTCTAGATAACAAGTCACAGTGAAAAGGATTGAGAATCCAAAACCAGGAGGGCATTTCTGTAGCTAAGTGAACAGTGACTATAAAATGAATGTGTGTATGTTAGGAAAAGATAGCTCATACAGTAAGCTTAATAGCAAGATACTGTATGATTAGAGCCAAAAAAGTGATTTGGCTTTGTGCAATATTTTAGTTATTCTTCTGTTGCTGTGGTAAACACTATGACCAAGGCAACTTACAGAAAAGAGTTTATTTGGGTTCTAGAGGGAGAGTTCATGATGGGGGGAGGGGGAAGGCGTGTCAGCAAGCAGCAGCCATGCTCTGCTGGAGCAGAAGCTGAGGGCTCACTCTGTGAACCTCAAGCACACAGAGAGAGCAACTCCCAGCAGGAAGAGGCCTTAAACTCTCAAATTCCACCCGTGCTGATGGGCTTCCTCCAGTAAGGCCACATTTCCTAAACCTCCCCAGAAAGTGTCACCAACTAGGATCCAATTGTCCAAATGACTGAGACAATGGAGGAGGTTCTTCTGGGGACAGTGATCCTGGAGAACTAACTGCCTCGGCTGCAGTTACTCAGAGCACAGCAAGGCATTGGTCTTCTCTAACCCACAAATGTGCTTCTCCCCCCTTGCTTTCTGTTTTCCCCATTGTCTCAGGGTTTTGTTTCCATTTCTTTCTCTCATTCTTTCTGTCTTCCTGCCATCTTGTTCTTGGCATGTGTCTTACCAATTGTGACCGTGAGGATGTAATTTTGAATCAGAGTTGATAGTGTATGCTTAGTATGATGATGAAAATACAGATAGCATGTTGTAAGTATACCTGGTGGCATTAGATGTGTTTGCACAGCTATCCAGCTGTTGCTACCCACTAGCCCCAGGACTTTCGTTGTCTTGAAAAACTGAAAGACTTAGTAAGTTTTAATGCCCTTCTTATTTTTTTCTCAATATATGATTTTATTTAAATTAGAAACATGCATGCTTCACATGTCAATCCCAGCTCCCCCTCCCACCCCTCTTCCCTTGTCCCTCCACCAGTCCTCCCTCCCAGCCCCTGGTCCAATCCCCACATCAGTCCCCAGGGAGGGTGAGGCCCTCCTTGGAGGGGTCTCCAGAGTCTGTCATTTCATCCAGGGCAGGACCTTCTCCATGTGTCCAGGCTGAGAGAGCATTCCTCCATGTGAAATGGGCTTCCAAAGTTCATTCATACGCCATGGTGAACACTGATCTGCTACCCAAGGCCCCAGAGATTTCTTAGGCCTCCTCACTGACACTGCATTTGTGGAGTCTGGATCAGTCCCCTGTTGGCCTCTCAGCTATCAGTCAGGGGTTCAAGAGCTCCCCATTGTCAGGTCAGCTGTCTTTGTGGGTTTTACTAGCACGGTCTTGACCCCTTTGCTCATCACTTCTCCATCTCTGTCACTGGGTTCCAGGGGTGCAGTTCAGTGTTTGGCTGTGGGTATCTGTCTCTGCTTCCATCAGTCACTGGATGAAGGTTCTAGCATGGCATATAAGGTAGTCATCAATCTTATCAACAAGGAGGGGCTAATAATGTAGCCTCTCCACTATTGCTTAGTTTACCAGTTGGTGTTATCCTTGTAGATCTCTGGAAATCTCACTAGTGTCAGCCCTCTCCTCAAACCTATAATGACTCCATCTATTATGGAGCCCTTCTTATTTTTAAGAGATATTTTGTGGGTGTCTATAAGTGTGTGTGTGTGTGTGTGAGTGTGTGTGTGTGTGTGTCGCGTGCACACATATGCACTGCTTGGTCCCCATAAGAGAGGTCATAGAACTCCCTGGAACTGGATTTCCAGTCAGTTGTTAACTACCATGTGGATGCTGAGAACGGAACCTGGGTCCTCTGGAAGAGCAGCTAAGCCTTCTCTTTAGCCCCTTAATATCTTTCAAGCAAGGAAATGTTGTATTATTGTCAATGGCATATTAAAGTTCCATGACTGGGCTTTTTCTCCTCCTTTCATAGGTGTATTTTTATATCGGGGAGTATATGGGAGTCAGTGCTGTGTGATAATTCTTCCCTGGATCATTTTTGTGATAGACTTGCTTCAGACTTAGGATGTATTTTGAGGTCATAGTATTACAGACTTTTCTGACTGAAATGGTCCAAGTTCTCTTTCGTTCTAAAAGAAACATTTAAGAAATCTTACATTTTGATATGAGTTATAAGCATTGACTTTTCCTTTTAAGAAGAGCTTTATTTTGTCATAGGTTTTTTTTTATTTTAGAGACAGGGTTTCTCTGTGGCTTTGGAGGCTGTCCTGGAAGTAGCTCTTGTAGACCAGGCTGGTCTTGAACTCACAGAGATCTGCCTGCCTCTGCCTCCCAAGTGCTGGGATTACAGGCGTGTGCCACCACCACCCGACTTGTCATAGAATTTTAATCTTATAGCATCCATATGTATGCCGGGATTCATGGGTTGTCATACTTAGCTACAGCGGTCATAGGATGCAAGCACGTGTTGCCTGGGAGCTCATTTGTTGGCTCTGAATTCCACTCTCTGTGAACCTGAAAGGCCACCCTCAGCACAGGCTCCATTCCACTCATGCCTCACTGTACTGTGTGGATGGAAAAGAGAAAAAGAATGAGAAAACAGGCTTTTAAATCCCCCCCCTCGGTGTTGTCAATGTGACCGTGGTGTCCCTGGGAGTATTATTTTAAGCTTTCTTTGGGTTTGTTTAGAGCAATGAACTAACTAAAACTTGGTCCAATGGATTCTTTTTCCCCCATCTCCAATCTGTAGCTTGCAGTGAGCTGCACACTCCATCGCTAGATCGAAAACCAAATAGTTTTGTGGCTGTGAGTGTCACCACCCCTCCACAGGCATTCTGGACGAAGCACGCACAGACGGAGATCATTGAGGTGGGTGCTGCTGGTTCCTCTCCCTGAGGGAGCCCTCACGCTCACGGCTGTCTGGGCCCTGGCAGAAGGGCTCTGCAGGTCTTGGGCATATGTAGGTCAGCTTAATTTTTGTGAGTTATTTCCCATGATTTTTTGTTCATTAATACTGTTGGTCACATTCAACTGGGTGGCCCTTAGTTTGCCACACCCTTCATGGGTTTTGATGAACTTTTCGCTGCTATTCTTAAGCAATGATCCTATGATTGGTGACTTAAGAGATGAGACCTAACTCTTCTTGTCACTTCCAGTTGGCTGCCATCATTAAACACTGATGCTTATTAATCCGTGCTTGGAGAAGTGTTTTTATTAACTTTTATTTTTGTATTCTTTTGTGTTTTGTCTTGTGTGTTTTTAAAAGTAATTTATACAGCTTCACCTAGGAAAGTTTATAAAATATTTTTAGATAGTTGAGTTATATGTGTTATATATGTATATAACTCATGTGTGTATATGAGTTATGGTATGAAGTGTAGGAATTTCTTGTATGGAATTCCACAGGGTTTTATTTGTAATGTGAATAATTGCCAAATTAAGCTGTGTTTCAAATTTTTTATATTTCTATACTTTATATAAGAAGACAATAGTATATAATTTTATCTCAAGCTATCCACTTTTAGAAGCCAGGCCCTCTGAGAGTCTCTCAGAAGATTGTTTCCAAGTTGGGTCATGGATGATCTAAGCACTTGTTGAACACTGGCCTCATGCCAAGCATTGCACTGCTTGTTGGTACCAAACCCACAAGAGCACAGTCCTTGCCCTCAGGCGTTTGCCATGGGGAAGCCTGGGGAGCATTGCGGTAGCAGGGTGAAGACACAGGAGCAAGGTAGGGAATTCTGCCACGGCAAGCCCAGGCGGTCCCCTGGCCCTGCAGGCCTTCCAGTCTAGGACTGTACGTAATGATGTGAGGGCAGGTGATAGCAGAGCATCATGGGAGTGTGAGAAATAACTGTATCTTCTTAGTGTGTGCAAGACACAAGCCCTGTAGGCTGAGCCAGGGTGTGTGATACAGCACAGTAGTCAGCTCTGCTGACTTGTGCAGGGATGTCTCATGACTCTGACAGGTGTTTGGGGCAGTGGCGCAGGGTGACTTCAGCAGAAGGAAGGAGTGGGAAGAACAGGTGTGGGGGAGGAGGCATCTGAGGTAGACCTTGTGGTCTCCCAGTCAAACGTACTCAGCAGAAAAGGGGCACCAAGCCTGAGTCCCAGATCTTTAACCTGCTTTCCCAGGACACCTGGAGGGAAGGCTGGGGGAGAGCTCTGCATGGGCTGCTGCTGAAGGCGGGGCGTGGGGGCATCACTCAGGTACAAGGAGGGCCCAGTAACTGTTGGCTGAGGTGCTTAGCATCACCGAAAGAGTGAAAGGGTAAGATGGAGCACCGAGGAAGAGCTGCCAGAAAACAGACACCTGTGATCTAGAAACAAGAACCTGCTCTTCAAAGAGGACTTCTCTTCAAAGGTCAGCTTTAATTACTCCAAACCCAGGATTCTAGAAATAGCTACTGAAACCGTCCATTTCCTCTTTCGTCTGCCTGTACACACATCTGACAGGAGCAGCCCTAACAGTCTAAGTATATAGCACACCTAAAAGTGTTCCACCAAGAACGCATGTGGATGTCAAACTCAGACTCACTTCAGGGTTAGAAAAGTCCTCTCCTGAGTGGGAACCTTTAGGAGCGAGTCCTCTGCATAGCATCTGCAGCGGGCCTGTCTGTCGTGGAAGGCTGGTGATGAGCTCGTCAGGCTGCATTTTCCTCTTCTGGAAAGCAGGGTTCTGTGTTTGTTGTCTTGTGCTGTCATTAGCGTCTGTGTTGAGTAAATCAGTAAAAGTGTTTGTTTCCTCATCCTGAAAATGTTAGGACAGTTCAAAACCAATTCCTTAAAATCCAATCCAACTCTTCTTTCTGTTCTAGGGAACCAACAATCCTATCTTTCTGAGCAGCATCGCCTTCTTCCAGGACTCCCTCATCAATCAGATGACGCAAATCAAGCTGTCTGTGTACGATGTCAAAGACAGATCTCAGGGAACAGTTAAGTAACGTTCGGTTTGGGCAATACTCTCCCTTCACTTGCAGTTATGTAACAGTCTGAGCAAGGTGTGAGGACAAGACTGAGTTCACTACTGGCTTACGAATCGACCTATGTCAAAGCGTACTTGTGTCTGGGAATTCACTTCTGAGCATTGCCACGGATTCATGACGTGAGGGGGGGCGCGTGTTACAGGAACACCTAATTTCCCTGGGCTATGGTACGTGGATCAGAGAGACACCAAGTATCCTTATGCTGTTTCTCCCCGTCTCCCTTAGATGTATTTACTGGGCTCTGGAACATTCGTTGTCAAAGATCTGCTCCAGGACAGGCATCACAGATTGCATCTGACACTGAGGTTGGTGTTTGCTTTATTCCTTCGAAAGGGCCTGGAGTTTTGCCCCTGCATCCTCCCAGAGTCTGTCTGGGGGAGGCAGTGGTGTCTGCTGAGAAGAGGTCAGACGAACCACTCAGTCTGTCAGAAGGCCTGTCAGGATGGTGCCTTGCTGCTCCCAGGACCCTGATGACCCAGGATGGCTGAGCTCTGCCTCCAAACCAGTGCTTATCAAGGCATGATGTTTGCTGCAGGTCTGCAGAGAGTGACCGCGTCGGTAACATAACGGTGATCGGCTGGCAAATGGAGGACAAGTCAGACCAGCGGCCCCCTGTGACCCGGTCTTTGGACACTGTCAATGGGAGGGTGAGTGGGTACCTTTCTCATCTCCCTTGGAAGGAATTATAGGAGGATTGAATATTTTCATGCATATCTGTGCTTAGTAACGGGCAGGGCCTGCTGATGATACTGCCTTCCACGGAACTCTCAGGTCTTTCTTAGGTGCGATGCCACATGGAGCGGAGGGGCTCCTGGTCTAACATACAAAGCCCTGCTGACCTAGAGCTTGCCTCTGCTCCCTGTGCCACACTGGCTACTTCTTTGGCACAGGACTGAGAGTAGACTCTCTCGGCTAGAGATGTGTATGGGGCGAAGTGGAAAGGTGTGAGGTCAGAGGTGATGGAGACCTATGCCTTCCATTCTGCTCTGGTAGTAACTGTCTTTCCCAGACACAGTCACCTCCTTCACACCCACATCCTCTCAGGACCTTCCCTTCCTATCCTCTGTCTCCTCATGGCCCAGTCTCTCACCCAGACACTGTTACCAAATGGGAATTCCAGTTTAAGAGCCTAGCACTGTCAAGGAAGCATTATAAAGTACAAAGATACCGGATTTTGCCTGAAGTATGCTCAGAACACTAGCACTGAGGATATTCTTGGTACCAGAACACTGAAACCTAAGACGAAGTGACTTAGAAGGCAGGCATGTGATGACAAGTAGGACTATGGGGAGGGGCGTCAGCGTGTGTCTGGGCAGCATGGACACTGTAGATTAGCGTTGTGCACTCAGCTGCCAGGTCTCACCAGTGCTAGAGCACTCTGGAGTCCTCAGTCTCAGTGTTCTTGTGCTCTTCTGTACTTCTCATCAGATGGTTCTGCCAGTGGATGAGAGCCTGACGGAGGCGTTGGGAATCCGGTCCAAATACGCCTCTTTGCGGAAAGACACCTTGCTGAAATCAGGTAAGCAGCTTCTCCTGCCATGCGTCTCTTGGGACTGTCCACCCACCGTGATTGTTGCCCGTCTGCTACTGTTCTTCAGTACAGCACTTCCCGCAGCATGTAGTCAGTGACCCCTTGAGGAAGGCGCTCCTTTTACTCCTATTTGACTTGGGTTTGACAGTGTTCCCGCCCCAGCTCCTTACATGCTAGAGTTACATCCACCTTCTGGCGTAGAGATGGGTGTCAGGTAAGTCACTTGGCAGGGCTTGGTTTAAGTGGAGTTTGTTTCTTGTTGTAGCTGTTTGCTTGCTGGTAGCGTTCTTGGGGAAAACAGGGCTGAGGGTCATTGAGGGCTTGAGGAGGGGGTCCATACAGGTGGGTCTGCAGCCACCTTCCTGTGTTCCCACCTCAGTGTTCGGCGGTGCCATCTGTCGCATGTACCGGTTCCCAACCACCGATGGCAACCACCTACGGATCCTGGAGCAGATGGCAGAGAGTGTCCTCTCCCTGCACGTGCCTCGGCAGTTTGTGAAGCTGCTGCTGGAGGAAGATGCAGCCAGGTGAGGCCACCTGGGTGAGCACTCAGCACCCATGCCGTATGCGCATGCCTCAGTCAGGCTGCAGTGCAGACCCAGGCTCTTCCATCCTGGTTTGGGGCCCTGGGCTTCCAAAGCCTTAGTGTGCTCCTCTGGCTCACAGATGGCTGCGCTTGGCTAACATCAGCACATCTTCCCGGTGTGTCTTTTTCCTGGCCTGCTGAGGCCACAGAGATAATGGCTCAGAAGGTTATCCTTCAGGGTACTCTCCTCCCACAGAGCAAAGCTGTTATGCTGGGGCATATTTTTCACTTCCAAGTAAGGGTGAGACTATTTCCTGTCTGTCTCAGACTGTGACCTCCACACCTTTTTCTAAATCAGTGTCAGTGATTAACACCTGTAACCAGAGTCCTGGTATCCTAGTGCAGATGTTTGCATTTTCACCCTGAAAAAGCTGAGAAAAATAGCAAGAATACAGTGAGTACCATAAAATGCCTCTCATACAATACAAACTAGTGTTTTGCTGTTGTATTCTGCCTGTGTACATATTTTATCATAATTTTAACTTATAGTTGCTATTTATACCTACTTATATAGCTATAATCAGTTTCTCGGTGCATCTTCAGATTTCATGTTCTAATTTTCACCACCCTGGGGGTGGGGCGTATGTGCCATGATGTCATGTGGAGGTCAGGGGACAGCTTTGTGGACTCAGTTCTCTCCTTTCACTTGGTGGCTCTTAGGGATGTAACCCAGGTCGCAGACTTAGCAGCAAGCACCTTTACCCACCGAGCCATCTCCCCAGCTCTCGTGTTGTCATATATATTTTTTTTGCCTGCTTTCTGTTTCACTGTGCATTAGGCAGGTGCTTTAGAGCCAGTTAAGTTGTTGGCAGCAACTCAGTTGGGCAGCAAGGATGCTCAGACAGGGAGATGGGGCCACTCCCAGAAGCATGCGACTGTTGCTGTGTGCTTGACATGGGAAGGGAGTTGTTAGAGTGAGGGCGGGAGGTGAGTGGTTTCTCACATCCCTTGTCCTTCTGTTCTGGGATATCCCCATCCTGCAGAGAACTGGGCCAGTGCCTGAGAGGTACCTTCGAGGTCACCAGGCAGAGCTGCTCCTTAACTGCGGCTTTCCTCTCCCCACACCCACTGATGGCCTTGAGCATTTACCTGAGGTCCTAATAAGTTTCTCCACATGCTTTCCGTGTGCTCAGTGGTCTCTCACATCATGCGGTGTCTGGACGCTTGATTGCCCTTTGGACTGGCAGTCTAACTGCCGGCCCGGCCCACAGAGCAGCACTGCTGCTTCTCCTATACTCTGTGTTCCCGTCACAGCTCTAGGGGAGGTGGGTCAGCAGCGTGGCCTGACGCGTGTGTCTTGTTTACAGAGTGTGTGAGCTGGAAGAGTTGGGGGAGCTGTCCCCTTGCTGGGAGAGCCTCCGGCGGCAAATTGTCACCCAGTATCAGACTATCATCCTCACCTACCAGGAAAATCTGACTGACCTCCATCAGTACAAAGGTGGGTGTGGTCCTGCCCTCCCAAGGTGCTCACATGTCCCACAGCCACAACCAGATATTGAAGGCCTCGGTTGCTCAGACTCTCCATGATTATCTTGAGCGGGTTTTTAAAAATAGATTCTCACGTAGGTGTGAATTATTTCAATGCTGGGATTTTCAGATCTTAATTAAAATGATAAATTGGTGAACTGCAAGAAGTCTTTCTATGGTCTTATTTTCTAAAACAGCCACTGTAGAATAAGGTTGAAGCAAGGCAGAGAGTCTCAGATTATCTTGGTTCATGTGTGTTCTTCTTGGTCTTACACCACTGAAAACCAAAAGGATATGGTGTTTGCTTGAAGCAAAGCAGTTTTCTAGTTTAAATATTCCATGTCATTTTTATTGAATGAGTAAGTTGTCAGAATGCAACTCTCTATTTTAAGACTCAAAAGAAAAAGTAAAGTCAGACACCTCAACTTTTTTTTTCTCACTTGCTTTTTCTTCTTCCCAGGCTGGAGGCTGGGGACCAAGCCCAGAGCTCTCTATATGCCAGGAAGGAACCGTATCACTGTTTATTCTTGAAAATAATATTTGATTTTCAAACTATGTGATTTCTTCCTGATCCAATTTCTTTTTTTCCAAATAGGATAAATTTTTTTTGTTTCTTACTTATTTTAGTCTTTCAAAATACACTCTTTTTCTTATGACTTATTTTATAAGATTCATTTTCATTTTATTTTTGAGTTCTTATATAATTACAGCATTTCTCCTTTCCCTTTCCTTCTTTCTTTTAAAGTCTTCTTTATCTTTGGTTTCTTTCCTCCTATGTAATGCTTTGTCAGTTTAAGGAAAATCTTACACCCTTAATGTGAATTTCACACAGAATATAATAACTTGCCTATAAACTTAGCTAAGAGGATGTCAGAGCTCAGGCAAGATGGTTGTGTGTGGGACCAGTCTAGGCTCAAACAGGTCCAAGTGCATCACTTAGAGAGATGGCAGCATTTGCCTGAAGGGTTGAGGCACCCACCCATGCTGGATGAATGTTCCTGAGAAAGTTTGAAGTCCATGCAAACTTGAGTTTACTTGGGTAGATCTCCTTAGATGACAGAAGCATTCCACTTCTCTGAGAATCTTAGTTAAACACAGCCCGTGACTGTATTTCTTGCAGTGTCACAAGACAGACACATGGCAGGTCACTGTATGACTGCTTGACCCCTGTGACAAAAGACGGAACACATAGCTGCTGTCTGCCAGAGAGCCGCAGATACATTGTTTCTTACTAGTTGGAATATTTATTTCTTCACTCTTCTATTGTCATTTTCATTTGTAATCCCTCTGGTTGGTAGATAAGCGATTCCTCCTTTAGTTATGGATTCTGGATTCTGATTCTAGAAATAAGTTTGTGGCAACTGGTTACACCGTCTGACCTCTCTAGCAACAAGCATGTGTGAGGGAACTTACTGAAATGTATTGGAGAGGCAGGCAGGCTTCAGTGCAGTGTAACCTTGTTCACCTTGATGGATACAAGGTAAGGAGCAAACCTTTGCATCACTTCAGACTGAGATGTGCCCTTCTAGAAAGACCAGTTTCTAGGCTCTTGGATGACAGCAATCTGTAGAGTTGTCAGGTAGCCATGGTCCATTGGCTTTTATAATGGTTTTGGCATCACACTAAGATCTCATCTCTGTGCCATGTCTGTAAGCTGAACTGAGCCACAAGAGGTACAGCCTCATCACTACTAACCTAAAGGTCCTCATCCCTGGCTCTGCTCACCAGATAGCATTCAGAGCCAGTCCCTTAATGTCTTGAGTGGCCACTGTTGGAATATACCTGCTTCCATGAATCAGCAGCGCTAGGTCACTGCTTTCCTGCTTGTTCATGATGCATGTTGACGGCTCTGTTTCCCTGTGTCCTGTTCTTAGGTCCTTCATTTAAAGCAAGCAGTTTGAAAGCAGATAAAAAGTTAGAATTTGTTCCTACAAACCTGCACATACAAAGGATGAGAGTTCAAGATGATGGAGGCTCAGGTATTTACCTTTCTTACCCTGTTGTTGAATTGTTCCCCTCCTTTACTTTTGTGTACTTGGTCCCTGAGTTGCCTGATATATGGCCCATTTTTCCTGTATGCTCCATTGCTGGGCAGCAAGAGATCCCCCGCCCCCCCCCCACAAACTCCCCCATAGACCTTTGAAGAATTTCAGTTACAGAGCCCAAGCCTCCTCCTTATGCATCTTCAGCTTCCTTTTGTTGTTATGGCAGAAAGTTGCCCATCATTGAGCCTTTCTCAGGAGGGGTAGAAGTGAGCATTTAGCAGCCCAGGTGGCTCTGCTTTCAGACAATTTTCTTACTGAATAGTTAGTGTTGGGTCCAGAAAGCCCTTTTTCAGCCTCAGGATGTAGGATCAGGGAGCCATAGGCTGTCTGCATGTGGGCTGTAGGGTCCTAGAGTGCTGTGCATATTGCTGTAGCTGGCCTATCTGCAGGCCTGAACTCAGAGTAATAGAGGAAAGCTTTCTGTCACTCAGATCAGAACTATGACGTTGTCACTATCGGAGCTCCAGCAGCACACTGCCAAGGTTTTAAGTCAGGAGGTCTTCGAAAAAAGCTGCACAAGTTTGAAGAGACCAAGAAACAGTAAGTAAAGGAGGGTATTTGTGGTGCTCGTACAGCTGTGTCTGGTGTTTGTGAGTTAAAATAATCAAAACAAAATCGCAAAAACATGCAGTCATCTGATCTGCTTCTGCGTGGCTGGAGGAGCTGCCTTAGGGACCCCGTGCTACTGTGTGTGTGCGTGTGGCTGAGTAAGTTGTGAGGGCACCAAATCAACCGTCCAGTTCTTTCCAAGTGAGCCACATACAGAGAGCCACCCTGGGAGTGGCTTTAGGTAGCCACCTGTTCCTGCTATCTCAGCTCCCGTTAGACTTGTAAGCCTCTGACAAGACTGTACTTTCAGGGATCATTTCTATAGTTCCTAAAGCCTGTGACACTCTGTCCTTTCCTAAAGAATAGCAGTGGCACATATTCCCACTGTTGAAAGGATCTGGAGGATTTCCAGTTCTGTCCTGAGTAGGACATTGCCAGATAGACAATAGGGTGTGTGGAAAGGCCTCTCAGATGAAGCATTCTTTGGATATCTTCCAAAATGTCACCTGGCAAAATTTAAGTGGACAAAAGGAGTGTGAGTGTAATGCCTGACATGAGTGATGCTCTTGTGACGTCCTTGGGCAGAATGTGAGATGGAGGAAGTACCAGAAAGGTCTCAGTTTGGGAGACTAATTATGGTTTGAGTGTGTTTTGGCTACTGTGGAACATGCGTGTGTGTAAGGTGAAGTAGAGAGGAGGACAGAGAGGCAGTTATCCCAGAAGGGACAAAATAGCAGGTGGGTTAGCAGAGAGGTCTTCAGGTGGGAGGGAGTAAGACAAAGTGTTGCTGGAATGCCCCTGTAGATGTGATCTTGAGAGTAGGATGGCTTGAGAGACATGAAACAAAGGTCTGGGGGCCCCAGACACCCGCGTGGTGGCAGGTGGAGGAGGCACCAGCACAAATGGGATTTGATTGACCATTGCCCAGTTCTGCTGCTGTGGCCAGAGTAAGGGTACTGCATGACTGGGTCAGGATGCTAGACAGGTTAGAACAGTGGCCCATCAGGGGCCATTTGAGTCAGGAAGACAGAGTACCACTGATGTGGGTGATGCTGATGACTGAGCAGGGAGCAGGAGAGGACATTGTCCGAGAGGTTGCCCTTCCAGCGTGTGTCAACTAGCCCTGGATGGGAGGAGAAGCATGGAAAAGGCTGGGCTCTGCAAAGCCATTTCAGCATTCCAGTGAGGCCTTCAGACAGCCAGACTTGCCTCGCCATTCATGTCCACAGTGTCCTACGGAGTAGGAAGAAGTACAGAGATTCCATGGGCCATCTCAGTTCTGTGCAGTCAGCCAAAAGTATGTGTGTCCCTCCATTGCCTGATGTTGTGTGGAAAGAGTGAGTGTATGAGTTGAGGGGGTGTGGTTCCCTGGGAGAGAAAGTACATTCATTCTAGGTGACCAGTCAGGAGGGGACACCTGGCTGTCCCTTGTCCCTGAAAGGTCGCAGATGACTATACAATTTAGCTTCAGAACTTATTTTCCCAATGCTTCTTGTGGTCTTTCAAATACATAATACAAACTGTATGTTAACTTTGTACTAGTGTCATACATCCACTTTTTGGAAGAGTTTGTGCTGATTGAGCTTTCCTTTAAATGCAGATGTTCTGTGTCCCAGTGGGATGTCCCTGGGGCTTGAGTGCAGGGCACAAACTTGCTCCATGGAATAAGAATTTGACTCATAAGTTTGTGTATCCCTATAATCATGGCCTCAACAATTACCACTAAGTAATTTGAGAAAAAGAAAATCAGTCAGCCTTTAAATTTTGTTTTGCCTTTAGTATTTTGCTAACAATTGCTAATGCTTCGTTTTGGTTTTTTTTTTCTTTAGCAGTTTTGAGGAGTGTTGGTGAGTTTTTTGTCTGTGGAGAGAGTGTATGTTGATTCTTGCTCTTGTGCAGAGAAAGCCTATGCTGTCCTTCATCTGGGGCGGCTCCATCTCATTTGCTGCGTGGCTCCAAGTTACATGTCCTATAGGCAGAGCTCTTCCTTCCAACTGCAATGTTCTTCCATAATGAATAGCCACCTGCAGCCCGCAGTCCTCCATTCAATCCTGACAGCAGTTTCTTCCTGCACTCAGCAGAGACAGGGCTCAGTTTGCCTCCTCCCAGGATACAGAAGAGCCCATTTAGGGTATCCCAGCAGCCCACTAGTACATTTTACAGCACACACCTTCACCCAGTGAGACAGTTTGTTGATCCAAAGCCATTGAGAACCTTTTGTTTGTTTGTTTTCAACACATGGTAGGCAAAGCTTAATCACTGTGCTCCACTCCACTTTTATTTTGAGACAAGGCTCACTAAGTTCACCCAAGCGAGCCTTGCACTTGCCCTGCAGCCAAGGTTTTTCCCTAAACTTGTAATCCTCCTGCCTCAGCCTTCGGGAGCTGGGATTGCAGGTCTGTGACATCAGGCCCAGTTCAGTCTTCTTTTACAAGAACTATGAAGCCTTAGAGTTTTTGCCTTTCCTTTGTCTGATGGAGCCAGTTTACATGGTCATAATACTTGCTAATTTGTGTTGATTTTAATGATGGTGTTGTTAAGGGCAGTTTTACCCATTAGATAGCAGACAAGAGCTGAGAGAGCCTTTCCTCCAGAGAATTAGACGGGAGCCAGAAGTTACCATGTCTTTCTAGGCTCTATCCCTTAGTCCCAGACTGGCAAACCAGCTGCTCACCAGGAGGAGGCCCCATAGCCCTATGGGAAATGCTGCCACCTTGATCTAATAACCCATGAGGCTTTGGGGCTGGGCCTAGGTCCTAGTTGAGATGCCAGCGCTCTGCTGGGAACACAATGACCTGAGAATCCACAAGCACACCTAAGATGGGGCATCACCAGTTTTCCCTTGAGGGGGCCCCTTCCCTGGAGTCCTGAGGGAGGGAAGAAGGCATCTGGGGGGGGCCCCTTTCTCCACAGCTGTGTTATAAAGGTGTCCCCTCAGAATCTCTATCACTTTCCCTCCTGTGACTTCTCGGAAGGGAGGCTCATTCTTTACCACAGTAGGATGAGTCAAATCCCTAAGGGTCCGAGGAATTAGCAGTGAAAGTATAACATGGAGAGCCAGGGGCCTACTGCCCCTTGGTCAGTTCTAACTCAGGTGTTTTATTCTGGAGGGTTCTTCAGGTTCCTTCTTAACTGAAGACTCTAGACCTTCTGTGTCTCAGGAAGGGCTTGGTCATGGTCACTCCCACCCTTTCCCTCTCTTCTCCCAGGGTGCCAAGCATTTCTAAGACAGGTGCAAAGGTTCTAAGACAGGGGAGCAAAGGGACACCCAAATCTGGGTGGGGGGAACGGGACAGTTCCACAGGACTGTCAGCTATGCATTGACAGCCTTCCCTGTCATATCCAGAGTTACTTTGCATGTTAGGAACTCCACTTAAGCTTACATGGCATTCTGTGTTTAATCCCATGGCCTCCATTGTGAGGAGGTATGAGTCAGCAGGCCTGGGGTAGTGGTTTAACATGAAGCCCAAGGACCACATATAAGCCATTGCCTCCTGAGGCTATTGCAGAAAGAGCTGGGAGCCCAGATAATGAGTAGAATAGAGATTCTTCCCCGCCCCCCCAGGACTGTTTACTACAAGGCAGTAGAGCCTCTGTACCCTGCCCCATTGCCATGGTGTGGTTCCTGATTTTGGAGCTAAGTAAGTACATGCATTTACATATTCCTGATGTCCCCAAGAGCAGTTCTGTGAACTTCCCCATTTGTGCCTTCACCACACGCTTTCATGTGTCAGTCCTAGGGGTGTTGCTATAAAATGCCTTCTTAGAGCACAGACGGCGTGGGGTGATGTGCTCCTGTCAGCGTGGGCACAGCTATGGGCACACGACAGTAGACCTACACACACTGCACATAGTACACGCGACTCTAAAGGTTGAGGACCAGAAAGGACATATCCCATTTTTTAATTCTTTTTGAAATGTATTCCTAAGACCTGACTATCCCAAGCGGCAGCTGTTCATTTGGGAGAGATTGCAGATTGGAAAGCAGCTCCTGCTCGCAGTGCTGTGGAATGACTCTGGCGCTGTAGACTCACCGCCATCTGCTGCATGGGCTTCTGGCAAACCCATCATTGTCTCTTGTGGCGTGTGGGCTTGTGGTGGTGGTGTTTCTTTCTGGGGCAGTTTGGTTTGTGGTGTTTGCATGTTTGCCCCGTAGTCCAGAAGAGTAAGGGCAGTGGCGGTTTCTTTCTGACTTGCTTCTGGGCCTCCCTGGAAAGGTCTCAGGTGACCCTCACCTCCACAAGTGGGGTAGGGTGTGGTGAGGGTCATACTCTGCTCTCCATGTTGCCCCTCAAGGCCAGCCCTTTATTTCATAAGGAAAGGGATAGCATTCCATCCAGAACTCAATATCCCCAAATCCTAGGAGACCTCTGCATTGGTGACTTTCATGTCTCCTCCTCAGTTTCTCGGGCATCGAGATGACCTCAAAAACAAATTAGTAATGTTTGATTGATTGAGACCTGAGCTAAGAGATATAAACTTACCATTGCCATTTTGGATGACCACACATGCTGACCCCACCCATGAAGCTAGAGCATATAGAGTTGCCCCCTCAGAGGCTCCTGATTGTACTGGGCAGCAGCTGGCCTGGCACTTTGACTTCTTTGTTCCCACATACATATGCTGCTCGGTGGTGAGGGGACAGGAAGGAGGAAGGACTGGGTTTCAGAGGCATTGAGGCGTTGGGCCGGCCTCTGGATGGCAAGGTCTCTACATTCTCTTATGGAATGCTGTTGTCAACATAAGGACATCCTGAGACAGGAGAGAGAAAGGATTCCCAGTGTTGGGAACTTGCTGTGGTTAATATGTGAGAAAAAATATGTGAGTTTACTCACAGGAAGTCTCAAGGCCCCAAATGAAGAAGCAAATGTTAGGGTATGCTTTTGGTTCTTTGTTTTTTTTTTTTGTTTTATTTTAATATATAGTCTAACATCTATTGGTAATTTGATCCTTTCTGGTGTAAGCAGACCCCAAATCTCTACTGAAAGACTGCTTTTAAGTTAATAGATGAAATTCCTAGGTAAGATCCCAGCATTGGGTAATCATTACAGTGCTATTCCAATGTATTTATAGACATGTACATGCTTGTAGTAAATATACAGACACATACAGGTACAAGGACACATAAAAGTCTTAGTCTTCTATATATATTTTATACTTCTCCTTAGATTAAAAAGGATCTTCCAAGATTGACCTTTATCCATCAGTGACTGAACTTCGACAGGAAGACACCTCTTTATTTTAGGGTTAGTTGTGGGTGGGGTGGATGATTTTGGAGAGCCCCTTAGGACCTGTTGTTCCTTTTAGTACATCATCTAGCTGCCAGTCCATAATCTACATACCACAGGACATCATCCGAGCCAAGGAGATTATTGCCCAGATCAACACCCTGAAAACCCAAGTTAGCTACTACGCAGAACGGCTCTCCAGGGCAGCCAAGGACAGGTCTGCCACTGGCCTTGAGAGGACACTTGCCATCTTGGCAGACAAGGTAAAGAGGGGCTGCCCAGTTGCATGTGGGATGGAGAGGTCCCTTGCATTTCTGGAAGCTATTGGACCACCCAGGGTCACCCAGGCATGCCTAGAGCTGACCCTTGCGAGAGTGGCATTGTGATGACCTTAAAGGTTTCTCTTTTAAGTTCACTTTCCACCAAGTCACAGGGAAGTTTGGGGATCTTCCCATGATCAGAGCCCAGGCTGTGACTCTCAGGTGTAGCTTGAGGCCAGAGTGTTGATGTGTCTTCTAGCACGTAAATCTGGGTTCACTTTCTTGGGACTTGTTGCACACGTCTGCTTCCTTAGTGACTTCTCAGTCAGCACCTATGTAGCAATTATTCAGACATAAGAAATGAACAATGTAATCTTATCAGCTGATGTATAATTAATTTTTTTATTTAGGTTAGAAACAATCTTGTTTCACATGTCAATCCCCGCTCCCTCTCCCTCCCCTCCTCCCCCGCCCTTCCCACCAGGTCCCCCAGTCCCCCACCCAATCTCCACTCCGATCCCCAGGGAGGATGAGGTCCTCCATGGTGGATCTCCAGTGACTGTCGTTTCATCTAGGGCAGGGGTTAGGCCCTCCCCCAAGAGTCCCGGCTGAGAGAGACTCCCATATTGTGGCATGGGTACTCAAAGTCTATTTGTAAGCCAGGGATAAATACTACCCAAGGCCCCATAGATTACCTAGGCCTCCTCACTGACACCCACATTCAGGGGGTCTGGGTCAGTCCCATGCTTTCCACACAGCCATCAATCTGGAGTCCAAGAGCTCCCCCTTGTTCAGGTCAGCTGTTTCTGTGGGTTAAACCAGCCCACTCTTAACTCCTTTGCCCATCAGTTCTCTCTTTCTGACACTGGATTCTAGTTCAGTTCAGTGTTTGTCTGTGGGTATCTGCCTCTGCTTTCATCTATATAATTAGTTTTAAAAGTTCTATTTAACCATAGCTCAGTCCTAATTAGAAATCTGCATTCTAGAGAGCGGCTCTATCAGCCTGTGGTGGATGGTGCTGTTTCCCATTACCCAGTCTCTTTCCCTTCGCACACAGATTCTCATGACACCTCTCCACCCACACCTGGTTTACAGCAGGGTGGGAGCTGTTGTTGCTGCTCAGAATGTGTTATATTCTTCACATGCGTTTGCACAGTGTAAAGACAGACCAGGACCACGGGGAAAGGAAGTTATGGTTGTCAGCAGTAAAACCAGGAATAGCAGTCTCCAAGACCAGAAATGCGATGCCACAGTCCAGTAGTTCAGAGCCTGGAGCATTCAGAAGTAATATGTAACTTCTGGGGACTAGCCCCTGGGAGGCTGGGACACATTCTTCCATGTTGTCAAGGCTAGAGTATAAGCCCTTTTCTCTAGTGAGCTAGGGTCAAAGGTAAACAGAGCTAGAAAGTGTCAGATGGGATCCTCAGCCCCTTCTCTTCTACCTTGACCACTTCTGGGATAAACGGATCTCAGGGAAACCCCTGTGTCCTCTAGTCTAACCAGGAAATTCTTGCTGAGATTATCCCTGCCAGGTCACATACCCTAGAGAGTGCCATCCTGTAGGCTCTGTGGAACAGGGTGGGTGGCAGAAACCTTGCTTAGGCTGTCTCCTTCTCCAAGAGAAAGAATGAGTAGCAGCCTGCTTTGTGTGCCTGCAGACCCGGCAGTTGGTCACTGTCTGTGACTGTAAGTTGCTGGCCAACTCCATCCATGGGCTGAATGCAGCACGGCCTGACTACATCGCTTCCAAGGCCTCCCCTACCTCGACTGAGGAGGAACAGGTGATGCTGCGGAATGACCAGGACACCCTGATGGCCAGGTGGGCGGGGAGGAGCAGCCGCTCCTCCCTGCAGGTGGACTGGCATGAGGAGGAGTGGGTGAGTCTGCTGCCCTTGCCTCTTGTCCTGCTGCTGAACTCGGGTTGAAAACGGTACAACTACTGCTGTGTCTTTCCTCACAAAGGGCCTAAAGGCCACTCCTTTGTTACCAAGCTCCAGGTCTGCTTCCCCGGTGGCTCTAGGCCACTTGATGCCGAGAGGTAGACTATCTTCAGGCATGCGCCAGGAGCCAGGACTCCCCTCTTCCTCAGCCCTCTGCTCATCCTTTGCCCTTAGGACTCTTTATGTTCAACGCGGGAGCCCATTGCTACCCTGACATGTCACTTCATTGTTCCAGAGTTGGCCAGAGAGCTGCATCCTTGTCTCTTTAGGAAGGGACACATCCTACCACTTGTTGCCATTTGTTGGGGCTCCTGTTCAGAGGGATCCTGTGAAGCACTGAATTATTAATTAGCAGCAAAGTGTTCCTCCAGCCCTGGCAGCGTGTGGTCTGTGGGGGCTTCTGCAGCTCACTTCCAGCCTGCCCTCTCCTCCTTCCAACTCCCTCACCCCCTGCCACCAGCTGTTTCCATTCCTGTCCATCAGAAGACCTCAGTGTGAGATGTTTGTAGTGGCCTGCAGTGGGAGGAGGAAAAAGGGCCTGAGTTCTTAGTGCCCTGTGGCCCATTGGGTGATACTGGAAGGCTGTCTGTCTTCCATAGAGTTGCCAGCAGATGTCTGCCAAGCTTTCAAGTCAGTGACCACAAGCTGCAAATTGTCTTTGAAAAGCAGTCTGACTTGAATGGTGATCTAGACATCATCAGGCTGGGACTGAGAGAGAGACGGTAGGCTGTGTTCTATTCTTGTCTTCTGTTGCACACACTGACCCAAACCGTCTTCTTGGCTTGAAGGAGAAGGTGTGGCTGAATGTGGACAAGAGTCTGGAGTGCATCATCCAGCGGGTGGACAAGCTGCTGCAGAAGGAGCGTCTTCATGGGGAGGGTTGTGAGGACGTCTTCCCCTGTACAAGCACCTGCTCCAGCAAGAAAGGTAACCGGAACAGCCAAGCCTACTGGATCAGACCGGAGGACCCCTTCTGTGATGCCCCCTCCTCGACATGCCCCTCCTCCATGCCCACTGCTGCATGCCATCCTCACCCAAGTGCACGTGCGTATGCATCCACGCTCCCCACGCTGCCTCGACTTGTGCGTCATCACTTCTGTGTGTCTGTGTCTCTGACTCCATGCCTGCCTCCCTCTAGCAGACTACAGGGAGGGCTTTCAGGCAGCGCAGGATGTCACGGGGAGTCCACATGCATAGAGCAGCAGATAGGCAGGGCCGAGACTCCTATTGTCTTTCCATGCAACTGGAGCCCACTGAATCTGCATCGTCATGGACAGACTGAGCCCTCCTGGGCCACAGTGTCATGGCTGTGAAGTCTTTTCAGGTCTGTAAGCCAACCTGAGAAGCCAAAGACGGCTGGATGCAGATGTCTCTGTGCTGTGATTTCTGTTGTATTGGGAATGGATAGACTGCTTTTTTAAAGTGAGCTTCATAGGAGCGATGCTGGATGAGCGGTACTTGCAGCCTCACAGGCTCTTCTCATTGACTGGGCGTGCTCTTATCCAGCAGAAGCATGATGCCTGGGGTCTTGTAACTCAGTCAGATGGCGGATAAGGTGGACTGACCTGCTTGACACCAATCTTTGAGGGGGTCTTGAGTGTAGAGCAATGCCATGCAGCAGCATGCTTCAGAAAGGGACACGGGCATGCTGACTACCGCCCTCAAGATAGCCAGAAGGCTGAGGACTCACGTGTCTAAAAACAAGTAGACCTTGGTCTCTCCTCTTCAGTGTCTCTCCTTTAAGAGCTGGAGAATCCTTAGGTCAAGTCATCTGAGCCCTGGCTGTGCATCAGGCTTCTGCCCCCTCTTGCCTCTCCCTAGGGAGCGTTAGGCTGCAGTAAGGACAGCCAAGATGTCAGGGTTAGGGTTCATGTGATAAGGACTCTGCAATTCTCACTTGGCTGTGGCCATTGAAGGTGGAACCATGTGCCTTTACCAGAGTCCCCTGATAAATCCTTCATGTGTTGTGTGTTACCTCTTATCTGTCTGCATTGTTTCCAGGGCACTGTACCATGATTCTGCTTTTCTGTCAGGGGGTGGGGGTTCCAAGCCTGTGATTGATTCCTCAAACTAGCCGTGTCTGTTTTGTTCTCATTTTTCTGTTTTTTTTTCCTCAAAGTTCATTACTTATTTTTCTTTAATAGTAACTTGTCTGTAGGACTAGGGATATAGTTAAGTGGTAGATCACCTTCCTGCCATATATGAATGAGACTGCTTCAGGACTGAAGGAGAAATATATATAATTTTGCTTGTAACTTTAAATATTTTCTTCAGATGTGGAAGAAAATGGCTATATATTTTAGAATTTTGGAGCTAGTGTGTTGTGTGATAGGCTGTTTGTCTTTGTGACTCACTTGTCCATGGTTCTTGTCCTTGTTAGGGTTTTTATTGCTATGATACCACACCATGACCAAAAGCAGCTTGGGAGGGACAGTCTAACCAGCTGGAGGAATGGCCTAACTGGAGGAGTTTCCTAATTTCCAAATCATACAGCTTTTACCTTTAGTTTAATTAGATTTTAACAACTGGCATAAGGTTCTTTTGGCATAATTGATTTTATCATTGGGCCTTACCAGTTTGGAGCTCATCTGTAGATCTTGAACTCTGGATACCCCAGTAAGTCAGGGCAGTGGGCTCCACAGTTGACATGTAGACTTGTTGGTCATCTGTCTCATTTGATGTTGTAAGCTACCATGGGGCTCCATCACTACACCATTACCAGTGTGGCGTCTGTGGCATTGTGTATGTTGGTTCACTCATCTTGAACATTTTATGTTGAAGTGTTAACAACATGGATGTTGACTCTGGTGAATCACCGTTGTTCACCACTGAGAGGGCTCAGCTGCTCATAGCAGCAGAAACGCCCTTGGGAAGCTTGAGTAAGAGGCATCTGAGCCCCAGGCCTCTTCTCCATATGTTTAACCACCTTGCTGCAAGCTGCTGATGCAGTAGCTCTGAGACTGAGCTGCTCGTGTTTGAACTGTGTGCTGCTCCTTAATCATCCCTGTTGCCCTCCATTTCTGTGCAGATTGCAGCCCCCCTCCTGAAGAGTCCAGTCCAGGTACGTGGTTTCTGTTCAAGGCTCCTGCTGCTGGCTTTTAAGTATTCAGGTAGTGCTTGTAGCTCATTTATCTAAGATTGTCTTGTGTTCCCATAGTTGGGAAAATACTTTAGGATTTCCTTTTTTCTGAGGTTTGGTGAGGGACCTGTGGGACTGAGGGAATTATGGCCTGAAGCAGGCTGCTGGACACATTGTGTTTTCCCTTCTGCATCCTAAAGCCTTCCCACGTGATTTAGTCTGAGTACACTGGGTCCTCTGGCGGGTGATCTGATTTTGAAAGTTATGTGTTTGTGACTATTTCTGTATGTTCACCTGAACGTTTGCATATAGCTCTAAAGGCACAGTTGGATGATTTGCATCCCCTCGGGGTGTGGTGGTGTAGCATCCTCCCATCAGCTTCTGGACACAGCTTTAGAATTCTTTCCAGACATCGATCTGGACCTCAGTTGGGGTTACTGCTAAAAATGAAGTCTTTCTGCTCCATTTTCATGGAGAACCTAATGCCCCTGATTCTAGCTCAGGGATTGGCAAACTATAGTCTTGAACTAAATCTTGACCACAGCCTGTGTTTATAGTATTTTATTGTCTATCACCTATTGTTTTGAGTTAGTGCAGAGACACTGTATTGCCCTCCTACTCTATAAAGACTATTGTAGAGTGTGCCAACCCCTGATCTAGTTCCTAATGAGCTTCCTGTATATGGCTTGTGGTTTTCTCACAGTGTGCATGTGCCTCTATTACTCTAAAAAAAAAATCAGCTATATGATCAGGCCAATAATTGCATATTTCTGAGTGGCTCTAAGATGGAAAGACACCTGCTTTATATCTAGAGTACAGCAAATGATGGGCACAGGATTTGTGGAGCTGTTTCTGCCCTCTGACACAGTGCCATGAGTTCACTTACTGTGCCTATCTGGCAGTAATTCCAGAACAGCAGTGAAGTCAGTATCTAACTGGTCTCATCATATATTCCCAGTTTGCTTTCAGTCCCTTTATTGTTCTTTTTCCCCAAGTTCAGTGCAAGAACCTTGAGTGGGTCTTAGAGCCCGTGTTGTGAATGAGCTCTCAGGGCCATTGAGCCTTAGTAGATGCACAGCTAACCTTGCTCTCTTCTTGCCTGCAAGTCTGGGACCATGACCAGCAGTGAGTACCAGAAGGGGTGGCCTGTGAGCCTGTGACAGCCCTTCTCCACTCTTAGGAAGCACTGGTGGTCTTTCCACAGTTGATGTTAAATGAACAAAAATGGTTCCATGCCAGGGGTCCTGTACTGCATATTTAGTTCAGAGGCTGGAGAGATTACTCGATGGGTAAAGTGCTTGCTGTGTAATCATTAGGATCTGATTTAGGATTTCCCAGTGCCCAAGTGAAAAGCCAGGAGTGGTAGAGCATGCCTGTAATCCCAACACTGGGGAGGGAAGTGAAACAGGCTGGTCCCCAGAGCTGACTGGTTGGCCAGGAGGTTAGCCGGTTGGTGAGCATCCAGTTCATTGAGAGACCCTAGCTCAAAAAGTAAGATGGGGGCGATAAAAGAAGACATTAGACATTAACTTCTAGTCTTCACACATGGATGCACACACCTACACATGAGCACCTACACACACACCCACACACACATACTGTGTCTTTCATTCCCTGATAGATTAACTTAAAAAATGAAAAAGCAAAAGCAGACTGTAGATTGGAAGAGTACTTGAAGTTATCTGAAGAAGTATGGACCATGGGCTGGCCAGGCAGCAGACATCACAGGTTATCAGGTAGCTGAGGAATTTATCCCCCAAAAGTGGGACCTGGGACATTGCCTAGTTGACCTGATTAAAAAAATATTATTATTAATAATAATAATAAGTGGCAGTAGTAGTCTTTCCTTTTGAGGTAGCACATTTGAAAGCCCTTTACCAATTTCAACATACTAGCCATTTTTATTTGACAGGATGGGGTAGATAGATACCATGTGCTGCCATTGAAATCAGTTTGGCCTGGGATTTTTTTTTTAATTGTGAGTTTCCATTCATACTCAAAATACCTGTTATCCTCTAAGTCCTGCTCTCTCCCCAGTAGAAGTAGATTGACTACTAAATATAATGGCTTGTGAGTCAGTCAGACAGGTACAGGTGCTCACTCTGTTTGTGTTTTAGAGGACTCCGCCTCTGAGCCCATTTCCCCTGTGTGGATAAGATGGCAAGGCTATTAGAAATGCTGGAAATGGTGGTTGGTGCCCTTACTAAACTCAAGCCATCCAGACTTGTCTGATGCCATCTGGGAAGATGTCACACTTGCCCTCTTGCAGTTTCAAGTCACCCACTTTCCAAGCCTTTTAGTTATTTCTTCTACACTCTTTTTTTTCTAGTTTAGCAAATAAGTCTTATATGAATTTCATTTCTGAAAAACGTAGTTAAAGTGAAAAGGTCGTATTGGGGAAGCTTGGCTTAGTTGAACAGAATAACTTGATATTCTGATTGTTTTCAGGTTAAAATGGTCGTGATTATCCTATGAATTGTATATGTGTGATAATTGGAAAAACAAAGTAAAAATGACAGCATTAGATCCAAGCATTTCAATTCTTACTGAAGAGTAGCATTTGGGGGACTGAGGGAGCTTGATTGTTTTTATTTTTTGAGGTTGGGTATTAGTATGTAGTCCAGACTATCCTTGAACTTGACATCCTCCAGCCTCAGCCTTCCAGGCCCTGGGACTATAGGCATCCACTAGCATACCTGGTTTATGAAGAAATTTTTTTCTGTACCATTCCCAAATGATTTGCTATACTCCCTAGTTGTCATTGGCCATTTTTGATAGACTCTATTGACGGAGTTCTTCAAAGAAACAGGAAACATGGTTTCTGAGGTGTTCAGAGGGCGAGTGAGGTCTGGGAGTCTGTCTAGTGCTTCTCTCTTATTTTCCCAAAAAGGTACCACAGGGCCAAGGGGCCCAGGGCCTGGCCTGTGTTCACCACTACTCAGTGGCCAGGCATGGAACTCATGTTTTCCACTTCTCAGCCCAGTGGGTTGTTTTTTTTTTTTTTTGTCACTGTGTCATGTTTACTAAGACCTTTCTGCTTTAGATTCTAAATTTAAGCCTTTTTTCCATTACAAACATAACTCTTGTCCACATACAGCGTGCATGCGTATCCAGTTAGATCATTTCCAGCCCTGGACTGTTGTGTATTTAGTCCACACTGGTCTGGCGTTGAGTGTGGGCAAGTCCCTCCACACATCCGGGGAGTTAAAGTGCTTCAAGCAGAGCAAGCCTCCCCGCTCTTAGGGTCTCAGGCTCTGTGTGTGAGAGACCAAGGCTCCCTGTGGCAGGGCAGCTACACTCTGCAACTTTACGCCATTCCCGGGACATGCACTGGTTTCACCTAGTAGGGATGTGCTGATGCCTAATTTTGGACACGGCTTGTCTTTTTGATGTCTTCTAAGAAGGAAGGAAACAAAGGCAGAACCAAAGCTCCCCTAACCCTGCTCTTCCCCACTGAGGTTCTATTTTTAAAGGGTTTTTTTTTTTTTTGTACAGGGTCAAAGTTCCTTTACATTTCTGAAAGAAAACTAGGCTGGAAATAGTTGACATGGAGCAGGGAAGTGGGGGTTGAGGAACAGAGTGAATACAGAGGAGGTGACAGGAGCAGAGTTGGCGCTTTGCTGGGAGAAGGGCTGTGACATGTACCCCGTCTGTGGGCACTCCTTGTGGAGTACAGAACCACCATGCTGTAGAAGGAGATTGGCTATTCTTGCACACAGAATGCCTGTGGCCTTGTCATGACCTGCAGAAACTCCCTGTATTGTTGTTTCCTTCAACAGCCATAGTCTTGCCTATCGAGGAAGGGGCCGCTGGGAGTTTTAGGGGGTCCCTGGGAGTTTTGGGGTGTCTGGTGTGTGTGGTGACACCAGAGCAGAACTGCTTTACTGCAACCTACACAGGCAGAGGGATGGAGCAGGATTGGCTCTGGGCAGAACTTGGTGCTACATTTCCAGGCCACGCAGTGGGACAAACAGGGTCAGAAGGTAGACAGGGAATGAGGGTGTGAGAGGAAGGATGGGACAGTGGTTAGGGGTAGGTGGCTTGCTGCTTTACAGGACTTGCTTCTTGCAGCCTTTCTTTGGAATTCTAACAAGCCCTTCACTCATGCACAGGTGAATGGAGTGAGGCCCTTTATCCTCTGCTGACCACCCTCACAGACTGTGTGGCCATGATGAGTGACAAAGCCAAGAAGGCCATGGTCTTCCTGCTCATGCAGGATAGTGCCCCCACCATTGCCTCATACCTGAGCCTGCAGTACCGCCGTGACGTCGTCTTCTGCCAAACTGTAAGCTCCCAGAGGACCTACGGGTGATCGTGGGCACCTCCTACCTTAGAATAGACTCAGGCAGCCCTGTTCTTCCCCCTTTACTTGTGAAAAGTGCAGGTGGCCTTGTTTCCCCAGCCTGTTGCTTGTCAGTTTGCTTAACGGAGGCCTAGGGAGGAGACACCTCACCGATGAGTATTTGTTCCTCCTGAAGAGCTAGTTCTGCCAGGAGAGCGCAGCACCAAGCAGGGCAGTGGCAAAGGCCTCTTTGTCACCTTCTGTCTCTACAAGGGATGTGATGGAGGGTCTCATGGGTGCTTGTCCGTGCAATTGAAACAGCAGGCTCGCAAGCTCTGTGGCTTATCACAGGGCTCCACTGAAAGGCTTCAGTTACCATTCAATGACGAGTTGAGATGACTCTCCCAAGTTAAAAGATGCAGTACCAGAACTAATGATGTGAGTAGCTTGTTTGGGGCTGGTGATACTGGGAAGCCTGTTTGGTCCCACAGAAAACCTCCCTACAGAAATCAGGCATCTTTATTCACTCTTGTCTCCAGACTGGGTTGCTGTGGGTCTGACGAGATAGCCCTTTCCCTGTTGGGAATTGATTCTAAGTGTCCCAAAAGTTTCGGTTCTGTAAAACCCCAAGCAGGTCATGTCAGAAGCTGAGCCCAAATCAAGCTCATCTTTGACAGGTGCTGCCAGCCTATGTGTACCACCCTTCCCATAGCCTTTGATTACTAAGGTCCCAGCCCCTAGCGCATCCCTGAGGGATAGGAGATGCCACTGGTGTCCCTTGAGCAGTGGGAACAAAGGGGCCAGGGCATGTACGGGTTACTGCCTGGGGTAGCCATGCCTTTGTACACACCATCCTCGTGCTCTCCACAGCTGACAGCCCTCATCTGCGGCTTCATCATCAAGCTGAGGAACTGCCTGCATGATGACGGCTTCCTGCGGCAGCTCTACACCATCGGGCTTCTGGCCCAGTTTGAAAGCCTGCTGAGCACCTATGGTGAGACGCCAGCTTGGGTGTGACCCTGACCCAGGGCCACAAGGGTGGTTCCACTGGTGCCTCTACCCCCTTCCTTCTGAATGTTAAATGAGCCCAAAGAACTAGGTGATAACCCCGCATAGTGAAGCACACCCCTTGGTTATCTTGAAGGTCTTTCTAGTGAACGTGGGTGATAATTTGGGTTGCTTCTGAGTTACCCCCACTAAATTTTTGGTGCAGTGACACCTGTACCCTGAAGACATTTGTAATTATATGAGTGCTTTTGTCTAGCTGAGAAGGAGAGCTGCTGGTCAAGGGGAAGGTGTGGTTAGAAACTTAAAAGCTGATTTTAGGGAAACTCTTCCTCCCAGACTTTTAAAATATTTTTTTTTCATCTTGGGATTATGTTTTTTTATTTATTCATTCTTTTATATACTACATCCCCTCCCTCCTCTCCTCTCTGTCCCCCCACACCATTCCCTTTCCTCCCAATCCACTGCTCCATTTCCCATCAAAGAGGGCAGGCCTCCCAGGGATGTCAGCCAAACTTGCAGTAAGGCTAGGCACCTCCCCACATATTTAGGTGGATGGGACAACTCAGTGTGAGGAAAAGGGTTACAAAGGCAGGCAAAAGAGTCAGGGACAGCCCCTGCTCCCACTGCTATGAGTTCCACAGGACCACCAAACTACACAGCCATAACATACATATAGAGGACCCCCATGCAGGCTCCCTGGTGGTCGGTTCAGTCTCTGTGGGCTCCTGTGAGTCCTGCTTAGTTGATTCTGTGGGCTGTGTTCTCCTCGTGTCCTTTGACCTCTCTGGCTCCTACAATCCTTCCGCCCCCTCTTCCACAGGACTCCCTGAGCTCTGTCTAAGGTTTGGCTATGGGTCTCTGCATCTGTTCCCATCAGTTGCTGGATGAAGCCTCTCTGACAACTTTTAGGCTAGGCACCAATCTATGAGTATAGCTGAATATCATTAGCAGTCATTTCATTGTGTTGGCCATGGTGGGTTTTTTCCAGTCACGTTTGGTTCTCTCCTGGGTTCTGGGCCATCCATCCTCTGCATCCTGGCCCTTCCGGCAGGTGTGGGCTTCCTCTCATGGCGTGGGTCCTGGTGGTATGGGGGAGCATCTTTTGGTGGACGTACCCAGGAGTGATATAGCTGGGTCTTGAGGTAGATGGATTCCCAGTTATGTGAAAAACCATCATATTGATTTACAAGTTTGCATTCTCCTGGGTTCTGGGCCAGCAATGTTTGCTCTCCCGCCAGCAATGGAGAAGTATATCCCTTGGTCCACATCATCTCCAGCAGAAACTGTCACTGTGTTATTGATCTTAGCCATTCTGACAAACATAAGATGAAATCTCAAAGCAAGTTTTGATTTGCATTTCCCTGATAACTATGGATATTGAACACCTCCTTAAGTGTTTCTCAGCCATTTGAGATTCCTCTGTTGAGAATTCTGTTTAGATCTGTACCCCATTTTTTAATTGGATTATTTGGCTTTTTGATGTCTGGTTTCTTGAGTTTGTTATATATTTGGATATTAACCCTCTGTCAGATGTGGAGTTGGTGAAGATCTTTTCCCATTCTGCGGGCTGCCATTTTGTCCTGTTAAGAGTGTCCTTTGCCTTACGGAAACTTCAGTTTCATGAGGTCCCATTTACTGGTGGTTGATCTTAGTGCCTGCATTATTGGTGTTCTGTGTAGGGAGCTGTCTCCTGTTCCAGTGCATTCAAGACTGTTCCCCACTTTTCTTCTATTAAATTCAGTGTGTCTGGTTTTATGTTGGGGTCTTTGACCCACTTTGTGCAGAGTGATAAATATGGATCTGTTTGCATTCTTCTATGGCCACACCACTCCAGATGCACCCAATCTGGTTAGATTATGGGTTTAATGAGGTATCCAACCATGGGGTCAAAGGGAAGGGGCTCAGAGAATGTCCTCCCATCCCTGCCCTTAGCCCTCGTTCACAGCTGTTCTGGGGAGAGCAGAGGTCTTGACATCACCCTTTTCTCTTTCTCATCTCCTCTCAGGAGAGGAGTTAGCCATGTTGGAGGACATGAGCCTTGGAATCATGGACTTGAGGAATGTGACCTTTAAAGTCACTCAGGCCACGTCAAATGCATCAACTGACATGCTGCCAGTCATCACTGGAAATCGGTAAAATAATAGTTTTTTAAATACTTCAGTCAACAGCAGAGTTTTTCATTTGTGTTTGTCTCACAGGACACATTCTACTTTGCACTTTGCTTTTATTTTATTTTTCTCTTTTAAAACATGGCATACAGCCTTCTCCCGACCCATGTTAATTTTGTAATTTCCCCTTTAAGGTCTGAGTGGGCACTTGAACCACAGTCGTCAGAGTGTCACCCAAGGCTCTGAGTATGCTTTGGGCCTGTCCCCTACTCTCTGTCCCTACCTCACCCCTACTTTCCCTCTCTCCACTAGCGATGGCTTTAATGTGCGGATCCCTCTGCCAGGACCACTGTTTGACTCCCTGCCCCGAGAGATCCAGAGTGGCATGCTGCTGCGGGTGCAGCCAGTCCTCTTCAACGTGGGCATCAACGAGCAACAGACGCTGGCTGAGAGGTGTGTGCCTTCTCTCCTGCTGCCTACGCACTGGTGCTCGGTGTCCATGGAGCTGTGGGGTGGGCTCACCTCGTCTCGGAAAATCCACTGCCGTTGCTGGAAGGTGTTGTACATCTTTTAGTAGAACAAGGCATGACCAGATCTACATGTTAAGTAGGTCTTATTGCTGGCCATGGGTAGAAAGGATTGAGGTGAAACGTGAGGACGTTGCTGAAGAGGCTGGGCCACAGGTCAGTGCTATGGATCTGGGTAGGTGGAGCACGGTATTAGTGTTGTTCCGAGAAGGGACCAACTGGAGAAGGTAGCATGGACAATTAGTAGACTGAGGCTTCTAGATTGGACAGGAGGGCTGGTGCCTTCTCTGAGCTCAGCATGGTGAGGAAGGTTGTGCTTGGAGCAGATGATGCCTGGGCCCAGGCTGAGGCATCAATGCAGGAAACAGCTAAAAGAATCTCCTTTGAGGATAGTGGGCCTCCTGCTACAGCTGAAGGTGCCCCTGCCCCTGGTGGGTGGGAGAGAGGAAGGGAGGGAGAAAGGGAGGGATGGAGGGGAGGGAGGGAGGGAAGGAGGGAGGGAGGGAGGAGAGAAGAGAGAAATTCCCTGTATTCGGCTGCTGTTAAGAAGTTCTGGGAAGGACTGAGACAAGTCCAGTGAGCAGAGAAACGGGTAGAGGAGGTGAGAATGCATGCTGGGTGGAGTTGCAGGGTGAGCAGTGTGGGCTTGGCTTGTTTGACTTGTTTTGCTTCTGAGATGAAGGGAAACTGCACAGAATGGGAAGATGTCCCCAGCCCCCGAGGGAGCAGGTACCTATTAGACACAATGCTGTGTGGACACCAGGTTGCATTGTCTGTGTTGAGTAGGAGGGAGTACTGCCTCTGAGGCTAATACTGGAAGGGCGTAGATCTGGAGAGTGGTAGCCTGGGCTGAGGGCCCAGGTCTCAGACTGCACAACTGAAGGCCTTTTCCCTTTTACTGTTTAGCACCTTCCTTGCAGGTAGCATCCATCACTCATTACTTACCTCGTGTATTTGGTATCATCATTCTTGCAACATGTAGTGTGCGTAGGTCAAACCCACTTAATGAGAAAAGAGAAAAGGCCCTAGCCCATCCCAGAGGGACAGTTAGTGTTCACACAACAGAGGGTGACTTCAGATCCTAGCATAGTCTCCTTATTCCTGGCTCCCTGCACTGCTGCTCCCTTTCCTGGGTGTCTTTGAGGCAGGAAGACACAAGAACTCTAAGCTGAGAGCCTGTGACACACAATGGACTTTCAGTCTCTGAGCCTGATGCTGTTGGTCATGTTGTTGTTGCTGTGACAAAATACCTTTAAAAAGATAGAAAGCCTAAGAAGTAGACGTTTATTTTGGCTTATGATTTCAGGCGTTTCAGGGTGTGCCTGCTGGCTCCATTGCTCCTCAGCGTGTTCAAGGCAGGGCATAAAACCATGATGTAGAGCTCATACAGTGGGACAAAGTAGTTTACCCCATGGTGTGCCTGAGACAGGAAGGGTCAGAAGACAAGGTCAGCGCTTCAAAGATGTGTCCCCAGTGTCTGCTTCCACTAATTAGGCCCTGCTCCCGGTAGAGCATTTAACTGGAAACTTACCAGTGAGCCATCAGGATCCAGTCACTCTCCCTGGTACCCAGAGTCCAAGCTTTCCACATGTGAACTTGCAGAGAGACTTCTTACCAAACTGTAGCAAGCATGGAACCTGCACTAGTGTGCTCTTCTTAGGCACATCACTCTTAGGTGTACCTGTAATGAGTCACAGTGGCTTCTGCTTTTGAAATTTGTCCCTGGTACTGTAAAGATGGCTTCATCCTCAGGAAGGAAAGAAAGACTTGGGAGGTTTGATCCTCGTAGATATTTTTTGCAACTTTCAACTTGTTAGAGGTTGATGACACGGCCCTTCTACTGATGTTCTGATTCTCCCCAAGGTTTGGAGACACATCCTTACAAGAAGTCATCAACGTAGAGAGTTTGGTGCGGTTAAATTCCTACTTTGAGCAGTTTAAGGAGGTTCTGCCGGAGGACTGTGAGTATTCCTTCACTCATAATGTGCTCCACACTGCTTGTGCAGTCTTCTTTGGAGGCCTGAGCTCCAGCCTTCTGCTTTCTGTCTTGGATGCTGCCCATCATCCTGCTGCACTGTTGGGTATGCTCATCGTGTACACAAATCCCTACATGGTGTATTTGAGCTGTTCCTTCTCTGCCCCTCACGTCTGTGCATGGCATCCCATTCCCCTGGCTCGAGGCCCTCTCCGGGGCCCCTGCAGCCCTCTTCTGCGGTTGGTTCTCTTCTGCTATGCATGGCACATGTTCTGCCTCACAGTGATACATTCCGTGGCAGACTGTGTGCACCTGCCCGGAGCACCGGGGGTTCTTGGAGACAGTCCAAGGGTTCCGCATGAGCTGTCGTGTATTTGTCCCTGGCATGTAGAGTAAGATGCAGAAAAGATACTTTCTACTGAATGTTTGTGGGCAAGATGACCCTGCCACAGTCCCCCAGAGGCAGTGGAATTCCAATTTGTGCTCACGTACAGTTCTGTTCTCCATGTGAGGGCGCTTCAGAGAGAGAGTTCTGGCAGCCATAGCACTCAGGAGCCACCCAAGCTGCATAGCAGAACTTGTAGCTGCACAAGTCTTCTGACTTCATGCCAGCAAGGCCTCTGAGCCTCTGCCATGTTTATCCCCAGAGAGACCACCCCTGCCTCTGTGGGTACCACACAGAACATACAGACACCTGTCCTTGACTAGAGATAAGTTTCATTTTCACGTGTGTGGGGTGGGTCCAAACAGGAACAGATATTGACTGAGGATATAAGCAGGTTTCCTTTGCTTTCCATTAGAAGGGGAGATGGATCCTAGAGTTGAGAACCGATGCTGAAACAGCAATGCAGAGGACATTTGCAGGTCACTGATGAGCCAGGCAGCAGGCTAAGTGCTCTGCACACTGTTCCGTGTTCATTGCTGCGAATCATGAGAAGGGAAAGAAAGGGCTGCCTGCCTGTGAAACCTATGTTCATAGACCTTAAGAAGGACCCAGGAGAAGGCATTGGCATTCATTTGGCTGTGCTCTTTGGGAAATGGGAAAAAGTTGCCTCTGCTTGGGCTCCCCAGTGTGCTGGTTAGCCTGGGGGAGGGGACACAGGCTACAGGCAGCCCCAGGAAGGCAAGGGTTGTTTCCTCTGTGGCCCTCACCTGCTGCTAGTATGGCATGGTCAGGGACTGAGGCACACTGCATGGTTCTGACAGAGAGTCCGCTCCACTGAAGCCCCTGAAGCCAACACTTGCAGAACTTGAAGCACATTGGCCTGAGGCACATCGATACTTTCATAGTATCTTAATCTGGGTTTCTGTTGCTATGGTAAAACACCATGACAAAAACAACTTGGGAAGAAAAAGGTTTTGTTTCAGCTTATACTTCCACATCATAGTCCATCATCACAGGAGGTCAGGGTAGGAGCTGAAGGCAGGAACCCATGGAGGGGTAGCTTATAGGCTTATTCCCCATGGCGTGCTCAGCCTGCTTTCTTAGAGAATTCGGGACCAGCAGCCCAGGGGTGAGATCACCCACATGGGATGGACCCCCACATCAACATCAGTTATCAGTAAGGCAGTGCACCACAGACTTACCCAGAGGCCAATTTAGTGGAGGCATTTTCTCAATTGCAGTTCTGTCTTCCTAAACAACTCTAGCTGATGTCAGGTTGACATAAAATTTGCCAGCACACATATGCTCCAGGAGTGTCTCTAGCCTCTAGTCCCTCCCAGGACTGAACTGTAGATCATCAGCGAGGCGTCTTCCAATCTTTCCTTAGTGCTCATTATTAAAAACAGACCTGTCACGTGCTTGCCATATGCCAGGGGCTCTAGCTCATTTCTCATGAAGACTGTCTGCTCTGACCCCATAGCAGCTGTGCGGGTGCTGCTCTCTCACACACTTGACAAATGAGAACGTTGAGGTATGGAGGGTATGGAGGGTGTGTCTCCCCAGGAGCCACACTGATCCCAGTAGCATCTTTTCTGCTGTAAGAGGAGAGACAGGCATCAACCAGAGAAACAGGATAGACATTGATGGAGGGGCCAGTGCCATTCCAAGGATGGATGGAAGGTAGGCATTAGCAAGGGCAGTCCTGCGACCAGCATTTTGAATGGTGGACAGTTTCTGGTGTCTCCAGTACTCCTACTCCACCCCCAGGAGGTACAAAAGCAGATTGGGAATAAAGTCCAGGGAATGAGGAAGTCTGAAGAAGCAGAAGCTAGGAAGCCAGGGAGAGGTAGTCTGTGTGTTCATAAGTCCCAGGGAGTGTTGGTAAACTGTGCTTCCCAGAATCATAGGCTCCTTCCATGCCATGTCCACATGCCTCACAGTGGGCAGACAGGCATTAAAACAAAGGTTGCAGGTTAGGCCAGGGGGAGGCTGCAGCTGATGGGCAGTTGGAGGTAAGATCATTTTTCTCCTCTGGAGGGTGAGTGCCCTAACCAAGATGAAGCTCCCCTCTGGGCTCCCACAGCCTGCATTGCAGACTGCAGGCCTCACAGGCAGGAGGCTTCTCCCTCCTGTGTCTGCTTCATCTTCTGAGTGAGGGTGCTTAGCAGCAGCGTAATTCACGCAGGAGCCCATGTACACCAAAGGAAGGTTGTGCTGTAGGAGCTGCACTTGCCTGGAGAACTCAGACGTGTGTTTCCTTAGTTGTGACCTTGAGACTCTTCTCTCTAACAATATCAGTGTGTGAAAATCCCTCAATACCTTCAGAAGTGGTTTCCTTGTCTTTAATTTTTGTTCCAGGTTTCTTGGGTGAAGCAATATGACATGGAGGCTTAGGGGGTCCTGCAAGGGGAGCCTGGAAACTTCCACAGTCACAGAGAGGTGCTGTTAGGATTAGTGGGGCCAAGGATCCCTGAGCCAGTCAAAAGTTCTTCCAAGTGTGAGTTGAGGTCTCTTATAAGAGGCCTCAACTTCCAGACTCTCCCAAGATTTCCATCCACTAGCTCACTAGTCAAGACCCGTTGCTTAAAGCATCTTGATGTTGCTTTGGAAACCGGGCAGTTCACCCTCACTTCTTTCTCACTGCTCTTTGGAGGGGCAAGGGACTTGGGTAATTACTGTTCCTTTGGCAACTCCTTCTCCTGGCTCTTGGGGAAGACAACAAAAGATGAAAGTTGCTGCCCTCTGATGGTGGCACTAATACCAGTAAAGGGAACGGGGCTCAGCATCCTGGTGACCATGTTCAAGTCTGCAAACACCTCTCTCCTGTACCTGCTGTGAAGCAGGAAACTTCTTCCTCAGCAGCCATTATCTTTGAGAGGTTCCCTCTCCCATGGACACCTCTTGTCTTCCAGGTCTACCTCGATCTCGGAGTCAGACCTGCCTGCCAGAGCTTCTGCGGTTTCTAGGACAGAACGTCCATGCACGCAAGAATAAGAATGTGGACATCCTCTGGCAAGCTGCTGAGGTACACGTCATGGTGCAGCAGAGTTACAGTGCCTCTTCCAACACCACCGTAGCTAAGATAGACAGGTCAACACTTCAGCCAGGGAGGAGAGCACAGATCCCTCCAACAAAAAGGCACAAGGAAGGGTCACTGTATAGCTTTAGTGATGCTTGAGGACACTGAGCATCACTGCCCAGGAGTTCATTCTGATAGGGCTGCATGACTGCCCCTACAGACATGGTATCAGTTTCTGGGTATTTGCCGGCAGGACTGATGTGTTGGTCTCTGAAGAAACCTGCACAGTCGTTTGATCCCTGCTGAGGCCTTATCTACCTGGGCTTGAGAGGTTCAGAAGGAGACTGGTTACCTCTCCTAGCTCCTTATAGAATTCTTACTCTGTACTGCCATTCAGACCTCCTCGTTGCCCTGAGCACCTGCATGGCTGGTGTTTTCTCAGAGCTTCAGTCACAGAATTCCAGGTCTCCACTAAGACCTGGGGTATCTGAGTCAGTCACTCATGTGCCCCTCATGCCCATGGCAGTATGTCCTGTCCAGTTCCAAGATTCAGGACTATGAGCACTGCCATTGACATTCTACCTCCCTGCCTGGGCCTGAAAAGGACAGGAAGGGGCCCAGGCAGAAGCTAGCTTCACACTGAGGGGAGATGGCACTGTCCTTGTCAGGTTTTTCCAACTCTTTCTTCCATGGCAGCAAATAGTCCCTGCCTGGCCCAGTGCTTGCTAGACCATCCCCAGTTACTGTTAGAGCCTGTTGTAGTGGCTCTTTTCTTGAATGAGCTTTATAGTATGAGTGGCTTATGGCTGTGGTTGCTGATCTGCTTGTGAAATGGAGCGCTAGAGAGTAGACCTTCCCCTCTGCATCTGCTACAGCAGCCTAGCTGTGAGACACCCCTTCCCTGTGGGGGATGTGGGATGGGTCCACTGTGAATCTTTGTCTGGCTAAGCTGCCCTTTAAGCTTTTAATTACAATGGGACCTATTTTGAAACACCAAGTGACAAAAGTCTTAGCAAGATTCACAGACTGCGTTTTCCCATTTTCTCCTAGTTTGGGACCTAGTTTGTCATTGTCAGGCTGGGTTCAGCAAATGGAATGGAAACACAGAAGGAGAATATGCGTTCTCTTGGTTCCATGCAGCAGGGTAGTGGGGAGGGTACCTCTTCCTTTTAATTTGAGAGAACTGCTATAAAGTGACAGCCTGCTTCATAAGTGCCTTTGGGAACTTCTGAGAGCTAGCCTTTTTCATGCAACATAGTCCAGTGACACTGACAGATCCTGAACAGTGGATTAGGATTGTCCCTCCCTGATCCATTCTTAGAATAGCACAGGGACAGCTTTGCAGATGCACAGACCCATGCATGCTTGTTTAGAGACTGGGTCTCTGTCTATGCATGCCACAGAACAGTTAGATGTGGGGGCAGCCGATCCTCCCCGTCAAGTCCAAAGCAGACCTTCCAGCCCCATAGTTCTTGTTCCCAGTAGAGCCCCAGACATCAAAGCATAGATTCAGGGGTGCAGAGTTTTCAAGGACCCTTGTATGTCCCCTTTCATGTTGCTCATATGGTCATCTGTGGAGAACGGTGGGTTTGGGGCAGCAGAGCCATGCCACTTAGACACTGTGTCCCCCAGAGCTATTCTTTTTCTGAATCTTATTTTTACTTTTGTATATGAACAGAGTCTCAACTAGTCTGTTGAAAAACCTTCATTCAGGTTTACCTGATCTTTTCACAGGTGGGGAGACCTAACCGGAGCCCCAGAGCTGGCTGTAGACCTGCTAGTTTGGGAACCTGTCACTGCAGATCCCATCTAGTGCCAGGGCCTACTGTGCTTAGGAGCCATGAATCTAGGAGTATATCTAGCATTGTATCTAGATAGGACATGTGCACAGTGTTCTTGCCATGGGAGAGGATTTGTATTAGCAGGTCCAGGGACAAGGGGGCCTGTGAGTGGCAGTGTTTCCCCTGGCTGGATTATCCTATTTGTTCTCATTCATGGGTTTGGGTGTGCCAAGAAGGCCCAGCATGGCTTATAAAGGATACCTAGTAAGGGTTAATCCAAAACAGTGATGCCCAACAGTCTCTATAGGGAATGTCCCTTGGGAGAACATACAGGGGACAAGTTCTCCTGGGGGAAGGGGTTGTGGGGCAGAGATGAAGTTGGGCTCTTTAGGTGCCAGGTTCCTACTTTGGAGTTAACTGAGGTTCTGATACCAACCCAGCAGGACAGAGTTGGGGAGCCAGGTAGTCAAGCTAGGGCTAGGCTTGGAGTTCCTGCTGGTGCTCCTGCCAGACCTATGGGTGCCCCCTCCCCTTGTGGGTGTTGCCTTTCTGCTGACTTTCTTTCCTAAGAAGAGCCCATTTCCTGTTGGCAGGTCTGTCGCCGCCTCAATGGAGTCCGGTTCACCAGCTGCAAAAGTGCCAAGGACCGTACGGCCATGTCAGTGACGCTGGAGCAGTGCCTGATCCTGCAGCATGAGCATGGCATGGCCCCGCAGGTCTTCACACAAGCCCTGGAATGCATGCGCAGGTGAGTGAGGGCTAGTGTCAGGCTGCATCTGCCCAGCCACCTGCAGATGAACCCATACCCCCGCCCCGCATGGGGTCCTAAACTTTAGCACACTTGAGTTTGACCACTACTCAAACTAATGGCCCTGTCCAACTCTTAGAAGGCCAAGAGGACAAGCCACACTCTTTTTGAGCAGAACTGAACTGACCCCATAGAGTGGTGGGCAGACTGGGGGTCAAACAGTTTGACAAGGATGGGGAACCACCTAACTGGGGTCTGGGGTCCATGCTTTCTCAGCAGGCAGCTGCTCTTACATAGTACATGTGTGTGCGTTGTATATTTCCAAACAGTGAAGGAGCCGTGTCTGCGGGCTGCACTGGTTTGCTCTGCTACCTCTCTAGTAGTGGACAGAGTTTGCTCTCATGAGCAAAACGTCCAGTGAATGTTTTATGGTGATAGCTGTCTGTGTGCCCTGGCCACCTCCCTTTAATGATGTCCTGATTCTGAGGCAGCAGATGTGTTTGCAGAATGAAACCCAGAATTCAGTTGTCCTCTGTTGATGGATGCCTTGTTTCAAGCACTGCTGGGAAGCTCCCTACCTCGCATACTGAAAGAAAGGATAAGAAACCTGGTTTTCCTGTCTCCTTTGATGTAGTCACCAATGCTGTTAAAGTCTCGTTCTCAACAGTCACTTCTACTGAATGTTCTGTATCATTTGTCCTCTCACAAAATTCTTTAAAGTGTTCAATTCTCTTATCCTTTCTCTATGTTTCTGCCATTTGACCTTCTCACAATGCACAAAGTGATGCCTGAGCTCATGCCTCTTGATAGTAGCATAAATGGCATCATTCTGTTCCTGTTTGGTCTCCAAGTTCATTTAAGCCTCTGTTAATGTTCTTCAGCACTCCATGCCTCCATCCCTAGCGGTGGAAAAACAAAGGAGTCTTGGAGAATCCAAGGGTCTGTGTCCAGAATCTCTGTACCCTTTTGGCCTCTATACCTGATGTGATCCTGGTTTTGATCCGTGCCACATTAATTGTGCAGTAGGGGAAAGGCTGATCTAGTGAACCACCGATGTCTGCCCTAAAGTGAGGACAACCCACACAGGGATCCCCTGTGGTTACACAGCAAAGGCTGGGACCAGTGTCCTTCAAAGGCACAGCCCTAGGGATGGCTACCTCCAATCGTCCCCACTCCATCCCAGTAACAGTGCACCAAACTATGGGCCTGTCAGTAGATTAGCTTATTTATGAAAGCAGAGTCCGCAGGTCCCAGTTACCTCTCAGTGGGGCCGACCAGCTGGGGCCCACATCTTCCATAGGTGAGTTCTAATCTGTTTAGAAGCCACAACTTCTTTGGCCCGCTTTACCTGTGTCCCATCCTGGGCAAATTTGAAGGTTGTCACCTTTTAGCTCTGCTTTTTGTTCCCAGTTGTTACCATTAATCTGGTCAGCAACACCCAAGCAACAGCTTGAGTAATGGGCTCAATGGTCTTTTGTTTATACCATCCACAGGACAAGGACAAAATATAGAAAAGTTCTTTGCCAGAATGTAATGTGGACGGCCTCTAGTCTGGCTTCCAGTCAAGTCTCTTCCCATCTGAGAGAAATCTCATGAACAAAGTCTTTACTGTCCCCATTTTGTTTAGAATTCTGGGCATCTGAACCTTGGAATTACCCATTACTCTGCTTACAGCATCCTAAGGGTTTTTAGGCTGTTTCCCCGGACTCTTCTGAATTCCTCCTGCAAGCCAATTCCAAAGACTTCTGAGCCAGATGATCCAGTGTAGTCGCAGTACCCCACTTCTCAAACAGATGTGTTGGTCAGTTTCCCATGGCAGTAACAGAGTACCTGAGAGAGGAGTGGAGGGGAAGAGGATTTGGCTCATAGTTAGAGAGGTTCAGCAAGTTTGTTTCTTGTCTGTGGTAAGGCAGAGTGTCCTAGTCGGAGGGCATAGCATCGCACAGTTGCTCACTCACAATAAGCAGGACACAGAGTGAAGGCAGGGACGAGATGGACATTTTAAGGACATGTACCTTTGTCCTCGCTCCAGTAAGTAAGCTCCCTTAACTAGACTCTGGCCACACACACAAAGAAAGCATGGAAGGAGGGGGTAGACTTGTTGAGAAGATTCCTACAGGAAGAGGGAGAGGGTGGGGTGAAAATGACTAAAATTCTTTTTATAAAGGTGTGAAACTATCTAAACAAACTTAAGGGCTGTTGAGATACCTTGTTGGGCAAAGGAGTTTGTCCCCAAGCATGATGGCCTGAGTTTGATCACTGGGACCCAGATGGTGAAAATCAACCCTTACAAGTCACACATGCCTCCACTGCATGTGCCATGGCACATACACACGTGAACAATATACACGTGACCTAGCCCTCCAACCAGGCCCGTCTTCCACAGTTACCACCTCCCAATCTGTTAATTTATTGATGAAGGCAGAGCCCTTACCAACTGCTTCACAGATTCCCATCTTTTGAGCACTGCTTGCATGGGGTCCCAAGCCTTTAACCCATGACCCTTTGGTGGAGGAACACTTCATTGCTAGACTGTAACGTCACACTTAACACATCATTCTTTAGTAGTCCCACATCTTTGTAGATCTCTCAGATTTGAATGCAGGTTAGTAAGTTACACTGGCTTAGAGTTCTAGAACCTCGTTCCTGTTGCCATTGTCAGCTCAGGGGCTGTTAAGTTAGGGTGTTTTGCTGTACTGTTCATGGACCCCAAGAATGAGAGCGAGGAATGACTTTCCTCCTAGGAAATGAGCATATTTCCTGCTCTCATTCAATCCACTCCCTGTCTCTAACCAAGGAATTTTCTAGAATCTAAAATCTCTACAGTGAACATACTTTAGTTGAATTATTTTCAACAGCCATTAAATACAAAGCAGAGCCTCTGCCTGTCCCACGAGCCTCAGCACAGTGCTCGATGCTGCCCTCTGCTGATCCTGAAGTGCCCTGAACGCTCCTGTAGGTCTTTGTTTTCAAGTGACAGTCACACCCAAACGTTTTCTGGATTAGCCATGTGGTGAAGACACATTCTGTTAGTTACCTGCAAGCCCTGTTGCGACAGTGACAACCAGCCTGCAGCACACTGAGAGCTCTAAAGAAGGCACTGGTGGATCCCAGCAATATTGAGTAGAGGGATGCACTTGGTTCTCTTGCTTTCTCACTGTGTCTTATCAGATGGAAGGGTAGAATGTACAGGTGGGGGCAGAGCTGACACTGTGCCGACTCCTGGAGGTGTGTGTGCCCTTGCACAACACAGGCACATGTGCTCATGGAAATAGTAGCCATAATAATTGATCTGTAGTGGCTGTCCAAATGGGCAACATGAATTCTTGTACCAGGGATCATTTCAAGTGATCGTTCAATATGAACGTGAGGTTGGGTCTATATTCACATACTCAACTCCTGTAAGCAATGTGGTCTGGCTGAGGCTGAGGGTAATGGCACAGGCAGAAGTGGCCCTCTATCGCATGTTAGGAACTGAACCCCTCAAATAGTAGGCCCTCCTGGGCAGCCACAATGACCCATCAGGCAGCCCTGGCAGACATTGTAATCATTAGTCAGTCCTTGCCAGCTTGCAGAGTGTCCCTTGTCAGAAAAGCACATTCCAGCAGGGCCAGTCCAGAACTTAAGGCTTCTTCTCAGAAAGCCAGGCAGGATGCAGCTGCAGAAGGCATCTTGAGCCCCGCCTACTCATCTGCAAGTTTGTTCAGAGTGCCCACCATGTCCTGAGACCAGAGTCCTTGTTGTGTTGCTGTTTGCCAGATAGGAGAGATGTTGGTCCTCAGTCATGTGGTTCCAGATACCATCCAACCTCAGAGCATCCTCTACTGTTTTGGTACTAGGGCTTGAGGTCAGGACCAAATGCCACCTAGCATAGTTTATCACTGAGCTACACTACACTCAGCCTCCAGAACATTTTCTATCTTTAGGACTAAAATAAGGAAAAACCAACTTTCCAACGTGAATTGGGTTGACTCCATTTTGAGGCATCATCTTCTAGAGCCGTATCTTATGAAGTTGGAGACAAGATTGCTACACACCTCTACCACTCAAACCGAGACTTGAGGCAGGTGGGGGAGGGTAAATGATTTTTGTGTGTGTGGTTAATCAAGAGTCAGCTTTGTAGCCACCCTCACCTAGGCATCTGTGAGAAGGTCAAACCCCATGGTTCTTCATGTTCAGCTTGCTTCTCAGAAGTGCCCATCTGCAGCATGTGGGGCATGGCGGGCGGCATGAAGCTGTGCTTGGCCAGTCGAGAGAGGGTGAACATGGAAAACCATCCTTTCAACCTACATGTGTTTGATTTTGGTAGACTGCAGTACTTTTTCTTATTTTTCACTTCTCTTTCTCTCCTTTCTTTTCCTGTAACTGTGCTGGTTTTGTTCTGCTCTTTTGTTCACACCCTTCTCTGCATCTTATTTTTCTTTCTGTTGTGGTTCATTCCATGTTTTTTTTTTTAATCTTATCTTTTGGTTCTCCTTTCTCCCCATACTTTTGGGTAAAACCCATCGCATGCATCTGTCTTTCTTTTCTTTCTTTTCTTTTATTTTCTTTCCTTTCCCCTTTTCTTTTCCTTTCTCCCAACTTTTTCCTTTTCACAGCATTGGAACACGGGAGGTAGTCACCCAGAAGAACTTGAGCGGCCTGGTGCCCATCCGAGACTTAAGGCTAGACCCCAGCCTCCTCTGTTCCATTCCTTTATTAGCTCTGAGCCCCAATTTACTGATTGTGTGGCTCTTTTTGAGCATAGCTTACCTGGTGACCAAATTGCGTTGCAAATAAATATCATTATGAAAAATTAATTAGTCACAAGACAGACAAAAGTGCCCGAAAATGTCCAGCCACCGTGTATCAAACTGGACAGAAGGAAGGTGTCAAAGCGAGGTCTGCCAAGAAATATCTCATGCCTTACAGTTTGACGTTATGTTCTTCTGAACTGTAAATACCTGCCAAATTCTTTCATCAAGAGGACTTGTTCATTTTGATTGTGTAGCGTCTTCAGTGCTTGTAACATGTTCTGGTGCCCTGTGACTGCATTATTTAGCTGGCCTGGAATTACTTGTACCAAATATCTTACCTTCTGATGTATAACTATTTATTACCTGTACATCTCGTGTGCCCTGTTCCAAGAGAAAGGGATGCTGTCTGCAAAGAGTTTGTATATTTGATACTATTCCTTAAGTGTGTTGCTAACCTCACTTGCCTTTTGAAGAAATCAACAAGAAAAAGATGCTTTATCAGTTTATCCAGATACCCCTGTCTAATAGGACTGGACTTCCTATTTTCCTTCAAAGTGTAGTCCTGGGATTGCAGTAGCAAAAAGTTTGTAGAGTCACACTTCCTTGCTTCCGGTTATTTCCACTTGGTGATGACACAGCTGTGGATACAGGAGCAAATGCCACCAAGTCCAGCATACAAAGATTACATGTTGCATGTGACTTCAGGGTTGCTCTTAATACACGTAGTAGCAAGAGTTATACACTTTTTCTTGAAATAACTTTTTTAATTTAAAAATTGTATGTTTTATTCCAGATGAAGTCTAGATATCTTTTTTCTTTTACTAATTCAATAAGTTTAATAATGAACCAAAAAAATGAAAGAAAATGATTTTTAAAAGCGAAGCTTAAGTTTTGGCAGTTGTGTAAGATAGGGCTGTGAGAAGGGGGGACAACTGGGTTTTCCCAATATCATTCCTAATTTTAACATGGCACTGCCCCTAAAACAGGATGACTGGTCACCCTGACACTCATATGTGACAGAGAGTAATCGTCCTCCATAAAAGCAGCCAAGTAGCCAAGGACAGGTGCCACTCACCTTGAGTAAGAAACAGTGAGTGACTTCTCCATCTTCCAGTTCTCACTGGGTTGTGTTTCTGCTTTTGACCTCCAGCTTGACGATGAAGGGGATTTCTTTTCATGGGTCTGGTGGGAAACCTGGAGTGACTTAAAGAAGCCGGAGTTTCTAGTGTCTTGACATTCTCAGGCACACTAGCCCATCCACCATAGCTCCAGCTTCTCTGTTCTCTCCGCAAGACTTCCTGACCATCCTTGGAGGACTGTCTGGGACCCAGCTCCCTCTCAGAGTGAGGTGTAGGAGTTGCAGAGCAGTTAGTGAATACCAGATGCTGGACGGACTCTGTAATTGGGCTGGGGAAGGGTTCCTTACCACACCCGAGCAGTGCCCTTTTTCTGCAGATCTGAGCACCGCAGGCTCCCAGGGCAGGCCTGCCTCAGAGTTCCTACACAAACAGGTCCACTTGTCTCGGCTAGTACAGCATGGTGACAGCTCCGGCATCTTGCAGTTTGGCCCCTTAGCACTGCCAGGCAGCATTCGTGGAGCACTTGGTGGATGCCCTTTCACTTCAGAGCATGTGCTTCAAGCCTCTAAGACCATGCTGTTTGCCTCATTTGAACAGGAGAGAGGGAGAGGCCATGGTCTCCTTCCATCCCCATCCCACAGCCTCCCATTCCTTGCTCTAGGTTGCTGCCCTCTGATAACATGGAGGTGACTCAAGAATGCATCGTTTCCAGGGTTTTGCTGTGGCCAAGCAGAGAGCATAGACAGATGAGGGCAGTCTCTGGAAGTAACTGCAGAGACAGCACCTGTCCCCATGGCCCAGGATGCCCATCGCTCTTTGCAGGGACACTTCTCAGGATCATTGTGTACAGCAAAGGGAAACAGTGGCTGGTTAGAAAAATCCCTACCCACACCCCAGGCAGGGAGGGCTCCTGTTGGGACACTCTGGTCTGCCGTGTCTTATATTGCCTTGGCTGTTGGGTCAGGAAGGCAAGCAGAGAGGTTCCTTGTTTCTCTCTTCCAGGGGTTAGTGGAATGCAGTACACCACCTCCAGGCACAAAAGGCTGGCTCTGAGTCCACCCCAGCAAGGGGGGGGGGGTGTTGAGATTTGCATTTGCTTTTTTTCCCTCTAACATAATGGGGAGGTGGAGAGACCAACCTTCGGTATGCTTATTCTTTATACTGGATTTTAATGTCATTTAAGGCCTTTTGCTCATGAAATCAAGTCAAATATTCAAAATCTGGTCTACCACACGAAATGAGGAGAAACAGGACAAGAGATGGTTCAACTTGGCCACTGTTAGTGTTGGGTGATGGTGTCCAGGTTGCTTCTGAGTGACCCTGAGCTGTGGCACCGAGACTGGTCAGAGCTGCACCCTCTGCAGCAGCAGGTTTTGAAGGAGAGAGCCATGCTCAGGAGGTCTTGTTAAGTGCTGTAGAAAACACACTGTGCATGTTCTTTGAGCTAGGTTGACTGCCACTGCTAATTCCTGTACTCCTTCAGGCACAGTCACTCCCCATGTGTGTTGTGGCATGGCCTAGACATGGAGATTGTCAGGTGAACTCTAAAGTAGAAGCTCCCAAAGGAAACACCGAGGTCCTAGGATTTTCCTTTTAGAGTTTCCATTCAGATTTCCAAAGTTGACATCCTTGAAATTAGGTAATTCTTGAGATAAAAAAAAAGAACCAGGAGCTGTGCAATAACTAAATCCCTCTTGTTAAAGTCTGCCCCAAACCTTGTCATGTACTATTGCCCCCTAAAGACACTGGCAGTGTGGTCAGTAAAAGTGTTCTGCTTCAGGCCACCATGCTGGACTCTGCAGCAGGACACCCTTTACCACCCCTGCAGACCTGGTCCCAGCCCTTCAAACTGGCTCACAGACACCTGCAGATCATGGCAATGGTGGCAGCATGCAGACAGGGCATATCAGCATGGATGTAAACATGTGGAAGAAACGGTTTGATTTAAAAACCAAATTAAAGGCATAATGTGAATCGTAAGTTCATGCGCAACGTATGCAGTCAGCTAAACCTAGCAGCAGTGCCTTTCACAGGTAAATACAGAGACTAAACCTTTAAATTATCATTTGGCATTTACTGGATAGGTGGGTTTGAGGATCCTCTGTAGAAATGGAGAGGCCATATGTGAAGCAGTCTGTTAGTAAAGGAGCTTCCAAGACCACACCAGGTCCACTGTGCACAGGAGTCTGTAGCTTCTGCTTTAAATAGATTTGTTTTTATCTGCTTACTGAATGTTCAGCAGGAGCTGATGTTTGCTCTGGGCGGCCCAGGGCTTTAACTCAGGTGACACAGCCAGCCCAAGGCTCTGGAACAGGGACGTGCACACGAGTTTCAGTCAACAGCAAGCAGGTGGATGCTTCTCTGAGTCGCCAGGGCTTGTCTCTTGAGTAAACATTGCTGTCTCACCAAAACCTACTTGACATTGTTAATAAGGGGACTGTCATGTTCATTTTCAAAGGCTTGCGCTGTTTTTTTAAATGTATGTCGTGTGGTCTTCATAGAATTTGAAATACTTTTTTAAAATCACTTTTCTTGGTAATTGCAAATTTTACATCTCAGAAGGGGGATATTTTTACTGAACTTGACAACTACTTGATTTCATTGCTCCTCTCTAAACATTGTAAAAATAGCAAGTTTTACTGTGTTGTGGAAAGGAATTTATATTAATAATCCTTTTTGGCTGTTAATTTTATGCCACTCCAGAGCAGTGCCCAGAGACATCCCTTGAGGTTCACTCTGAGTCCTACCTGGTTCTTCATCCTCTTGCTGGGTACCATTTGTTTTGGCCCTGGGTTGCTATGACAACCCTCCATGGAGTGCAGCTGGGATTCAAGCTGCTAGTGAGTTCTCTAAGGGAAGAGCACCTGTGGGCTCACTTTGGGCTCAGTGGTGCTTGTACAAGAAGTGGCCGCAATGACAGCAGCCCATTGGAGAAGGCGGCTAGTGAGCTCCAGGAGGTCAGTGGAGCTCTCACGGCTCGTCAGCCTGATAGCCACAAGGGCCTCTTCTGCAGACAGCACACAGGCCTATACGAGCACTTTGCACTGCCCCTAGGCGGAGACAGTTACCAGAGCAGCCTCCTCTGCCACGTGGTCTTTGCTACCTGTTGAATTCTGCAAGGAAAATCAGCATTTGGGGTTTGATGTGGTCTCAGATTTTGCTAACATACAAAAGGTACAATGCTTTAGAAGCTATGGTAAGAGTAAAATATGCTGTAAACAAATCTTTGAACCACAAGTTATGATAGAACCCCAGGTAGCCAAACCTAAGATACACACAAAATCATGTATTTTCAAAGTAATTGTGTCTGCTCAGATACGACATGGCTCTGGAACTGCCAGCCCACAGCTGCATCCAGCATGTATCCATTTCTGTGCTTCTCCCTGCTTTGTTCAGAAACCACCATCTTACATGTGCATTGTTGTAGATGAGTCCAGCACCCATTTTAATTAATCTTTTTTTAATGCTATGAAAATAATCAGCTCATTTCATCTTAGTTTAAGTCTTTTCTTTTTTTCCTTTTTTACTGCTGTCATTTCTTGTGCTTGTTTTTTCCCCAGTGAGGGTTGTCGAAGAGAAAATACAATGAAGAATGTTGGAAGTCGCAAATATGCATTTAACTCCCTGCAGCTGAAGGCCTTCCCCAAGCATTACAGGCCTCCAGAAGGGACTTACGGAAAAGTTGAGACATGAACACGCGGTTTCCTCTAATTAGCTGTTATGTAATCAATGTGGGTACCCTCTAGAGTCACATATGATTCTTCAAGAAGACCTGAAGGGTTCGTTTTTATTTTTGTGTCTTTAAAAATACTTCACTAAAGAGTCTATGGAGCATGATTTTGTGTTGGAATCTGTAGGGGGTCACGTGTGGCTCAGTAGCGTGGATAGTAATGGCTGCCCTAACAATAGCTTTCAGCTGTAACTACACAGTTAACGCCATAGTTCCTAGAAGAAGCCAGCTTGGTTTGTCTAAAACTTCAGGAGACTTTTCAAATACACACGTAGGTACTGCTCACCCAACTTATTTTTCTATTCAGTAACTCACAGGTGAGCATTGACTTCAAATCTACTTTCAAAAAGTCTGAATGTAAAACAGGAAGTACCTCCCCCACTAAACTTCAGGTTCAGGCAGAGAAGCAGGTGTTAGCTCAGCTTGGGAAAAGATGAGGGAAGTGAGAGAAGCTGGCTGGAGCAGCCCTCAAAGCCACTCTGTGACACCCAGAGTGGAAGGACAGTTTTTCAGTCACATCAGGAGATCACACACCTGGGCCACCCTGCTTCCTACCCCTTCTGCCAGAGCAGTGTCTGCTTGAGACCTCAATCAGCGGTGAGGTCCCAGAACTCTGCCTCCTCATTCGCTCCATGCTTCAGTCACACCACAGGGCATAGCTCCCTTCCTTCTCTGGCAATTGGGACCTTCAGTGTGACTTGTCAGGGGTCTGGGAGACAACTCTCCAGTCGGGGATTTAGGACCATAGAGACAGTAGATAGACACTTAAATATTTTCAGAATAAATCTTTCTAATGATCTTCCAGAAGACCATAAGTCACATTTGAATGTCTAAAAAAAAACCCGTTTTTAGTTTTTGGTTAGCAATGATTGTCATTGCTAGACGACTATTGAGAAACAGTTGAAACTATCCCCTACATTGAGAGCCTGAGAGGGGTTTGTGAGACAGGGAAGTTATGTATTTCATAGACAATTTAGTCTGGTCATCTTTTACAAGGTGATGATGAGTTTTATCTGCACATAGCAGATTTTTTTCCTTAGAGTATATATGTTTTATAAATTTTCTTTATCACAATTTTGTTTACATGTTATTTAAAAGGCTGTAAAAAGAAGTGTATATGGAGTATATCCATGATGCTGATACTAATGACTTGTGAACACCATGGGAATTCTTATAGAAGTCTAGCTAGTTTTCTTTTGGCTCCTTTAGAAACATGTAACAAACTTGGACCTGGGACACTGAGGCATAGACAGGACCAGTCCTTGGACAAGAGTCAGGGAGGGTGCAGGCATCCATTTCTACCAGTGTACAGACGGCCCCCGTGTCCTGGTGCCTGCTGGGAGGGAGATGTCCTCTGCTGAGGGGTGGCTCACTGCCCCGCTCTCAGGGAGTGGCACATGGAAAGTGAGTGGCAGGGAAGCTCTCACCGCCCAACCTCCTGGACGGGGCTGCTCTGCTGGTAGTGGATTCTCCCAAAGCCTCAGTCCTGATCAAAGACCACTGGGGCTTAGAGTGGCTAGCTAAGCCCTTTACCTCTTCCTTGGTCCATTAACTCTTAAGTTTTTAGTTTCCTTTTTTTCTTACTTTGACATCACTGCCTTTTTACATATTTCTTTGAACTTTAAAATTAAATGTTTGCCATGTTCTCCAGCTTTCCTTTCTGTCCGAAGGGCATTACCTGTCCACACTCAAGGGAATAGAGTGTAGCTGGCTCATGTCAGCAGGCTTGCATGTGAATAATTTTCTCAATTCTTGTTTTATAATATGAATCACTGTAAAACTCTGAGACTTGGTTAATCACGGAAAAGATTGTGGCTTCAGTGTTTTCTCTGAAGGCATTGTGACTGGCTTCCAGCGTATCACGCGTCCCAAGCTTGCCAGGAAGGGGCACCTTGCACAGCACGGGCACAGGCAGCTCCTGGCTGCCCCAGGAGGCTGAGTTATTCACTGTAGGTGGGAAGTGGTTTTACTGGTTTCCACAGAGTAGACGTCTCATCCACCATCTGCCCCCATTTAAAAAGGAATGTGCAGTGTCTGGACAGCTGGGAATGCCGTGCCGATCCTGTCAGAGCGCCTGCAGCACAGCTGCTTTTACTTTCCTTTAAAGATGTAAAAATGTTGTATAATACTGTTTATCCCCCTCACTTGTATTTGCCAAGCTTAGTGCATTTAAATACTTTTATTTATTTGTTTGGGACAGTATTAATATATATGAACATATAGTTACTGTTTTATATATTCTTAGCTCATTTAAAGCCATGTATGCTGTAAATGTGCTTGTCTTTAGAAGGATAAATAATAAAAAACTGACAAGAACATTAAACTTGGTCTCCCTTGACTCATTCTCCTACACCGGAAGGAAGTCTACAGCCAACACCAGACTGTAACATTATACCACTAGGCTTTAGTCCCCAGGTTTATAAGCTTGTAGATGGGGGAGACTAAGGTCTTTATAACCATGTTTTTAGTTCATTTGAAATAGGGTGTATGGTTAAGAACAGGGACATAGGCAGACAGTCCTAGACTCCAATCCAAGTTGTGCCTCTCATGGTGAGACTTGGGACAAGGCTGTTTTTGCATGTGCCCACTGTGGAAAACAGATGGTGGCTGTGAAGACCTTGGTCTCATGTGTTCACAAATGTGTGTTCTTTCCTTTCCCTGAGCAACCATGCATCTGTGGGCACCACCGTGGTGTGACTTGCTAAGAAGCACTCTGTTCAAAGCCTGCTGTGTCATCAGCAGCTCATGTTGAGTTTCTGCATCTCCTTCAAGGAACACGTGTCCAGTAACTTCCCTCGGAGATTCCTGGCAATGGAAAGGAATTAAACACAACGTAAATAGTTTGTCTGTCTGAGAATCTACCATTGGTGTAGCCAGTGCTTTCCACTCTTTTCTGGAATGGAGTCTTGCTTCCATTCTTATTTCTTTGAGTCTCTGCAAATATCAAGGCTGCTCTACTGATACATGTGATTTTGTGAAGTTTTTAACAAACATTCTGTTAACTCCTCTATCGTTGCTTGAGGCTTTTAAAGCTGTTGGTTAACTGCGTTTTGGCTATAGAAGTCTTAAATGTTGATTTAATTAAATGTCTTGTTCCCTTTGATGTTTGTTCTGAAATCAAGTTTTGGCTTTTTCAGTGAGGATGACCATGTCCTTATGACAGAAAGTCAGTGTGCCTGTGTTGGGAGACTGGGCGCTGGTGCTCAGTAGCTCCTTCCTGGCATGTAGTGTGCTGTCTAACACTGTTGCTGCTTTCTGCCTTCGCTCTCTTGCTCCAGGATGTTTCATTGTTGTTATTCAGTGTCTTTCGGTTCTTGTTTGCAGTGTTTCAGCGTTTCATTGTGTGTGTGTGTGTGTGTGTGTGTGTGTGTGTTCTCATGGGTGTGTCTGTGTGAGTGGGTATGGGGTTTCTGTCTGATGTCTTCCTCTATTGCCTTATGCAATTGGAAGCTTTTGGCTGCCTACATGCTGGAGAGGCTGAGAACCTGGCAGCAGAAGGGGCAAAGAAGCTGGACGCTCAGAGCAAGAGAACCTGTGATACAGTCTGAGGCTGAAGACCTGGGAGCTCCCAGGACTGTCACTGGTCGGGTGCGTGCTGAACAGCTGAAGTAGGAGTCTGACCTCCACAGGCAATGCAGCAGCAACAGAGACTTCTTAGAGCCTGCAGCACTGCCTGGCTCGCTTCCTCTACTTCTGTTCCATGGGACCCCAGCCTCCTGATGGCGCTGCCCACATCCCTGACCCGTTTTTGCAGTTCCTTCCTGTGTCAGTCATCTCCAAAGTGTCCTTCCTGCACTCAGAAGCAGTGCCTTACTAACCCCAGAGGCCTCGTTCTCAGGTTAATCTGGCAGCCAAGAGCAACCGTCAGAACACCCGTCTCTAAGGCCTGCTCTTCCATCTGGGCGTCCCTTAACTTTCCACCCCCACACACCGTGGTCACTGTGATCTGGAAAACTCCTCACACCCTTTCTTCTTCATTCAAAGCCCTCTATGGTGACTTCACATCAGAAAAAAAAAAGTCCTTTAATATTTTCATCATTTAATTTTTTAATAGTAATTTATTTGTTTCTAATTTATTAAATGTGAATATATTTTATTCATTTTAATAAAGGGTATGCTTATGTTCTTTTAAAGACTATATTATGTGTATGTGGTCAGTCTTACCATTTACCTTTGCATTTGTAAGGGCAAGTGTAATTCTTGTAGTAAAGGAGCTACTCAGAAGTTTAACAGCTGAGGGGCCAGCAAGATGGCTCAACAATAAAAACACTTGACATGAAGCCTGGCATTGAGTTTGATCCCTGGAATCCACATGGTAAAAGGACACTCGCTCTGCATGTATACATGCACTTACCTGTGAAAACACACACACACACACACACACTGAATAAATGGCAAATTTGCAGTGTTTAATTGAATTTTCCTATGTCTGCAACAATGTCTGCACTGTGCTGCCTTTCTTTCCTTGTAACTACCAGTTATTCTAGATGCAATGGGAGACCAAATTCACCAGTTCAAGGAGAGGATAAACCTGGGAGCACAGTGAGTGTTTCTTGGGGACAAGTGAGAGGGTGTCTGTCTTAGTCAGAATTTATACTGCTGCGATGAAACACCGTGACCAAAAAGCAGGTTGAGGTGGGGAGAGTTTGTTTCGCTTACATGTCTACATAACTGGAGGAAGCCAGGGCAGGAACCTGGAGACAGGAGCTGATGCAGGTGTTATAGAGGAGCACTGCTTCCCTCCCTGCCTTCCTCATCCAGCTTTCTTATAGAACCATGGATGGAACCGCCCGCCATGGCTCCCCATCAATCACTAGTGAAGAAAATGCCCTTTGGCTGGATCTTAGGGAGGCATTTTCTGAACTAAGGTTCCCTCCTTTCAGATGACTCCAGCTTGTCAAGTTGTCATAAAACTAGCCATCACAGTATCAGATAAACATGAGGAGGGTCAGGATGATGGGTACATGACTTTATAGTCATTTGATGACAATAAAGATCTGCCTCCTTTCCTCTGTACTGGTTATATTCAATAATGAAAATTACTTCAAGCCCAACACCCAGTAAAAAATCAGAAAATGAAATAAAAAAACTAGTCCAAGGAAATGGCTCAGTGGATGTATGCACTTGTCATCAAGCACAAAGACCTGAATTCTCCTCAGGAACCCATGTGGTGAAAGGAGACCTGACTTCCACAGGGTCTTCTGACCTCCATGAGTGTTACTGCAGGCACACACACCTCGACAAATGTTAGGAAATCTGACAAAATCTAGCATCAAAGAACAAAATGCTTAGGAATAAACAAAAAGGAGAAAATCTAATACACTGAAAACTTTACATTTTTGCTGTGATCAGACGCCAGTAAATGAAAAAGCATCTTGTGGACTAGAGACGTTAACCATGTTCAGATATCAGTGCATTCAGGTGCTCAGGAGGTTAAATGCATTCCCGACTCAAATGCCAACAGCACTTTATTCTTCTAAGAAAGAAAAAAGAATCCATCCTGAAGTAAAACTCTCAAAGGATTCCATATCGCCAAAATAATAATCTTGAAAAAGAACAAAGATGGACTCATTTTCTGATTTCAATTTTTATTATGTTCCAGTAATTAAACAGTAGCATTGGCATGAAGACAGACAGAAGCCAAAAACAAGACTGGGGCTTAGAAACAGCTATACTCTGCATGGTGGAATGTTTTCCCACCAAAGGGCAATGTGGAAAACTAGATATCTACATGAGAAGAATGGGAAGTCAGACCCTTAACTTACATTACACACAAGATTAACTCAAAATGGATCAAAGAGCAAAGCTAAGAGCTAAAACTAATTCCCCAAGGCAAGCTATAATTAGCTCCACTGGGTGGGACAATACTTTTGTGGATATGACTACCAAAAACTCAGCCAGAGTCAACTACCCACTATTAATGGGCAAGGACCTAAAAAGATTTCCTTAAGCAATATGTAAAAGGCAACAAGCATATAAAACATGTGACATCACTAATCAGGGAAATGCCAAACAGAATCACTGGTATACATTCACATCCATATTCTAATGGCCATTCTAGGCCACTAAAAAAGAATAGGAAATAAATCGACAAGGTTATAGGACATTTGTAACAATCCTTGTGTACTGCTTACAAGAATATAAAATAGTGTGGCTGCTGCAAAAAGTATGACAGTGCCTCAAAATAGAATTGCCCTATAACACAGACTGCTACAACTGAAGGGGGGGGTGGTCAGGGATACTTGTATATACATGTTCACAGCAATAGTCAGGAGCTCAAAAGTGGAAACAACCGAGTATCCACTGCTGATTTAGTAGGTAACAAGATAAGGAACATATTACAAAGGAAGGAACTACACTATACACAATGACTGAACCTTGAGGGTATTTTGCTAAAATTAAATTAGCCAGTCCTCATCCCATCCCTGAAAAAACCCACATGCTAAGATTGCATTCATACCAGGCACTTAGGGTACTCAAATTCAGACACAGGAAATAGAATGGTCATACTATAGAGAGCATGCCAAGAGTAAGGTAGGGAAGGCACACTTTACATTTTGTGAGGAGAGTGAAGAATTCTACTGCAGACTGTGCACTCAAGTGTGAATGCACTAAACACTATTAACCTATATATACACTTTAAGATGCTAGGTTCTGTTATTTATATTTAACTAATAACTTGAAATATAGCTACAAATAAGGTATATAAAATTATTTTGAAAGCAAGCCCAGGCCTATGGATGGGAGATAAAATTATAAAACCCTTCAATGAAGACATAGGAGTAAGTTTCTGTAAGTTTGGGCTGGTAAATTTAAGATGGTTTCTTACAGCACACTGAAAGAAAAAAGAAACATTGTAATTTACCCAAATTAAAACTGTTCTTTAACTCTGTGAGTTTGAGGCTGGGCAGGACCGACAGCCTCAAAAACAATACAGAGAAACCCTGTCTCATAAAAACCAAAAAAAAAATTTGTTCTTTAAGCCAAGCATGGTGGTTTGTACCCATAAACTCCAATTCAAGGCTTCATTGTGAGTTCCAGGCCAGCCTGGCCTAAGACCCAGTCCCTAAAACACGTAAGGGCAACACATAAAAATAGTGTGCTTAGTTGCCAGGTGTTGGTGGCACGAGCCTTTAATCCCAGCACTGGGGAGGCAGAGGCAGGTGAATCTCTGTGAATTCCAGACCAGCCTAGTCTACAGACCAAGTTCCAGGATAGCCTCCAAAGCCACAGAGAAACCCTGGCTTGAAAAACAAAACAAAAATCCAAAACCCAAAACAAACAAACAGCATAAAAACAGTGTGCTTCAAAGATAGCATGAGATTGAAAAGGAAAACCAGTGTTTAGGGATGAGGCCCATAACTCATCCAATAAGATTGCGAGTGGAGTAGGCACAGTACACATCAAGATCTAGCCAAGATCACAAAGGTTGGAGTAGGAGCATGACCCAGAAAAGACCAGAGTGCTTCAGTAGGATGTGATTTGTGGGCCCACACACTCCTTTTTGGGCTACAAAGATCTTAAGATGTGGACTTAGGTTGATATTACCCATTATGAGGAGATAGCTGGATTAAATTGAAACCAAGAAACAAATAAGATTAGAAGAACTCTGACAACAGGTTCTACGGTACTAATTGTGTCAGTCACATTATGACCTCCTGAATTAATTCCCAAAACACATTAAACTCTTAGCCCATACTTGTTCAATCAAATGTATCTTCTATAAATGACTTCATATGACAGAATCATTCAGAAACAGCACTTATCCATTTTCTTTAGTGTTCTCTGAAGGGAAATCCTGGTCCAGATGTCAAGCAGATGCAGCAGCTACTTTTCCTACGTTGGCTCTTTTCTGCTAAGGACCAGAGAAAATCCGGGGTAATTTTCATCTTGCTTCAATATAATGTTATCAATATCCTTTTCTTCCTCTGAATCTTGATCTGGTATCCAACTGAAAACAAGCATACATACATTCAATCACATCTGGAATAATTTAATCAAACACAGTTCTGATAAGGGATGTCAGTAACTTTATAAAAGAAGCAAACTCCAGAAGGTGGTGGTGCACTCCTTTAATCCCAGCATTTGGGAGGTAGAGGTAGGGGGATCTCTTTGAGTTTGAGGCCAGCCTGGTCTACAGGCTCCAAAGCTACACAGAGAAACCCTGTCTTGAAAAACTAAAAGAAGCAAACTAGCTTCCAGAAAAATCAAAAACTTGGCTGAGCACGTGGTTAACACCTATAGCCAGCATTCCGGTGGCCAAGGCAGAAATCTGAAAGCACGAGGCTAGCTAGGGCTACCCAATGAGACCTTGTACTGAAAAAGAAAGAAGTGCAAAGCCAGGAAGAAGAAAATGAACGGGGCATTGCAAACAAAAGAAACCACACTTCTTCCTAAGGGCCAACAAAGACTTGCGTCTGTAAAGTTGAAAACACAATTACCTTTTTAAGTTAAGTATACTCAATGAATGTTCTACCAACCCTACTTTTGTAAATTCATATATACTTGATATTTTTAAATAGCAACTGGAAACAATGACACAGGATCATGGTATTAAAAATTCCTGAGTTCCTTCCTCCTAGGCTGACCCCAGGTTCTTTGACCTAAGCCTCTCAATGGAGTCACTTCCAATGGGTCACAGGTGGAAAAATGGGTCTGAAGTCAGTGTAAGGCAGAATTTCAAAGTCAATACAGCTGTTTACAGAAAGGAATTATTTTGGAGACAGGCCCTATCTGTGAGTCTGACAGTCAGACAGACAGCTACTTATTTGGGCACAGCATGAAGCTGCAGTAAGCTTTTAAAAAAATGTATATAAATTATATATTTTTCTGTACTATGCATTGAACATGTTAGGCTAATAGACTGTATAGGAAAACAGGATCCCTCTTGTTGCATTCAAGAAACACACATCAACCTCAAGAACAGACACTACCTCACCTCAGAGTAATGGTACTACATACTCATCAAAGGAAAAATCCACCAAGATGGCATTTCAGTTCTTAACATCTGTGCCTCAAACACAAGGACACCCAAGTTTGAAGAGAACAAAACAAAACAAAACAAAACAAAACAAAACAAAACAAAAACTACTGCTACAACTGAAATCACATACTGACCCTCACATACCAATAGTGTAAGACTTCAATACTTTCACCATTGGACATGTCATCAAGACAAAGCTAAATGGAAATAATGGAGCTAACAGATATTATAAGTCAAATGGACCTAACATATTTACAGAACATTTCACCCAAACACAAAATACACCTTATTCTCTGTACCTCATGAAACTTTCTCTAAAACTGATCACATACTCAGCCACAAAGCAAGTCTCAACAGATAAAAGAAATTTGAAATAATTCCCTGAATCCTATCAGCTATCAGAGCTGGATATCAACAACACCAGAAACAACAGAAACCCATGGAAACTGAACAACTCTCTACTGAATGAAAAATGGGTCAAGAAAGAAAAAAGAAATACTTCTTAGAAATTGAGTGAAAATGAATACACAGCATACCCAAACTTATAGGACACATTGAAAGCAGTGCTGAGGAAAGTTCATAGCATTATACCTACAGAAATAAAAAAACTAAAGAGATCCCATTCTAGCAACTTAACAGCACACCTCAAAGTTCTAGAGCAAAAAAAAAGACACTCAAGAGGAGTAGAAAGCAAGAAATTACTATATTCGTAGATAAGCACCTCATCCAGTCATCAGAGGGGCTTCCCTTGGTAGCAGAGGGGAACAGATGCAGAGACCAGACATTATACAGAGAGTCTAAACTGGAGGTCTCCATCAAATCCTCCCCTCAGAGTCCAGGGAATCCAGTAGAAGAGGAGGAAAGAGGAAAGATTGTAAAAGTCAGAGGGAATGAGTACACCAGAAGAACAAGGCCCTCTGAATCAACTAAACAAGGTATACAATTCTATACATAGATAACAAAAGCTTTTCAAAATGGTTAATCACTTACCATTGATCTTTTACACTCAAAAAATGAATACTGTAAAGCTCTGCAGTATCCTTCCTTCAAACACTGCCGTGGGGATTTTCCTTCCTGTGACACACAAACCAATATGAATACCTGGGAAATTGCTCCACAAAGCACAAGACAACTCTTCTTCTGAAAGAAGTTCTTTAAAAAAAAAAAAAAGTTAACATAAGAAAGTTCTTAATTCCTTTTTAATAATCTTGGTGGTTAAAGAAAAACAAATGTAGCCAGGCGGTGGTGGCGCATGCCTTTAATCCCAGCACTTGGGAGGCAGAAGCAGGTGAATCTCTGTGAGTTCCTCGACCAGCCTGGTCTAGGACGGGTTCCAAAGTTACACAGGGAAAACCTGTCTCAACCCTGCCCCCCACCAAAAAAAATTGCAAAGATTAGTTGAATGCTTTGAGTCTCAGCTTTTAGATTTTATTTTATGTGTCTGAGTGTTTGCCTACATGTACAGATGGGCCCTACATGCAGACCTGGTACGATGGGAGTCAGAAGAGGGTACCAGATCCCCTGGAACTGGAGTTATAGGTGATTATGGGTGCTAGGAACCAAACCCAGGTCATCTGTAAGAGCAACCAGTGCTCTTAACCACTGAGCCATCTGTCTTTCCAGCCCCCAAAGTCTTGAGATTTTTAGAACACATCATTAATGTTTACATAAACCTTCCTGTAGATGAGAACTATGAATTGGATGCCTTAAAATGAGACCCTTTTAGTGTTGGTCCTAAACACTGTCTGTAAATGTTAGTGAGGGGCTGGAGAAATAGTTAAGTGAATAAAGTGCTTGCTGTGGATGATGTCTCCAGTTCAGCACCCACATAAAAAGCTGGGCACTGGAGTGGCAGAGACAGGCAGATCAACCTGGTCTACAGAGCTAGTTCTAGGACAGCCAGAGCTGTTACACAGAGAAACCCTGTCTCGAAAAACAAAACGAAAAAACTGGGGCATGATGGCAGGTGCCTCTACTTCCAGAACTTAGTGGAGACAAGCAGATCTGATATTCTAGCCAGTCAGGTTCAGCGACACACCCAATCTCAAACAGTAAGATGGAGGGACTAGAGATGAGTCAGTGGGCATGAGGGCTTGCTCTTCTGAGGTCAAGATCAGTAAGTGTTCTGTTGATGGAGACACACAGGAAAATCCTGTTGAGTTCCTTTTGGCAGTTCCAACTTTTCTGGCCTCCCAGGAGTCATTACATCTTAAGAAGTCTACCTCAAAATTGGTTCTGGACCCCCTCCGTCCCCCTTCTCCTCACTAGCCCCCAGTGGAACTTTATTTTTTAACATCTGAGTTCATCCTTACTACCCTGCGTTTCTCTGAGCCCCTATAATTTCCATGGCAGCACACAAAATACAGGCTAATGTTGAATTCCTCCCAGAATGCAATACTGTAGGTTTAAGATGGGCTAAAGATCGACAAGGAGAAAATATGGCACACCATAAAGTCACATTAACGTCCATATTCCAGAAGCCAAGGAACCAAAAATCCCCATCACAGATCAAGCAGCCATACGAAGCAGGTACAGACCTCGACGGCTTCCCTTGGAGTGGGAGTCTGGTAGCGAGTGCTTGAGATGGCTTAATGTTTACAAAAACCCGAGACTGGGTGGTGCGCTAGCTATCTCCCATTAAACACCAGAGAGACCTGTCCGAAGTCAGGAGCTAACGCTGCGACCTCCACCCGCGACGTGATCGCCAGGGCAGGCCGCCAGGCCGCCAGTCTTGGCGGAGCTCTTTCCCCGGACGCGTTACCTGGAGCACACAGGCCGACTGCAGTAGACAAGCGCCCAGGTCCTCCTTCACGCCCGCGCACGCGCCGCCCTCCACCTTGTCCTCGTAATAACGGGGCATGGCTGCGCCCGCCGCCCTCGCAACACGGATCCCGGGCTTCCACCCCCGGAGACCGCCCGGACGGGCGTGGGCCACGCCCACCGACAGGGTCAAGGGAAGGGACGTCTTCAACAACTTCCGGCGGGGCGGCGAGAAAGACGTGAGTCTTGAGAGTGTGCGCGTGCGTAGCGGAAGTTGGGCCCATGACGCAAATACGAGGCGCCGTGAGTGCTGGCTACGTAGCGGTAGGGGAAGTAGGCTCCGCGGAGGCTGGGCTCGGCTGCCGGGCGAAGGTGGCAGTAGTCCTGAGCCCAGGGCCTTCAGGTGAGTTCTGTTCCATTCGTGCTGACGGCCGTTTCCACGGACAGCTCGTGGCCTGGCGTCTCAGCGGCCGGGGTAGGGGACAAGCCGGCAGCTCGAGCCCTAGGCCCGCCCTCAGTGGGTAACACCAAAGACGCCCGTTTTCTGGAATCGCAGAAATAGAACCGTTTTTTATCCTAAGCAGATCTGGAAGTTTGCACGGGAGACACATACACCGAAACCTTTACGTTGCTTGTTCTTAACCCAGATGTCACTGGGCCGCGTGTGTTTTTAGTTGACAGCGGACCCACAGGCTTGGGGTAATAGAGAGCAGCTGGCGGGGAGGGGCGGGGCGGGGCGCCTAGGTGTGCTGGCACCTGTGGGAGGGGAGCATGCGGCGGTGAGCAGCGCTCATTCAGCTTCGGACTAGTTGGACTGGACCCAACGCGCTGTTACCCTACCCACCTATTCTGGGAGTAAAACCACCAAGGATTGGAATTTGCATCTTTTTTTTTTATGTGACATTTTGAGTAACCAGGAGCTTGCTGGCCGTCGCTGATGAACTTGTACGAACAGGCTGTGCATTTTACCTTTTCAGTGTCATTGCTTTCAGCTTAAAAGAAGTATTTTGTTGTTGCTGTTTTGTTTTAAATGTTGGCCATTAATAACGTGGAATTTTGAGTCAGAGTTCCGGTCTTTGTTCCATGTCCATGAGGAGGTCATTTCATATGTCTGTGCTGTTTTTTCGTTGCCCTCCACTATTGGTGGTTAGCTGTCAAAGGCTTGACTAAAGTGAAGGGTGGAAAACCATGGACTCGAGATAAGTGGTTTCAGGTGATGCAGAAGAGTGTGGTACTGCCCTTGATAGAAATGCTATTAATACTTGCCAGGCCCTAGAGAAGCCCAGAACCAATCCCATTGCTTCTGGCCCCTAATCCTTCCCGAAGGTAGCAGGAGAAAATATCACAACTCTCAAGTGGAGTGCTAGTTGCCAGACAGTTCTTAAAGGTTACACCTAAGAGAAATGCTTTTTTATTTCATCCAGGAAGATGTTACCAAGTACTTCGGTGAGTTCTTCACTGCAGGGGAATGGAGTCTTGAATTCCAGGGATGCAGCGAGACACACAGCCGGAGCAAAACGCTACAAGTACCTCAGAAGGCTTTTCCGATTTCGGCAGATGGACTTTGAGTTTGCTGCATGGCAGATGCTCTACCTGTTCACTTCCCCACAGAGGGTTTATAGGAACTTTCATTACCGGAAGCAAACAAAGGACCAGTGGGCCAGAGATGACCCTGCTTTCTTGGTCCTCTTAAGTGTCTGGCTCTGTGGTAAGCATGTTAGTTTACAAGCAGTATAGTTGATGAACAAAGGGTTATTCAGATGAAACTTCTTTGGAGTATTTCTTGTGTTGATGTATTATGGGTTAGAATCTGGGGGGAGGTATTTGAAGCTGTCTTCCCCACCCCAACCTTAAAAAGCTGTCAGGAAAGAAAGTAGTGTTCTTCCTGGTTCAGACTCTAACAGGCGCCAGAGTTAACTACTGTATTGGGACACTGAAAAGTAGGGGACAGAATCTACTCCATAGTTGTTGTCATTTCCTTCTTTTTGAGACAGGCTCTAGATATGTAGGCCAGCCTGGCCTTGAACTCGAGATCCTCTTAACTCAGCCTCTTGAGTGCTGGCATTACAGGCATATGCCACCACACTCACTGACTTCAAAGAAAAAAAAAAGCTAATGTGAACCTATACTGAAATGTGTACAAAGAAATGTTAGGGTGGAAAATTACATTTCATAATGGCGCAAATCTGTGAGGCTGGGGGATTGTAGTGGTGGTTTTGTTTGGTTGGCAGGGAGAGAGGCAGAGCGTTGGCAGGACTAGGGGTAGAAACCAGGGACCTCAACATGCCATGCAAGTGCTCTACACAGAGCCACACCCCCTGCTTTCAGAGTAAGGGTACAGAACATACTGATTTGAACTTGAAAAATTGCCTTCAAGTTCTCCTGTACATCAAGGAAGCATCCCAGTCAACTATAAGGTATTGATGTAGGTGCTTTTCACATTTAACTGGATTTAAAAATAAGTCCCATGCCTTCTGCACAGGTGTTTTCTGAATACCCGAGTGTCATGGTAAACAAGCGCATGAATCCAGTTCCTGTACCTGCACTCAAAAGCAGCATTTATTTCTGTATCAGTTGCATATAACACATTTGAGAGTTTTATTTCATTGTCCATATACTGGGCGTACAGATGCCAGGGACTATGTCTTGTACCCTAGAGCATAGCAGTGAATCTTCTCTTTATTTCAGTGTCCACCATAGGATTTGGCTTTGTGCTGGACATGGGATTTTTTGAGACAATAAAGCTGCTCCTGTGGGTTGTATTCATAGATTGTGTAGGTGTTGGCCTTCTGATATCAACATTAATGTGGTAAGTACCATAATGTGGTTTTTTTATATACTGTTGGCCTCTGTTTACTTCAGAGGTACAGTAGCTAATGGAAATTGAATACAAATAGAGTAACTGAAGTGGCCAGATTGACTGCCAAGATCATTGTAACTTGGCCTCCTGTGTCTGTACTACATCAGGAAATACTAATGGGTGCTTATTGTCACTCTAGCAAATCCCAGAGTGTCTGCATCCTGTTAAAGACCGATTTTTGAAGATGGTATATCAGATTCTGCTTGTGTCTGGTTAGCTGGTTTCTGCAGTTGTCAGTGGAGACCTTCTCCAGCTGCGGAACTGCAGGGTGTAGGTGCTTTCACATCTAGAGGGTTATCCATTGGACTCTTTGACATTAAGTTGTTTGTGTTTGAAAAGGGTTTTGGTTTTAATGTGGCTCCTTCCTGCTGAGAAGAAAGCACATCCAGAGGTCGTCAAAGGTCTTCAACTTGCTTCTGTCTGGGGTTGATTGAGCAACAGTAGTTTGGTGTTCAGCTTCCCCCTTCTCTCACAGAGAATGCTCCTGTGTGGTTGGCTTCCTGGACAAAGGCTAGTGGATGCATTAAGTGGACTATGTAGAGGATGAAAACTAAGGAGGAAGCAGAAAAAACTTGATGGACCATTTTTACTCTCAGATGGAGGTCCACATTGCTATCAGTCATTTCTTAGTGTCCTCTACAAATTGGAGTTAATTGTTTCACTAGATGCTTTAAGGGATAGTAGGATGGTAGGTCCTTGGTACCTAGATGAGTGTTTGGTAGATGGTAGCTAGTACTATTTTAAACAAAATGCCAAGGCTGTAATCTATGAGATCAACCTTTTATTTTCCTTTGTAACTGTTGGTTTTCTGGGCTCTGGGTAGTTAATGCTATTATGTATCATTAATCTAAATTTCTAAAACCTAATTGGAGATTAATATTGCTGATATAAGTCAATCAGATACTCGTTGTCAAGCAGCTTATGGGGGAAAAGATATAAAGCTTTCAAGAACAGTTTGTTGCAAGTACAATTCTCTGAGTGTAGTGGGTGGCCACAGAAACCAAGGCATCCTGAAGGTGATTACCTTTGGTTTGTCTCCTATAGTTTGGTCAAGTAGAAAAGGACTCATTCTGCTGTTTGTGAGAACTCAGGTGTCATAAACTTGTGAGGAGTTGGAAGTAGAAACAATGACACCCCCCAAAAACCTCCAAAATTGCCATAGTAACAACACAAGGCTGTGTTTTAGGGGAGATATGAGACACTTGATTCCTGGGTCCAGGGTTTGCAAATGAAGAGACATGGTTATGTGCAGCATCATGGTAGGTCTGGGGACAGTTAACATTTAATGGCTGTGAACTAATGAGCCTTAGAAAATAAATAGCCTTGATGGAATTCAGGGGGAAAAAATGGGCCTTTATGTTCACATCGGCAAGTGTGGGTTGGAGGTTAGAAGAGAGATGGAGAGGAGAGCTAGGAGGCTAAGAATGAAGAAAATCAAGTCAGTTTCACACTGGCAAAGTCTTCAACATGGCAGTGAAGGAGCAGAGAAGTAGGGAAGCCGGAGACAATCAGAGGGACTCAGGTGAAGGAGGGATGCCCAGAACCATGTGGTGGTGGTGGTCGGATGAGGAGAGAATTTAGAGCTTCCATGGTAACGTGATTGGTGGCTAGGGAGTTAGGGCTTAGGAGACTGTGGTAAATGCTGGTGAAGCGTTCTGTGTTGGCCATGCTGAGTCAGGCAGCTGGTGAGATGTTGATGGAGATGATAGCAGCAAACAGGAAGGCAGAGAACTGGAAACCTTCGGACAGTAGTTTGGATTGACACGCGGCCATCTTGGAGGTGGGAAAGAGCAGTCAGTCGCCTCGAAGTTCTCTAGGAAGGAATGTCTGTGCCATTTAAGGGATGCACGGAGGTACAGCAGGAGGGTAGTGATTGTGTAAAAGAACTTCTGGGGGATGAGCTGCATACTACCCACAATCCCTTTATCATTCATAATTATTTTTAAATTTTATAATTTATGTAGTTCCATGTGATAATTTGATTTATGTATATAATGAGTAATGATCAAATCAAGGTAATTAAAGTTTCCATCCCAAACATTTACAACTTATTGGTTGGGGACCTTGAAGTTCTAGCTCTTATAAAATGTCTAGCACCACTGTGCTGTGAGCATTCAAACTCCTTGCTTCTATTTTGATAGCAACAATCCAACCTCCATCAACCCTTCTTTCTTAGCATCTGGTGTCTATGATTCCATTTCCTGGTACTCTGAGGTCAGGGTTTTGTTTTGTTGTTATTTTATCTCTCCTTTCCTGGCTTATTTCACTGATTTTGTAAAATTGAGTGGCACATATTCTTGGCTAAAATAGTATTTGGTGTGTTACAGTTTGTCCAAGTGAAGCACTGTTGTTTTGACTTTTTGATAACTAAGTATAGACTTTACTATCTTCTGCCATGCTTTCTTGATTTAGTGTGTTTGTCTTGTTGTTGTGCTGTTTAAGTTAGGGCCTCACACTATAGCCCAGGCTAGCCTAGAACTTACCATGTAGCCCAAGCTGGCTTTATACTAAAGTTGTTCTGTCTTCACCACCTGCATGCTGAAATTACAGGCATGCACCACCACAGCCTGACGCTGTATCTGTGTTCAATATGTAAGATACTGAATTGAGCTAAAATACAGTGACATATGCTCAGCCATTAAAAGCACTTGCCCAGTTTAATCCTCAGGATTCACATGAGAGAACTAACTTCACAAAGTTGTTTTCAGACTTCATGCTATGGCACCTCCCATAAACAAACACTATAATAAAATGGTATTTAAAATCTAGTAACATAAGAAAGGACATTTCCAGATGTTTGTAGAACAAATGGTCCTTTTCATTGAGGATCTGGACACAATAGCTTTCTGGTAAGTCAAGTTGTAGAACAGTGAGGGAAGCATACGCTGTTCTGTTTGGGCATACCAATAGCCAGCCCTTTCTCCCATTTCCTCCCGTTTCCCTCACTTTTAATGGTAAAAGTCTTGGCCATGAGTATTTACTGGATTTTTGTTTAGTTGGTGGTTTTAGATGAAATCATGATTTTAGTGATGTCATTTAGGCCCCATGGCTTTCAATGTCATCTACACACTACCTTAGACCTTCCTTTCAACTACAGGCTTTGTATACAACTTAATCCTTGTTGGTAATTAAGCACATTTGTCATAGCTGATCCCAATCCCAAGTCTTGCCCGCTCCTTCATTCTCAGAACCACTCTGGCACCACCAACCTGTCTTTGACTGATAGCAATGCTATCTTCCTACCTGCTCAGGGCAAGCCTGTTATGATTTTCTGGCTTCACCTTCAACTAGTGTTGTACACCTCATCACCTCCACTGTTAGGTGACTCTAGTGACAGGCTATTGTCCTCTTGTCTGTGGAGTCTGCAGTCAGATTGGCCACCAAGGAGACCCTGTCAAAACATTTCTGACATTTCTTGCATCTTGACCCTGGCTGCTTCTACAATGAGTGAAAGAGCGAAAAGTCACAAAGTAGCCACAGGCATCTGGAAAGCAGGCTCTCTGTTTCCTTTTATTAGCTACCTGCTCTATTCCTTCCTCCTCACAGGCACACACAGAACTTCAGCTGTGCCAGGCATCATCAGTGCCATGCTTCTTTACCCAAATGTTGAGATTTAAAATCGTACCTCAGCTCTGCCTGTTTGCCATTCTCCTTAGTACCATGCCAGGCTACTCCCACTAGAGGGAAGGCAGAGACATTGACCTGTTTCATTGCTCCATCTCTAGAACTTTGGTGACATGTGGCACCCAGAAGGTGGTTGGTACTGAAAGAACAGGTACATTTGTGTAAGAAGTTGTCATTTTGCTCTTCAGGTTCATCTCCAACAAGTATCTAGTGAAACGCCAGAGCAGAGACTATGATGTGGAGTGGGGATACGCTTTTGATGTGCATCTGAATGCGTTTTATCCACTCCTAGTCATTTTGCATTTTATCCAGCTGTTTTTCATCAACCGTAAGTATTTGTTTCTCAGATGTTCTCAAAGTTCTTGTTGTGTGAAGAGACTCACTATATGTATTTTTTTTTTCTGGCAGATGTTATCCTCACAGACACATTTATTGGATATTTAGTTGGAAATACCTTATGGTTGATTGCTGTTGGCTATTATATCTATGTAACCTTCTTGGGATACAGTGGTAAGTTTTGGTGGTTTACGAATGTAACAGGGAAGGGTGTTAGCAGTGGATTTACAGGGCACTGACAAGACACTATTGTTCACTCCATATGATCTTCATAATTTCATAGGTGTATTCACCTTTTAGCCTACCCACTGTCCACAAGTGGAGTGGCATGTAACATTTGTCATAACTTTAAAGGAGCCATGCTAACTCGTTATTTCTAAGTTACAGGCGGAAGTCTGACTGTTTTCTTGTGTGGATTCCAGCTCTGTGTTATTAACCATGGGCTAGAGAGGAAAAGGCATGGGCTCATAGTTACAAACCTTTCTTTGGTTCTGTGGATGATCCCAGGCCACATTTACAAACTTCCTGCCAAACCTTCTCAGTTATTTTTCCTAATGTGAATGAAGAATACTCTTAGGCTGGGTGAGCGTAGCTCAGTAGAAAACCTGCCTACTGTGTGCAAGGTCCCATAATAGCAAAATCCCATAGCTAAAGCCTAGAGATCTTAAAATTGATCCCACAGAACCATCCACGGTATCACTGGTTCCAGCTCTTCTTTGCTGCTTTGGATGGCTGGGACCTCTGACTGTTCCTCACCCCATGACCAGTTTCCCAGGGATTACTTCACCCCACTTGCCTTGTTTGGGGTACTAGGTTTTTTCTAGCGAATTTTCACAGTATTGTGATCCATAACAGTAAAGCACTGGTTCGCTTAGAGCCTCACAACTGTCAAGCATAGTGTCTAAGAACTAAGTCTAAGAACTGCCTTGGTCAGTGTACGTGGGGAACGGAGTTCAGTTCCCAGCAACCACATGATGGCTCACAACCATCTATAATGAGATCTGTTGCCTTCTTCTGGCCTGCAGGCAGAATACTTATATACATAATAAATCTGTAAGCCTAGTGTTTACAGTGTGTAGTGTCTTAGTTCTTCCCCAAAGTTTGAGTCATTGATTACACCTCAATTTGAGATATGTTGCTTTTGCAATGGAAACACTCCAATGCCCAAAAGTGATTTTGTTCCACGTACATGAAAGTGCCATAATGAGGTCCATTACCTTGCGTACTAGCTTACACTCCTGGGACATGTGTGTAGGTCAGCAGTTCTCATGGGTTATGACTCCTTTGGGGGTCTCATCAGATATCGTACAAATCATATATTTATGACTCATAACAGAAGCAAATTAGTTACGAAGTAGCAATGAAATAATTTTAAGGCTGGAGGTTACCACAGCATGAGGAACTGTATTAAAGGGCTGCAGCATTAGGAAGGTTGATACCACTGGATAGTTGTTGGTCCCTCTACTGAGTTTCTCATCAGCCCTGAATGAGAAGTGTCTGTAGTTCTGCACGTAGCATCATGGTGCTATGCAAACGTGTGCTGCCTCTTTGGCCCCTTGTGGTGAAGAGCCTTGTTTCATCATGTTCATCTTTCAGTCGTATCCTTGTTTCTTTTCCAGCACTGCCATTTTTGAAAAATACAGTAATCCTGCTCTATCCATTTGCACCTCTCGTTGTGCTGTATGGACTGTCGCTGGCCCTGGGATGGAACTTTACCCACATGCTGTGTTCCTTCTACAAGTACAGGGTGAAGTGAAAAGTGACACCAGCATTGTAGCTGAACTGTCTGGTATTGGGGAAGGGATATGCTCTTGTAAAGTCTGTAAATTATCTTTGTAGATATCTTAAAGATGTAAAGTTTACAAATTTGAGCTGATACTAACACTATTGTCTAGACCATTCCTTAAAACCAATCAAATGTACATTTATAATAGATATTTTTAAATTAAAGCATGTAATTGTTTAGTTATTTAACCCAAAGCTATATATAAACTATCAAGGGCACAGTAATGGGCTTGTTGTTGGCAAGATGTACAGACTTATTCAGCCTGCAGTGTGGCTCACACAGGAGCCCCTGTCACTGAAATACAAAACAGTCCCGCAGGGACTACTTTCATTTAAGAACTGCCTGTATGTATATATGGCAGCCACTCTCTCACCAGGATGTCATGTTTCCCTTTTAAAGATTCAAGAGGAACCAGCAACTAGTTAAAAAACAGATGAAGTAAGCACCATAGTAATAGCACTAAAAAAATTCATTCATTCTGTTAAAGACATTTTTATTAGAGGGAATCTTGGTTCAAACTTCTTTATTTCAAATACACATGGACAGTTATAGCAGAGACAGTTATGAAAGGCACAGTCAACAGGACATTATTAGGTTTCAATTATAGCAGCAAACTTGAAAATAAATAATCTGCCTTTAAAAATCCAACAGGTACCTCAAATATTACTGCAGCTATTAACTGTTCAACCCATGAAGACACTGTGAGCAAAGTATGCACAATACATTTGAGGAGGAGAGGAGAAAAGCCTGGTATAACCTAGCAAAGATTCCCTGGGCTGCTCCAAGAACCATCCCCCAGGGCAAAGACAGCCTTTCTGGAGGAAGTGCTCCCACTGAGTGACTTTTCTCACTCCAGGGGGAAACATGACTGTGAGGCTTAGTGGACTCTACACTGAGAAGAATCTGTTGGCAGCACTCTGGACAGTGCTGTCCCAGCAGCCCCTTTATATGGCTCAGGCACCGTGTTTCCAGGAAGTTTTACACCAAGTGCTATTGACTAGTCCAGCTGTACTAGGAACAGCTGTAGGAAGCAGCCTCCCTAGCATCCACAAGAGTTTAGTTGTCCCCATGATGAACCAGCCTGTTGAGAGCAGCTGGAGCCCCAGTGTGCATACTCTACCATGCTCACCCTGCAAGTGGCTCCCTACACACGCTTCCTCCTCCCTCTAACTCGGATTACTGACACTACACAGAGTCACGTGCTGCCTGGAGTGTGCTCTTGCTGCCTGCTTGTTCACACAGGAGCCTTTTTAGGTAGTGTAAAAACTGGGGAAGGGAGCATTTCAGAAACAAGGCTTCATTTAGCTAGTGATGGTACAGGGGCACGGGTAACAAAATCCTTGGTTTGCTTTTTTTTGTCTTTGTAAAAGACTGGTCATCTTTTTAGCATTGTATGTTCACATGCATTAAATTGAGCATATTTAGCATAGCATATATCTGTTAAGGTTAATCATTTAAATCCTTACAACTATCAAAGTTTAAATTTTACAAGCTATAAACGTTGCTACATAGCTTGGGAATGCCCTTTTCTAGAAAAGGATTGAGCTGGGACTTAAGATCCCTTACTAAATGAAGATGATGACAACACAGGCCATGTGACCTGACAGTGTTTAACCTCAATTCTTTTCCTTCAGTTCTGTTTTTCTTCAAGGCTGTGGCAATATGGTAAAAAAAAAAAAAAAAAAAAAAAAGACAAGCACAAATGAGTGAACCAAAACAAAAATAAGCTTCATTAGCAGTTAACGGCTTGGAATCAGAGGTATTATGAAAAGCATCTAAACATGAAACCTTGGTTGGTCCATATAGGGTTTTTGCTGTGCAGGCTGACTAGTGGTTTTAAAAAATTATTCTTATAGCCTAAGCTCTAGCAAGTATGTTCAGCCTGTAGCCCAGGATAGCAATGAATGGCACAATCCAAATTGTAAACATAAAGCTTTTGAACATTTTTGTTTTAGTAACTGAACTGTGTGGTTCTCGAGCGTGAACTCTGTAGACGGCAGCGCCATACTTCAGTGTCAGAAGGTTGGACACGCCTATGAGTCACCATGAAGGCAGGAGGGTTTCTGCTCTTCAGTCTGATCTAAAATACCATAGTTCAAGTACTTCTGGTGGCCCTTAAGTCAGTGTCATTTAACTTCATCTAGGAGAAAAAGATGCCCCACAACCCCACACCCACAGTCTCATCCTGACAGTTGCTTTACAAAACACAAACAATACAAATCTGACTTGTAGTGGAGATGAAGATCTCTGGCACAGAACATTCTAGCTTAGACTCAGGAATGAGTCTATACTGTGTGTCTATCAAAAAAATCAACAAGCTGGACATGGTGATGCATATCAGCACTTGAGAGGCAGAACTGGGAGAACAGAAGTTCAAGGCCAGCCTGGGGTACAAAGTGAGACCCTGTCTTTAAGAAAGAAAAAAGTAACTTACTGCAGGCAATCAAGTGTGAAGACCACTCAGGACTGTCTTAAATTCTTTTTCTATTGCTTGTTACAAACACAACAAATCTAGCAGCTTACCCAAGCTGCTGGGGAGGGCCCCACTTACAAAGCTGCAGTGAAGGTGCTTCCAGGTTGGCCTCCCATCTGAAGACATCCATTTCCAAGCCTGGGTAAGTGGGGGGGGGGGGTTGTGAAGCTGTCCTGGGGCAAAAGGGCTGCAGCTCCTACTTCCTCAGCTGGTCTTAAGGCAGGCCACCTGCAGTCCTTCCTGGTGGCCCCCTCCACTTAAGCCAGGAGTGGTCTTTTGAAGTTCTGTTGCTGCTTTTGTCTCACTTTCCCCAGCCCAACATGGCTCACAAGATTGGATTGGTCACCACAGATAATATCCTTTTGCTAAGTAACAAAACATGACCGTGCATCCTGGTCACAGTTCTTGCCACACTGAGAAGGGAAGGATACTATACAAGGTCATGGAAGGGGTCATCCTTAGAATCCTGCATACCACAAATGACACTATTAACTGGGACAACCTTCTGAACACTCTTTCCACACAGCCAGACTTTTCTTTGAGGGACAGCACTGTTGAAGACTTTATTTTTCATTATCATGAAAGACTAAAAAGGACTGTAGTTAACCACTATCCTGACAGCTTTGTGAAACAAGCACACCTGGTCTTTTACATGAAACCAGCAAATTCAAAACCACAAAGAACTTTTGTTCAAACACACCCTAATGGATGCACACACACATACACATCTAGCCTACAAACTGTATTACCCATATGCATTCACTCTCAGGCTTTTTAGTCAAACAGACTTCTTGAGGACACGGATACAATGCATGCTGGGAAGAATGATGACACTCACATATAGCCAGGCAATCTTGGCCTTCTCACCAAAATACACACCTTTGCCTGCACTAATCTGAATCCACAGGTCTGCTTTCAATCCTTCAGAATGTTCATATTTACACACAACACCATATTGGCTGGCAGAACCTCCCACCGTGATGTCCCGTGTTTCTCAGATCCAATATGGTGGCTGCTGGCCCCGTGTGGGCACAGAGCTCAACTTTTCATTGTAACAGCTGCTGTGTGCTCTGTGGCTTCTTTGGGGCCAGTCTAGTTTATATGAAATACACACTAGATGCCAACCACCACCTATTTACTGATATAATTAGTCCTGCATCTGGCACTTTCTCCATTCACTATTCAGGGGAAAGTGGGTTGGTGGCCTCTCAGGTCTGATGTGTACACCTTGCAGTTGTAGGCACCCTGGCTTCCCCTCCTCTGAGCTCCACTCTTACCAACCTCCGAGGCTCCCACTACAACTGCTTGCTTGGGGAAAGCACACCTGCTTTGATTGTCTAGTGCCGCACTGGGGACCAAGAAGGGAGCAACTAACACCGAGGGTCATGTGAGCACCTGCTGTGGTGGAAGATGATGGAGAGCTGGCCTCCGGAGCGTGGAATGTGTGTGCGCCCATGCAGGCATGCAGGGCAAGGTTGTTAGGCAAACACACCTAAGAGAGAAACGACTCACCCAGAATGCCACGAGAGCTTGCCTAGGCCCAGGCATGTTCTAGGCACTGAGAAAAAAGAGACTCTCTGAATGAAGGACAACTTTTTATTTTGGCTAAAAAGCATGAGCCATGAGTGGGGTTTGAGCGAGAAGATGTGCAGAAAGACCCAAGCAGGGGCCATTCAAATGGTGACAGGTGTTGCATTAGAGTCTCCCACTAGATTTTTAAAGCACAGCCTCCCTGAAGTTACAACCACTGAGAAACCAGAGCCCTAAGGGGACCCCTTCCCCCAATTGCATGGTCTCACCATCTGTGACCCTGCTGCATTAGCAGTAATTTAGTGTGTTAAGACAGTGCTCATTTCAAAGGTATTTGCCTTGTGTCTTAGGAAACCAGAGAAGAAAATAAAAAGTTGAAGGAAATGAGAGGGAAATTTACAAAACCCCAAGAAAAGCTTCAGCTGGGCTTTAACATACAGCACAGTAGTATTTACATTTTTCCCAGAGGACGGCATGCAAAATGGCTGTTAAGTGCTATGTGTCCTATACATGAGGCAACTAAGAAAGCTCCAGGCTGGAGGCCACCAGCTAGGACCTCCCACAGCTTCAGGTCTCTACCACATCTGCTGGACATCTGCAGCCCCTGATCACCAGAGGAGACTGGAAACTGCTGCTCAGCCTTCCTAACTGTTAAGAATTGCAAACTAGTACTGCATGAGACTGCAAGGTAAGGACGCATAAGTACTCTGTGGACACAGCATTTACTTCCAAGTTCAAGGTACAGCACAGCAAATCATTCTGTGGAAACATACAAGCACTACAATTATCTTTGACCGGAGCCCCACATTACAGTTTTGGCTTTAAAAATCATACCCATTATGATTCACACAACAGCATTACCTAGAAAACATTGTCTGAACTTCGAAACCTAACATGGGTATAAAAGGACCAGTGAGAACAGAGATAATGTGTCTAACTAGTGATTAAAGACAGATTAACAAGGGAAGGGGTCTCATGACCCACACACACTAGGGGAAACCTCAAGGACTCTGGAGACCTGGACACTGAAGACCACACTGGTTCTCTGTGGCTACACACCATACACAGTACAGTAAAATAACCTTCAAGAGGACACTGGTCTTTTAAAATCTTGGCTTTAAAGAATGACAAACTCCTCTGAAAATATTTTGTTCAGAATTGCTGTGATTATAAAAGTACTTCAAGTTAAGAAACCCATCTAGAACCAATCTGGAATGGCAGTGCACTGGGAAAAAAAATGGCATTGATCTGTAATGTCTGCATCTCCAAAGAAAAATATAGAAAGAACTTAAAAAAGCCAGGAACCGCTTCTTCAAAAAAAGGTATTGATTCAAAAATTTACTGCACAAAAATATGTACTTCTTAAGTGTTTCTAATAAATTAACTCCATAACATCTGTATGTGTATTTATATATTTATATATACATATATAATCCCTGATCATCTATAAAAGAGGGTCTATAATAGTAAAATAAATGAACTTCAAAAGTACCCCCTTCACAAAATGTATTTAACATTAGTTTTTCTCAAATTTTAAGGAATGTAACAATATGTACAACTCTTATGTATTAGTATAATACCAAAATAGTCCCAGTCATATTAACAGGCTGTCAGAATTGTAAAACATTTGTGTCAAGTTCAAATTGGAGGACAGCTTAGTTTCAAATGAATGCAGTCATCCATGGGAAGAGTCCCCGTCTGAGTGGGAATAACAATCATCTTATCTACAGTAGGCTTCACGAGAGGTAGTGTTCAAGTCCAGACAGAAAGGGACGCGCTAACTATCTTTAATTGACAGAGTCATAGGAAGAAAGGATGTGGTGTTGGTTTCTTAGAAGATCAATTGGTGGCTTTTTTTATATGAATCTGAAATACAAAATAATGAAAGATTTGATAAAGCAATTAATTTGAAATTCCCAGAAAGCTTCATTTGCAAAATCAAAATACAACGTAAAACAATGCAGCAGCTATGTGACTTCCCAGACTTCCTATGTCCTTACCTCATTAAGAATGGCCCAAACAGCAGAATTCTGAATAACTGAAAGTCGAAAGGCTGAAATGGGGTTGAGAGCAGGGTCCACGATTCCCTCTGCAACACCATACTCAAATTTTCCTTCAAAACAGGAAGTAAATGTTAAAGACCAAGCACCAGTATCAATCCACAAACAAGTAATTTTTTAAAAATTACATTTGTGTTTGTATGGGGTGTGCACACAATACGTGTGTAGATGTCTGAGGACAACTTTTAGGAGTTGGTTCTCTCCTTCCACAATGTGGGTCCAGAGGATTGGACACAAGTCATCAGGCTTGGTGACAAGTGCCCTTATCAACTGAGCTATGTTACAAGACCACACACATATGATTTGAGTGGAGCATACTCATCAGCTAGAAGTTATTTACTTATTTATTCTACTAAGCTTTTTGCTTTGATATTTACTTTCTGCCATATTATTACACTGTAGATGAATCACTTCTAGTTAGAGGAAAAAGCCTTTCAAAGCAAGTATTAATTGTGGAATACAGCAGTCCTTTATTTGCATTGGAGCATCTCTAAATCTCTGCTACCACTATACTTCTAACTTGGAAGGTGCTTCTCTTTCTGTACATGTGAGCTGTCTTTTAAAGAAGCTGATTATAAAATCTGCTTATTTTCCTAAAGAAATGAGCTTAGATATTGTATTAGTTTAAAAGTTCTGAGTTTAGAGCTGGGTGGTGGTGGCATACACCTTTAATTCCAGCATTCAGGAGGCAGAAGCAGGTGGATTGAGGCCAGCCTAGTCTACAGAGGGATTTCCAGGACAGTCAGGGATACCCAAAATAAAGCAAAACTTCCAAATTTCACAATACGTCTTGATTGTGACTTGTTTACCCAGTCAACCATCAACAATAACTATGCCTATGACACCTGCTACTATAGTCCACCATCAACTACAAAACTTCATTAAAATAACTTTTCTTTTTCCTTTCTCATTTCCTTCCTTCCTTCCCTCCCTCCCTTCACAGAGTTCAGGCCAGTAAGCATTAAATAGGTAAGTATTAGACAATAGGAGAAAACAGGAGAGGGAAAATGCCGGGGTGGCTGCTAGCTAATACATAGCTAAAATATAAGAGGGCAAGCTGAGCATGCTGAAGGCATTCCCGTCCAGGTTAATCTGTTGAGCACACGCTCCATAACCATAACTGAGTATGCTCATTTACCATTCCTAACACCCTCAAGGCTTCCCTAGGTGCCACTGTCAGCATCACATCACAGACGGCACACACCCAGAGGGAGGGTCAGAAATCGGGTGGACTGGCATGTGGAAGTTAGATGAGGGCATGAGAGCAGTGAAGACCATCCAGATAGAGACGGGCAGAAAGAGGCAGCAAAGGCAGACTCGCTGTCACTGAGATATAGCCATGACAGGCAACAGAGAAAGCCGACAAGCCAGGGAATCCACCCAGGATCGGAAACTGTCAGATCAATCGAATATAAGTGACAACTTGAGCACACTGGTGACTGCAACTGTCAAGTGCCTTAATGTATGACAAGAATTTGAAACGACTTTAGGAGTCAGTCCAGGAAATAAGGGGCGTGTTACTAAGTAGACATTACCTATTCTGAAATAGCCATCTTCTAATCGTTTGTCTTTGGTTTCTTTGCTGATTTCCAAACTGTCGCTCTAAAAATAAAAGCAACAACTGTATAGGTAATTGTGCCCGTTAAGCAAACCTAACTTTGTGTAAAAGTTACATTTGTGGTGCAGCTATGAAGAAAACTGGCATCTCAGTTGAGAATTCTAAAAATGTGTTAGTAAAACTTTAACCACCTGCTCAGCCTGCATAGAATACCAATGGTCAGAAAATGAAGATTGTATGTTAACTTGAACAAAATGTAGGCATTTCTTTTTTTTTGGTTTTTACGAGACAGAGTTTCTCTGTATTGTTTTCGAGGCTGTCGGTCCAGCCCAGCCTCGAACTCACAGAGATCCGCCTGCCTCTGCCTCCCGAGTGCTGGGATTAAAGGCGTGCGCCACCACCGCCCGGCAATGTAGGCATTTCTTACAGACCAGTGAATCAACTTTGTGCATTCCCCATGCACCTGGCATTGTAGAACTCAAAATATACAGGGTAAACACTGTGGTAAAATATGGACCCCTTTCCTAATATAAACAACTGCATTATTTTTCCAGCAGTAAGCAAAATGAAGACTATGGAAGAAACAAATGGGTTCATTAATATCAGTTTTCAACATTTTAAAAACCTAATATTATCACCTACCATTAAAGTCATACATCTCATGAGTTTTTTTTTCTCATAAATAACACCTCTAATCCATTGTGACAACTGGCTTCAAATGTCAGTTTGACACAACTAGAGATTAGTATGAAGAAAGCCTCAGTGAGGGGCTGTCTACATTGGATTGGCCAGTGAGCATATCTGTAGGAAGCCCACTGGGGCGGAACCACTCCTTAGGCAGGGGTTCCTGAACCATGTAAGAGAGGAGAAACTGAGATGAACACAAGTACACATGAGAACGTTCATGCATTCATTTCTCTCTGCTCTTGACTGTGGATTTGATGTAACTTGATATTTAAAATTCCTGCCTGACTTCCCCACAGCGATGACCTATAATCTGGAACTGTAAGTTAAAATTAGCCCCTCTCCCCCATAAATTGCTTTCTGCCAGGGCATTTTATCACAGTAACAGAAATGAAACTAGAACATCAGGAGTAGCAGCAGCCAATACCTTAAGAGGCAGAACCTCCACAGTTGTGTTCAGCAGGATGTCTCCTGGGTGTTCTTGATTGCCACTATGGAACAAATAACTGAAAATACATACCAAAGAATGAAAATACACGTTAGACTAGAGTGTACAAGATCCAAGAACACATCACACCCCAGAGTGAGCTCTTAGAAGGTATAACCACACCAAAACCTGCAACCAGCCAGCTGACTCAAATACGCTGCAGGAAACTTTAAGACTGAAGGGCGCAGCTACAGGCTGTGTGTTACCCCTGCTGGAAGCCCCCATGTTTGTTGCTTAACATTCAGTAACAAAAAAGTGCCCACTCTGACCTGTTTGCAACATTTTCCACACCTACAACAATCACAAGCACAGCACCTTGTGTCACAGAGTTTTCGGGATGACAGTCAGGGGTCATGGCATGTTCAAAGCCTCGGGTTAGGGTTATGAGTTTGGCACAGTGACAGAACACTCACCTAACATGTACAAAGCACTGGGCTCACTGGGCATTGTTGGCGCACGCCTTTAACCCCAGCACTCGAGAGGCAGAGAAGGCAGATCTCTGTGAGTTCAAGACCAGCCTGGTCTACAGAGAAAGCTAACAGAAACCCTGTTTCAGCGGGGGAGGAAAATCTAAAAGCTTAGATTTAGGAGTCAGAGAAGACCTTAGTTTGCATCCTGGCTCCCTAGATTCCTTGAGTCCACCTTTACCAAGCCCAATTAACTTGCAGCATGAGTTTCTGCTAGTGCATGCTATGTCCATGCACCACTCATGACTATTCTAAATGTATAAGAACTGACAAAAGGCATCCTGCACTTGGAAAATCCTCAGCCAGGGAATGGGTACAGGTGACAACTTGCTTCAAGTGTAGTATTTGTGGGCAAACATCTCCTGTGACAGGAATTTGATTTTTTTTAAACTATGCAGAAGAGATTTTCCTAGCATTTTCAGATGAAAAATACTGTTTTCATTTTTAATTTTATGTTTTATTTTAAGAGAGAGAGTATGTGCACAGGAGTGCAGAACTCACAAAGGTCAAAGGTCATTGGCTCCCCTGGAGCTAGAATTGAGGACATTGTGAGCCACACGATATGGGTACTAAGAATTATTGAGTTCTCTAAAAGAATAGTACACACTCTTACCCACTGAGGCGCCTGTCCAACCCCTGCTGTTATTCTGGGGACAAGATCTTGCTGTTGCCCATTCTAACTTTGAACATCTGGTCTCCCAACAATACTGGGACTTGAGGTAAATGCACTGGTTCATAGAGAAATACGCTAAAAATGTATCATTACCTAGCAATGCTGGTTTACATGACGGCTGTTCATTCTCTGTCTCAGCTAAGGATGCCCAAGTGAAGGGAGCCATGGAGAAGAAGAAGACGGGCTTCCAAGATGGCTCAGTGGGTAAAAATCCTTGTCATGCAAGCATAGGGACCTGAGTTCGATCCCCAGAGCCCATGTTAAAAAAAAGCCAGCCTCATCAAATCAGTGAGTTCTAGGAAAAAGTGAGAAGAGACCCTGCCTCAAAAAAACAAAAAACAAAACAAAACAAAACAAACAAACAAAAAAAAACCAGGTGGAGATTGAGCAAGAAAATAGCTGAGGTTGATAGTGCACCCACCTCAACACACAAATAAAAATAACAATAGGTCACACCAAAATTCCTCATGGGGTCTGTGCTGATACGGTAGCAGGATACAAGAACAGATACAAGTCAGTGGACACGCCTGCATACACTACTGGGTGCAAACTCCATTACAGTAAGTGTGCCACTGACATTCTAGTAAAAGTGGGGAGAATTGAAGGGGCCATGAATATTAAGTCAACAAACAGAAGAAGATAGTCCTAAATCATGCGAGTCCCACAGAACCTAACGGGGTTGCAAAGTCCCGTGGGCATGCTAAAAATTATCTGCATCGGCAAAACTACTGGCTAGGAACATCCACCATTTCAACGGGGCTAGTAACTTGCTCTCCCTGTGTTTGGAGACAAAGCTAACTTAAAGACTCGAAAATTATTATGGAAATAGGTCTAAATAAGAGTAACAAAGTTACAGATTAAATCTAAGTCCAGAAATGACAATCTACAACCATAAGACCAGCAAGACAGCTCAGCAGATAAAAGACACTTTATCTACCAAGCCTGAGGCCCAAGTTTAGTCCCTGTCACCCACAAGGTGGAAGGAGACACCCAATCCCACGTGTTGTCCTCTGATCTCCACACACACATAAATGTAACATCTTAAAAACAATTTATCCAGAACATTAAAATATTGATGGCATGCCTGAAAACATGAGCACTGTTTCATACTCAGCTATATGAAATTAATTTGAAACCAAAACTTTTACGACTTAGCACCCTGTCAACCTACTATGCACCAGCCCATAGATGAGGTAGGTCATAAGCACTCAGACGAAGTGGAATGCCACTGTCACTGACCTCTCTACATTGACTGGCTTGTCGAATTTAAACAAGATGTAGTCTCCCGCTGTGGGGGTGATGGCCCAGAAGAAGTCCTCGCCCATGTAGGTCTTCTCCAGTGTGTGTCCTTGGTAAACCTTCAGGGAGGTGGAGACCTCTGCGGGTGGATTCACGTGGATCTTGAGAAGCAATGGTTTCATGTAATCTTTATCCTAGGAAGACGTGTGTGTCATTATGTAACATCTACACACAAACAGCAACCGGTACAGCTACCAAACGCTATGTTAAATCACCAACCGTGAGTTTCTGAATTTTCCCCGACAGTGACGAATGCAGACCCACGTGCTGGAAGAGGGATGGTCGGAAGCGGATTCGTAGATTTGCCTTCTGTCTGTCACAATGTTTCTAGACATTTAAAAGAATCGGATTTTATTATTCAATAAAAAAGTGCAACTCAGGCCCTAAAGAGTTCTGTGGGTTGGCATATGGTATCACTGCTATTTAATACTTTCGAGTGTACTGGGGTCTGCTACTATATCCCATAAGAATTTGAAGGGAGTGGGGGCGGGCAACTGGAACAACAGGAAGAAAACAACACGCCTTCCACAAGCTAGATCTGCTGTCTATATACAGCCAGTAGTAACAGGATAACAAATCCTCAAGACCCCACCAATGTTTCTTAGCCATACATGAGGGAGCCAACACTTAGAAAAAGGGTGGTTAAGGGATTTTTCTATTAACAAAACAATGTATTATATATGCACACACATGACTGAACTGTTTAAAGCACTGCACCACACACACACATACATACACAGTTACCATACACACACACTCTCACACTCATACACAAGCAAAGGAGCACGCACACACACACACACACACACACACACACACACACAAACACACACACACACACCTAACTTTCTAACATTGGAACTTAGAACTGACTTCAGAATGAAGTCAAACATGTGAAGAGTAAACAGTTTCCCTGCTGTAGCCTTATTTAACTTGTTACCAAGATCTACTTCACTCAAAGTTACTTTCATAAGGGAAACAGAAAAACTTCCAGGCCAGGTACCTGGCACATGCCTGTAATCCAGGCACACAGGCCACTGAGGCAGGAAGATCTTCAGATCTAGGCCAGCCTGGGGCTACATAGTGAGACCCTGTCTCAAAAAAGCAAAGAAAGAGTGTCCCCTGGACCACATGGAGAGTTAACTTACAGCATCTTTTTCAGGGTTGCAGACTTTCACCCAGAGAATGTGGTCCAAGAGCCAGTCAATGGGTTTCTCCTTATAAAACATAAAGATGAACTCCACAATCAGAGTAAGGTCTGGCGCTTGAAACATCTTTCCTGAAAAGACATTCCCAGTCAACATCTGTCACAAAGGGCCAGTCCTCGAGATGCCTGCAGAAGGGACTTCTACGCGCTAAATATATTGAGGTTTTACTACCATTATCAAAAACAGCATCACTTTAGCTAAACATTCTGTGGACTTGTCACCTGAGATAAACAGAAGTAGCCAACTCCTAATGTTAGCTACAATGCAACGCACAGTGTTGCTTAAAGCATTCAGAGATCAAGTCAGACTTTTTCCCCTATCTTAGTAAGACTGTTCCCATAAATAAAGGAATTTGAGACATTCATATTTTTAAAAAGTATGCAGGGCTAGGAATACAACTCATCGACAGAGCACTTACCTAGCAATATGTGTGCGGGCCTAAATTTAGTCGGGGGGGGGGGGACAGGGAGGAAGGGTAGGAGGGGAGGGAGGATTGCAGGGGAGGGGAGGGGAGGGAGGGAGGGATCTAAACCAATAATATAAAAAGATGAAGGAGGCAGAAGAGGCGAAGGAGCAGGAGGAGGGCCGGGAGGGAAAGGATTACTAATTTTGTTGTCACTGAAACTTTGATAATTTTGTTTTCTGAGTCTTAAAACAAGTTTTGAGTTAATGACAACAAGGTCAGACCGAGCCTTTACTGTTGGGGGTTGGCTTGAACCCAAGGCCTCCCTCACTCACACTAGGCTGGAGGTCCACCACTAAGCTGCACCCCAGCCCTCACATTCTTCCATCAGATTTAAGCATGCTGCCCAGCCTGGCTTTAGATTTGAGACCCTCCTGTGTCAGCCTCTCAGATGCAGGAATCGCAAGCGTTCCAGATGTGCACCATCACACCTGGCTTGAGGTTATTTTTAAACCCTGTAAATTTCCTTCACACATTTGGCTTCAAACATGTTCTTTTTTCCTTGGCTATTTTAGGAATGCCACTCCCTCAAAGGCTTTAAGATAAGTACCCCAAATAGTTCATGAAAGAAATGAGTGAACAAAACGTAATCACCTACAAGAGCTGCACGCTGCAGCCCCCCAATAACCCATCAGTGCCATGCTTTGGGGTGAACCCCAGTCTTGTAAGCACAAAGGAAATGGCAGTGTCTCAGAGGAACTCAGCTCCCAGTAGCACCATGGCGGCCACTGTGCAGCTTTCCAGAGGACATGCTACACCTTGGAAGTCACAGAGGCTACGTGAGGTCATGTGCATCAGCTTGCATCAGGAGATTTCCTTAAATTTAATTTTCTCAACACCAAATCAATTTCTCTGGGGGGGGGGGTAACTCTTTTGGTTCGGTTTAAGATTTTGAGATCAGCTTTTTTTTATGGTTTTTTGAGACAGGATTTCTCTGAAGCTTTGGAGCCTATCCTGGCACTCGCTCAGCAGATTAGGCTGGCCTTGAACTCATACAGATCTGCCTGCTCCTGCCTCCCCAGTGCTGGGACTAAAGGTGTGCACCACTGTTTTATAAAGTAGATAAACCGAACATTTTTCTTACCAATGAATCCAAGCTGGGAAAACTCTAGGATCATCCATTCTTCAGAAGAGAGTTGAAGTGCAAAATTTTTTATGGTATTAAAGTAGTTTTGTTTGACAATAATATCATCTTCAAGCTAGAAAAAAATTGAACAATCATGTTTAAATAAGGCAAAAAGAGAAGGAAAGGGGTAAATAGGTATTATTACAGTAAACCCAAACATATTCTCACAAGTATCAGGAAAACTATGGCTAAACCCAATTAAAATATAAACATGGGCGTTGTTGTGAAAGCAAAAGATTATCATCAACTACCTAGGTCAGAGGTCAAAGAGGAGCCAGCACCTTCCCTCACCTACCTTCTGTCTGGCTAGTGAGAGGCTCGAGGGGAAAGCTGGGCAAGCACCCATCTGACACCTGCATTCTGTCTGACAGACGCCTAGGTACAACTCTCTCTCTCTCTCTCTCTCTCTCTCTCTCTCTCTCTCTCTCTCTCTCTCTCTCTCTCTGTCTCCCTCAGGGCCCAGCTCAAGCTAGGCAAGGGCTTTAGTACTAAAAAGCCTCTTTACAGTTTTTAAAGGACTTATTATTTTTATGTGTACATACATGCATGTCTCTGACCTAGGTTAAGGACATCGCGTGTGCAGGAGCCTGTGGAAGTGAGAAGGGGCACTGGATGCCCTAGAGCTGGAGTAACAGGTAGTTAAGAGCCACCATGTGGGGTGTGACACAGGATAAGGTGGTACCAGAAGCGCCTGGCAGTGTTCCAGAAGACCATCTTCTACTCCAAGTCACTTGCAAGCAGCCCCCCTCTTTTTTTTCAAAGTATCAAGCTTTATTCAAAGCAAAGTGATAGTACAAATCAGAAACACATTGTAAATCAGAAACACATTGTCGAGAACAGAGCCAGGCCACAAGGGCTCCAGGCACAGTGTGGGGCTGCCTTTAGGAGATTCAAGAGAAGGAGAAATCTGACTGTTAAAGGGGAGTAGCAAGGGTAGTTCCCTGTTTTGATTGACAGATTAAGGCATAATGTCATCTCTCTACTGTGCACATCCTGTCCCAGAATGTGTCTGATTTTAATCATGTGCATGCCTAATTATGCATAGACATAAGATGGTAAATAGGGGATTCTCCCTACACGTTCACATAGGGACACAGTTTCTCCTTACTGCATATGCACCCCAAAACAGTCCAAGCCAGACTGGCCTCTCCATTTGGAATATGAATGAATAGAATCTGTTGAAGAGGAGAGAAACTTACTGCATTGTTCCTAGTGGGTGTGTATAGAGCTCAGAGCCGGTTGGGGTCCTGGGTTGCTAGCAGGTTTCTGGGTGCAGTGATAAGAAAGGCGTTTGCGTGCTAGCATGTGCAGACAAGTGCTTCCGGCTGCCCAGCGCGTTAGTATTAGGAGAGGAGTGCATGTACAGCCCACACCAAATATGGATCCAGGTCACTAAACTCCCCCATGCTTGCCTACACCATTGTTTAGATACGCAAAGAACTTTGGGAACACTGGGACAGGAAATGGTCACAACAATATGGTGCTTGAGTGAAGTAGGACGGTTAAATGTCATACTGAGCGAGGGAAATGACTGAATGGCATTAAAGCTCTGGGTCATCTATGATGAGAACCCTGGCATAACTTGATATTGGGCAGCACCGCCTTTTACAAAACGGAATAACATTGCCACTCTAAACTTCATCCCAAGCCACAGGTGTAACCCTGGAGTGGTTGGTATTTTCTCTTTAAGCATAAGGCCTTGATGCAATTGAACTGGTTCTACCTTTTCTTTTAAGTGCCTTGTATGTTTCCAGTGCTGGGACCTGAACCCAGGGTGGCATGCACAATGGCCAACACTCTCCCACTGGGCTGCCTCCCACACACAAACATCCTTTAGAAGCCGTGGATATGAAAAGCCCGTTTGCAACCATGAAGCCACCGCCCTAGGAAAGTGTGCGATTAAGTCCTTTGAGTCCCTGTCTTCAGCTCTGCTTCGCTTGGATTTCCCTAGGTGATCCCTTTTGCTTTACAAACATTTCAAGCCAGCATAATCTGACGGCTTCTGAAGCTAGTGTGTTTTCCCTGCTAATACTCTGTAGAAAGATGACTAGGAGCTCCTTGATAGGAGTCTCGTGCTGCCCAACTATAAAGACCAGAGTATAAAGCAACTCTATTTCCTGAGGAACAAGCTTTGGGGAAATATACCACTTTTAGAAAAACTCATTAACCTTTGGAGACATGAAAATTTAGACCCAGTCTAAATCATCTGCAATAAGGTAACGATAAAATAATATTCTGAAAAAAATGACTAAAGACCACGCCAATTTCCATTTACTGGCATTTAAGGCTTTTGATATGATGCTGTGATAACAAAACTAGTAATGAGGCAATGTGTGTGTGTGATCCCTTGTTAGGGATTTTAGACATCAGCAAGAGAATGGGATGGCAGACTGCAGACCCTCCTTCACCCACAGAAACATGGCTTCAAAATCAGAGCATTCAACAGCTAGAGTCCATCCGCGTGCATGGTTCCCCAACTCCTGACTTCTCTCCCTCTGGAGCCCCTGACTTTCTGGCATGCATCCTAATAGTGTCTTTTCTGCCTTGTCTCAATCAAAGTGTGGCCAGGAACAGCAGATACCCAACAGAGGAAAGAACGAAGACCGAGGCTGCAGTACCACATGTAAGCACTAGGGGGCACCCAGGGGACAACACAGATGTTCAGTATCCCCCCCCCACACACACACATACCCCAAGAGTTGGGGTTGTGCACAACAAAATAGAAACTGGAAAATCTTACCTGGGTTACACCCACAAGACCAGAAAAAGAGGACCCAAAGAGCAGTGCAAGACCTGTGTAAGTGCCCCCCAGACAAAAGCCTGCATAAAGTGACAAGGTGGGCATGAAACACACCCTGTCACGTCACCACTAGCTAAGGAGCTACCGGCATTCTCTAGCTGCTGAGAGAGGGAGAGTCGCTTCCTTTAATGACATGATGCTGGTGGGTGAACCACACACCAGGGCAGGCCCCACCCATGACTGGCTGGGCAGCACAAAGAGACTCAGGAGCTTAAAAAGGAGAAGGCTCAGAGGTGGGCGGGAGGAGAAGGAGGTTATGGAAGGTAGGAGCGGTGAGAAAGTGCGAAATACACTGCATAAAACTCAAAGAACGGATAAAAAATGCTTTTTTTTAAAGGGGTCTCCGGCGGCTACAGAGACAGATCTGTGGTTTAACACACTTGCCACTCTTCCAGAGGAACCAGGATCAGTTCCCAGAACCAACATGGTGTCTCCAGTTCCAGGGGCCCATCGCCCTCTTCTGGCCTCAGCTATATAGCAAGTTCAAGGCCAGCCTGGAATGTGAGGCATATAATCTTATAAAGAGTCAATTTGTGTCATCAATAGCAAAGCAGTGAGAGGGAACAGATGCAAAGACAGTAATTCACATGGCTTGAAATTAAGTGATTGGTTTTAGACAGACTGCTGTAACCGTAGGGTGTTTTGAGTAACTACAATGACAGCACAAAGGAAATCAAAAGGGAAATTCACATGACTATACAAAAAGTCAGCAGTAACCAAAGGAAGCAGGGATGTTTCTGCAATGACCAGCAAAACTGATAAAACTTTAGTTAAGTAGCACAGGAAAAAGAGAGGACTCAAAATTAGACAAGGGAGGACATTAAAACTGGTGTCACAGAAGTGCAAGGACTATATGTTGTAAGAGGCTACTACAAAGTTAGGTGTGTGCTAATGAACTGGGTTAGCTAGAAGAAATAATACGTCCCCGTCCCTAGAAAGATGTAACTCACTGAGACAGAACTGCAGAAAAATACACCGGAGCATGACTATAAAAAGCAAGGGAATCAAAGCTGAAAACAAACAAAGTGAAAACCTTGAAGGGCTGGGAAGGCATTCAGTTGGTAGCATGGCTGTCTGGCAGGCATGAACTCTGGGTTTGATCACCACCACTGCCTGAAGCAGTGTGGCAGTATAACGCCAACACGGGGTGTGCAGGCAGAGGGATTCAGGCACCACATCATCCTTGGCTATAATGCTAAGCTTGGGGTCAGCCTGGGTTACATAAGACGCTGTCTAAGATGATGACACCAACAATTCCTTCCTTAACTTCCTTGCAAAGCAAAGCAGAAAGCCCAGGACCAGAGAACTTCACAGAAGAATTCTGGGTAACCATCAAAGATGTGACTGATTTTTCTCAGACTCACACTAGAAACTGACACACAGAGAATTCCTTCAAACACAGTCTGTGAGGCCAGCATTCCTGAGATGAAAATCAAAAGCTTTCCCTCCGGGATCACAAACAGGCAGGGATTCCCACCAGTTGTCAGCGAAACACTGGAAATCCTGGATTGAGCCACCAGACATCCAAGAGTTAAAAGCATCCAAAGCCGGAGGAAAGGAAACTGCATGTCTGTGTTTGTTCCTTCACACCACGCTGCTCCTTTTGACACCCACAAAACTGCGTACATGTACTCCCTCTTGAGACACGGCTTCACCACTGAGCCCAGGTTCCCCTGGAGCTTACTATAGTCCAGGCTGGCCTTAGATTAGAAACCCTCTTGCCTCCTAATGCTGAGATGATAAGTCTGTGCCACTGCGCTCAGGTAAATTTTGTAAAACATGATGCTGGTGTCACACATCCAAGATGCCACTGCCAACCCCCACGTCCTGAAGTTTCCCTCTGACAGGATACAAATTCCGCAAAAACGTACTATAAATAATGAATTATTTCAGCAAAGTTGCAGGATAAAAATATCAACACCTCATCATTTCTGCCCACTAACAATAGCCAATGCCCCCAACCCAACTGTATTTTAACCTCATTCGGTAGACTGCTGAAACCACTTAGGAATAACTTAAGGAAGTGAAAGGCTTACCCCAGGTGGACTATCAAAGAAAACAAGGAGCTGCATACTTGTCAACCCAGCTCTCAATGGCAGAAGCAGGAAAACCCCAAGTCTGAGGCCAGCTTGCTGTGCAAACACAACTCCCTGGGTTCAAGCCCCAACACCCATGTCAAAAAAGCAAGTCCTGGCAGTGCCTGCCTGAAATCCCAGCACTGAGCAGGCAGCCAGGAGGAACTACGGGGCTTGCTAGCCAGCCAGTCTAGCTGAACTGAGAAGTTCCAGGTTCAGTGAGAGACTCTGCCTCAAAGAACAGTAAAGATTAATTGAGGAGGGGACCTCTGGCCCCTACAAGTAAGTAAGCACACACATGCACCCACACACACATGCACAGCATGTACACACACTTACACATACAAGAAACTTCCAGAACGGAACAGAGATGCTTTTTTTTTTTTTTTTTTTTTTTTTTGGTTTTTACGAGACAGGGTTTCTCTGTGGCTTTGGAGGCTGTCCTGGAACTTGCTTGGTAGTCCAGGCTGGTCTCGAACTCACAGAGATCCGCCTGCCTCTGCCTCCCGAGTGCTGGGATTAAAGGCGTGCGCCACCAACGCCCGGCCAGAAATGCTTTCTAATCTACCTTCCCATCTTTCAGACCCACGTGAATGTTCCTACATTGACCTCTGAACCCAAACTTCGTTCAGCTATATGTAGAATGTGTTCATAGAATGTGGTTATCTTTACAAAATAAATATGAAACAAAATCTATTCTGAGTTTTACATTTCAAATCTTTATAAGCTAAGTATATTTCTTTTTCTATTTTAATAAATGTATTTTGTAAGAAGAAAGAATGGAGAAAAAGGAAAGGAGAAGGAAGAAGAGACGAAGAGGAAGGAGGAGGAAGAAAGGATTAAAAGCACCAAGTAAAATCTGCACAAATATGCCTCTTTAATACTTCCTCAAAATGGTGAGAACAGCCAGGTGTGATGTCACACACCTTTAATCCCAGGACCAGGGAGGTAGAGGTATGTGGAACTCTGTGAGTCCAAGACCAACCTGGTCTTCATAGCAAACTCCAGACCCTATCTAAAACAAACAAAAGAAGCAAGCACAAAAAATATCCTGTAAAAACCCCGACTCTTACCTGAATGTAATAGATGCCCTTCTCCTGCGCATACATCATCAGGAAGCAATAATCCAGGTTTTGCTTGGTTCTCCATCTGAAATGAAGTTTCAGTAAGTTAGAAATCAGTCACAGAGTTAGCAAATTCAGACCATGTATGAGCCTCCTCTCTACTGAAACACACAGACAGACTCCAACACATCCAAGAGATGGTCAAAGAGTGGCTTCCTCCCATGAAGCCTTTCTCGCCATGCACTCCTGAGACTAACCCCCCAGCTACCCCATGCACAGAAGGCTCTCCAATGAAGGGAACCGGGGCATCACTGTACACACATCCTCTTCTAGAGGCAGATCAGCATAAAAGATGCAAAAATACCTACCAATGAGCACATTACTGGCCACAGAACTTATGGCTCCATGCATGCTTGGCTAAGGCCCTACTTCTGAGCTACAATCTAGCATTTTCCAGGCTGCCTTGTCCACAAACCTTTTCTTCAGTAATATCTTAATATCTCCTTGAACTAGTGCTTGGCAAAGTCTACTTTAGGGGACATGAGGCTGTGTCTAAAGCTGTGGATTGGATACAGCTAGAGATTGATAATGCATATTAAATGCAAACACATACTATGTGTTAATGTTTTTAAACACATTTAAATCTACATTAGTAATCTTTTTGGTGACTTCCTAGTGGCTAACAGACATACACTAATGAATGCTGAGTAAGAGAAGTGGTCGTCCCAAGCTCAGTTCAGCTAAGCATAGCTCTCAGAATCTGTCCTGTGCTGAACAAGATGGCCTGGACAGTTCGCCGTGGCAGCCTGCCGTCTTCTGAGCATTTCCTAGTTACCAGGGTTGACAAGAAAGCTCCTGCTCACCGTATTCTTTCCTTGGAGTCTCCAAATGTCTCCTTCAGGTTTGTCAGGTCAGGGTAATAGCTTTCAGGAGGGGAGATTACTTCCAGCAGGCCAGAACTAATTTCCTTGGAAAATCTACCAAGAGAAAGGTTAGCTGTATTATTTTAGCTCTGTGGGATTTCATTTGTCTTAATGCTCAGCTTACTGCGTTTAACATAAAATGCATGACTAAGCAGGGCAGCGGAGGAGGAGGAGACGGATATAGTGTGCTAAAATGCAGTCATCACTGACCAGAAAATACAAATTCCTCTACTGATACATTTCAGTTTCCTCTTCCTGTGCTTTTAAAAGACAGTAAATGTCAGAGTAGGAACACTGACTGAAACGTAGCAGATAGATCCTAGGCAAACTGCAGGCACTGCCATCTTTAATGTGATCCATTTTTAAATCTAAGCAAATCAAAGACCCACAGAAAGTGGGGGACTGAAGAAAAAAGCAAACAAAGGAATCTGTCTGCTGACCCAAAATATATTATTTGTGAAAAATCAAAGCTCTTCCATTTGCTCCCCAAGCCTGGAGGCCTGGGTTCAGTCCCTGGGACCCACACAGTAGAAGGAGAGACAACCACAAAGGTTCCTCTGACTCCCCATGCATACTGCAGCATATGTACACATTTACACACAAATCAGTAAATGTGATTTTTTTCTAATTTAAACACAAAGTTCTTCAATATTCAGGAAGCTTCAGTTGCAGGCTGCAGGCTGCAGGCCCTAGGTCATTCCAAACCAGGGTTTTTTAACTGAGGGCTACTTTATCCCTCCTGGGAACGTTGAGTGGGACCTGGAGACATTTTCATTGTCACACTAGTGACACTTCTGCTGACAACTAAATGGGCAGGTGCCGAGGATCCTGCCACACATCCGATTATACAGAGTCCCTACAATCAAAAACCACCCAGCCTGATCCGTGGTCTCTGGACTGAGAAAGCCTTCCTGAGCCTCTAGAGTCAGTCTTCACTAACTAAATGTGGCTCCTTTGCATTCACCTTGTCTCACTCTCGCAAACCTTCACAGGATGCTGTTATAAGCCCGCCTGTGTGCAAATGCCCAGTGTATGTGTGCAAATGCCCAGTGTATGTGTGCAAATGCCCAGTGTATGCAACTGCACTCATCCTGGCCTTGGTTTCCCTGAACATCAAGGAAGCCTGTAGAATTGCCCCTTAGGTTGATGGGAAGGGGAACCAGTCACTGTTCCCTGCTTCTTTAAGGGAACCAGCCTACTTGACAGACTGCCAAGATTGTAGCCCTTGAGCAAATTTTTAACACGTCAGAACGTGATCCTGAAGTATGCACGATGTTTTCTTAAATCTCCATCTTTCGTATTTTGATTAACACAGAGAAATCATTTTGACTGTGGAATTGGCAAATATGGCAAATAACTACTGCTTCTATGTCTTGTCTTTAAGAGTTGTATTTATTTTTAATTACATGTGCATGTGGGTGGGGAATGGGGTCACAGGGCAAAGGTCAGAGCTCCCTGGGGCTGGAGGACCAGGGGTAGTGAATCACATAAAAGAACTGAAACTCAGGCCATCAGCTAGGTGAGCAAGCACCTTTAACTGTTGGGCCATCTCTCCAACTTCCTAAGCCTTTTCTTGTCAATGTGCCCTTAAGGAGTAAAACCAGATAAAATTCACTGAAGAAACCTGTCAGGTCTAACTTTAAAACTGGCAAGTTAATAATATAAAACATGCCGATGCCAGAAACTCCCTAGGCTTTGCGTCTGTCCCTGGTCCACAGGAAACTGGGATGCAATCTTGGCAGGACAGAAAAACATGCTTGGTGAGTAGGGGGTGAAGGATTCAAATGGTTCTGTACAAATGTGACTCTTGCTCTACTCTTTCAAGAGGAAAGACTAGTTGGTAAGTAGTGGTCCGTGCAGGTGCCCTTCAAATCTTTTCTGTGGTGGGATTGACCAACTCACCCACAGACACAGGGGTTTATATACAGGCACTCAATGAGACTGTGAGGGTCACCCACCAGACACAGGGGTTTATATACAGGCACTCAACGAGATTGTGAGGGGCTGTTGACACTGATGAACCGAGAAATGAATTAGAAAGGAAGGTGTTTTCTTTTAACACAAAGCCAAAACTAATAGTGATGAAAACAGTCCCATTTCTGTGCTTCAGAGACTTACTCTTTCTCCAGGTTGGCTATGACGCTGTGAACATAATCAAGATCTGTCTGGGAAAGAGAGAAAAAATATTATAGTTTTTATTTCACTTTACAAAAAAATATTTTTACATTATGTGTGTATTGGCCTGCGTGATGTATGTATTGTGTGCGTGTGTGTGTGTGTGTGTGTGTGTGTGTGTGTGTGTGTGTTGCCCTTGGATGCCAGAAGAGGGCATCAGATCCCCTGGAAATGGTGTTACAGATGTTTGTAAGCCATGGTGTAAGTGCTGGAAACTGAACTCTGGTCTTCAGGAGCAGCCAGTGCTCTTAACAGCTGAGCCTATTTCACACTGTTAGTGCCAAAACCCACAGTGGGGCAAAGGATGACTCGCACACGAAAACACCATTTTAACCTTTTAGACACTTGTTCTATGAAACTGCACCTGTAAATGCCTTAGGCACTATCTACTACAGTAAGCAAATGTGTAAGTCTTATTATTTTCAGTCATTGATGTTCAGTTTACTAGAAAAACTGAGCATGAAGCAACTCCTATTTCTCCCGGAAATCCAAGCTCCTAAGTGGTGGATGTGCAGAGTGGCAGAAGGAGCCTGCTGCAGGCAAAGATGCCAGTACTTAGAACCACGAAACCAAACCGGGGCTCAAGATTTACCTCGCAGCTGCCCGCCCGCCGGCCCGCCCACCCGCACAGCCTGTGTGTTGCTTCCCTGAGCTTTAATTTTCTCTTTCACTAAAAAAGGGGGGTGGGGTCAGGATGGAAGAAACCTTAAAGACTGTATCCAATAAACCTATATTGTAAAAAGCAGCATTATATTCTATTGACACCGAGAACTCAAACCAGGAGGCTAGTAACCACAGTTAGAAGGGCATGTTTCAATTATAAACCATTAAAGACCCAGGCTGAGGATGCAACTCAGGGGAGCCTTTGCCTTACATGAACCAAGCCCTAGGTTTGATCCAGAGCAACAAAAACAACAACAGCAACAACAAACTCACAAACCCTGAAAGTCCGATATCCTTATCTTAGCGAGGGTTACCGTTGCTGTGATGAAACACCATGACCAAATCCAAACTGAGGAAGAAAGGATTTATTTGGTTTACACTTTCACATCATTGTCCATCACTGAGGGAGGGCAGGGCAGGGGAGGCAGGAGCTGATGCAGAGGCCATGGAAGGGTGCTGCCTACTGGTTTGCACCCAGAGGGTTTGCTCAGCCTGCTTTCTTATAGAACCCAGGACCACCAGTCCAGGGCTGACCCCACCCGCAAGGGAGTGGGCCTTCCCCATCAATCATTAATTAAGAAAATGCCCTACAGGTTTGCCTACAGCCTGATCCTTTTGAGACATTTTCCTCAACTGAGGCTCCCTCCTCTCCAGTGTGACTCTAGCTTGTGTTGAGTTACCATAAAACTAGCCAGCACAATTCTCTACCCATTTTAAATGAGGTGACAACTTAAATATGGTCAACTATTAAGACAAATCAATGACATATAAAATCTGACCTATGTTATGAAAGTTGCCACACATTTAATGTGTATAAGTAAAAAGAAACAGCTTAACACTGGAAGTAATAAAAAACATTAAAAACTAATATGCATTTTTGTCCAACTTTAATGTCTATTAATTGAAATTTCAACTTGTATTAAGCTTATCGACTTAAGAATAAAGTATCTGCATAACACCACATCCTTCAGTCTTAAGAAGGAAGGTCAGAGACACAGCACTGACCAGGAACAAACCCCTCCCCTCCCCCCAGGTAATATCAAGTGTCAGGGATCCATTCCTTCAGTCATCACTCACATGGCTTTACCAAAGCGTTTCTGAGGCTAGGACTGTAGCCGAGCATGGTTTACATAGACATCAATAGGCTGAGCAACATCCTGAAACCCAACTGATAAATACTTGATGAGGCAAAGTGGACACCTGTCTAACACAAAAAAATCCAAGGATGCAAGAGCCGGTCCTCTCCTCCCAGCAGGCTGACCTGAAGCAGAGAACGCAGGTTTGCTACGAGAGCTCTAAGTCAGTGTATGAGCAAAGGGTCCACACCGGACAACACATCATCCTTACCTTACTTATTAATGTACTAGCAGAAGATTTGCAAACAGCCGTGACTGGTGTCCTTTTATGCAAGAGAACTGAACCTTTCTGGTATCTACTGGAGACTGGGAGGTGGTGTGGAACGCCTCTGAAGAAAGCTCAACCTACGATCAGTCTAGAAGCACTGGGCCACACTAGCCAGATCTGTCCAATGGGACTTTTCCTGGCCCCTCCCTCAGTGGCGGGGAGCATGGATGGGCACCGAGAGTTGCTCAGTGTAAGTAAGAACATCATTTTGTCTAAATTTTGTTTTATTTCAGGTCTGTGGGTATTTTGCCTGCATGCATGTCTGTGCACCATGTGCATGTCTGGTGCCTGCATCAGATTCTGTAGAACAGGAACCACAGATGGCTGTGAACCATCACGTGGGTGTTGGGACTCAAACTCGGGTCCTGCAAGAGCAGCCAGTGTTCTTAGCCACTGAGCCATCTCTCAGGGTGCCTAAGATACTTTAAACAGCGTGTGGAAACTGTTGTAGAAGAAAAGGAATCAGTCAAGTCTGTGAGCTGAACACTGGGATGTGTATATTCCAGGACAGCTGGGGATTTGAATAGGCATGAAAAGCAAAGACCGCAGCACTCGGGATGCAGAGGCAGGCGGATCTCTGTGAGTTCAAGGCCGGGCTGGACCGACAGCCTCCAAAACAATACAGGGAAACCCTGTCTCGTAAAAAAAAAAAAAAAAAAAGCAAAGTCGGGCTGGAGATGGCTCAGTAAGCACAAGGATCAAAGATGAAATCAAATGGGGAAGAGGAACAAGTACGGCAGCACACACCTGAAATCCCAAGGTTAGGGATGAACGGGACCCCTGGGTCTCACTAGACAGACAGATTCCTGGTCTCTGTGTCTTTAAAAACACTGCGTGTTCACAGAGAATGCCTGGCTTTGATCTCTGGCTTACACATGACTTTTAAATCCAGGACTTGGGAGGCGGAGGCAGGTGACTCTCTGTGAATTACAGACCATCTTAGTCTACAGAGTTCCAGGCCAGCTAATGGGGAGGGGAGGAATGAAGGAAGGAAAGATATCAAGCAAACAAAAACAAAAACAAAAAAACTCAGCAAGAGATATGTCCTCTATGTGTTGAAGCACGGATGAGTCATGGAGACACATCACATGAAAGAAATCACAATGCAGGTACAACAGCGCTTACAAGAAATATTCCAAAGGGAAAACTATGGGAGCAGAAAGTAGATTTCATCAGCGGGCTCCGGCTGATCAAACAGATGAATGGGCTTTCTTTGTAGGGCTGTGAAACTGTTCTTAAACACACTGGCATGACGGCAGTCCAGCTTGCCCTACATGGATGAACTGAATGGTAATCACACAAAGCCTAAGGCAGTAAGAGACCCCGCATTTCACACCGCACACAGAACCGAGAAGGACCGGGCCGCTCAGACCCATTGCGGGTAGATACCCAAAAGCGGTATAGATACAAGGGTGGGCCTAAGAGGTGATGACATCAGCAGAAGTCTCAAGCTCCTTTAGCTGCCAGGAAAATTTCAACTGGCAATCTCAAAGACCCCAATATTTGGAGAGCTGCTTCAGTGAATCCCTTCCCTTAACCCAAGGCCATATGGAGAGGATGTCTCTGGATTCACAGTTCTGGGGGGGAGAATTCAGATGCCCTAGCATCTTGAGACACATCCCAGGAGGCCCATTCTAGTCTCATCTTGGGGACAGTGACTATAATGACATAACTATTAGCACCTAGGTAAGACAGAATCAAAGATAAGAGGTGAGGTCGTCACTCTGTGTGACTGCCATCTGAAGAACTTGATCCAACAGCTGGCATGGTAGCCCAGTCACAAAACTGACCTGGTCACTTTCAGAAGCACCAGGGAAATTCAATTGAGTCTTCATGCTCCGCCTTAGAACCCACTCCAGTGTTCCTACCCCAGTAGAGAGGTACATATCACCACATGTCACAGACACACAGCCCAAAAGCCTTCCAAAGACCCTGCCTGGAGACAAGACTCCCAGCTCCACATTCTACACTACAGCTCTGGGCCATAGCTGTCTGAACTCAGACCGTGTATACCAAACCACCCCACAGCTGCACCCTGAGAAGTCATCTTCAAAGTACAGCCTCTCCACCCATTTATCCCGAACAGCAGCTCTGCCTAACCTGGGATAGCTCAGCTCACGTCATTCTCCAGCTGCAGGTGACAACCGTTGTGGTTATGAATGCTTGAGCGACAAGCTGCCACCACGAACAATCGGTAAGACACCTAAGCAGAGACTTTATTTTGTCTACAATGTCGCCAGATGGCCCTTCCAGCAACACCTATAAAGGCCAGGAGAGGGAGCTGTTTCCCAAACCACAAAAACAACTCCAGGGACAGAAGGGATCAGGTGCATTTCCAAACCCTCACCCCTCCCCCTGGCAAAGCCTACTGAAGTTCCAACACGGAACTCTAAAGAAACATGCCTGTCAAAGAATTCGGAAGACTCCTCACATGAATATGCAGAATAAAATTCTCACAAGAATATGCAGAATAAAATTCTCACAAGAATATGCAGAATAAAATTCCCTGGGCCTGGTGAGTCAGGTCCACAGTTTAGTTATTATCTAGAGGCTGATAGTGCAAGACCCACTTAAGCAGCTTAGTAAGACCCTGTCTCAAAACACTAAGAGTCGCAGTGTATATGCCAACATGCAGGTACTGGCAGAAGGGGTCACCGGTGAATTCCAACCCAAACTGCCAAACTTAACAACAAAAGAAAAGTCCTGAAGACAGATAAGAGATCTAGCACATGTAAAAGAATACCAATACAGCTACTGCAGATTTCTTAGCAGGAACCCTACAAGCCCGGAAAATGAAATAATACATCCAAGGAACTGAAGGAGAAAAAAATGACAAAAACACCCAGCAAAGCTGCCTTTCAGAAACTGGAGAATCGGGACTGGTGAGGAGGGCAGTGGTAAGACAACTTGCTGCCAAAGTTTG